GTCCCTCAACCCTTGTATGCAATTGGAACGGGACATTTCGGACATTTAGGATGGTACAAAATCATTTCAAAATGGGATATCCGTGTTTTCTGTTCAAAACGGTCTTTTTTTATCGTAATTATCAATTGTCTGATTAATTTAATTGGGCGGACTCTGTTTCAATACCGATTTATTCGGGGCGCGAATAGAATACACTTTGGATGTCCCTCAAGCCGTGTATGCAATTGGAACGGGACATTTCGGACATTTAGGATGGTACAAAATCATTTCAAAATGGGATATCAGTATTTTCTTTGCAAAAACCAGTTTTTTTTATCGTAATTAAAAAATTGTCTGATTAATTTAATTGGGCTGACTCTGTTTCAATACCGATTTATTCGGGGCGCGAATAGAATACTTTTTGGATGTCCCTCAACCCTTGTATGCAATTGGAACGGGACATTTCGGACATTTAGGATGGTACAAAATCATTTCAAAATGGGATATCCGTATTTTCGTCGTAAAACGGCTGTTTTGTACGTTAATGATCAATCGTTGGATTAATTTAATTGGGCTGACTCTGTTTCAAAATCGATTTATTCGGGGCGCGAATAGAATACTTTTTGGATGTCCCTCAACCCTTGTATGCAATTGGAACGGGACATTTCGGACATTTAGGATGGTACAAAATCATTTCAAAATGGGACATCCGTATTTGCTGTTCAAAAACCGTTCTTTTGTATCGTAATTATCAATTGTCTGATTAATTTAATTGGGCTGACTCTGTTTCAATACTGATTTATTCGGGGCGCGAATAGAATACACTTCGAGAGTCCCTCAACCCTTGTATGCAATTGGAACGGGACATTTCGGACATTTAGGATGGTACAAAATCATTTCAAAATGGGATATCAGTATTTTCTTTGCAAAAACCAGTCTTTTTTATCGTAATTAAAAAAAATTGTCTGATTAATTTAATTGGGCTGACTCTGTTTCAATACCGATTTATTCGGGGCGCAAATAGAATACACTTTGGATGTCCTTCAACCCTTGTATGCAATTGGAACGGGACATTTCGGACATTTAGGATGGTACAAAATCATTTCAAAATGGGATATCCGTATTTTCTTTGCAAAAACCGGTCTTTTGTATCGTAATTATCCATTGTATTGATTAATTTTATAGGGCTGACTCTCTTTCAATACCGATTTATTCGGGGCGCGCATAGAATACACTTTGGATGTCCCTCAACCCGTGAATGCAATTGGAACGGGAAATTGCTGGCATTAAGGAGGGTACAGAATCATTTTACATTTAATAATACCTGCGTACGTTCGTGTCATAAAAGTATCGTAGAGGGCGCTAAACAACCATCTAGTTTGGGAAAAGATAATTGCGGCCGGGCCATTTGAGCATTAATTTTTATGAAAAAAAGGAAATAAAAATGTGAAATGAGACACCCCCGGGACATTTTGGCAAAAAACAAATAGGAATTCCTGTTTAAACAGGATTCTCATGCCCGGTCCTTCCCGCAAAAGCAGTCTGGCGGATATAGCGCCCTCTCATCGGCTATAAGGCAGAACCTTTATTCAGTAACGTTAAAATTGATAACATTAACATTCCCAATTCTGAAAATAAATTGCCTCAGTTTTCATTACGATTTACTTTAGAGTCGAATAAACAACAGTTTCAGTTATTTAAGGTAATTCACCGTGATAAGAAGTTGAACTTCCTTTATAATTCGTTTTCTCCTAAGGTTTATTTGCAATGGCTGTTTAGGGCCACCGTAGTGGTAATCTTCACGGCGGCGCGCCGCCGTAAAAATAGTGCGTAGCCGAAAATCCGGCCAGCCGAAAATCCGGCCCAATTTTCGTGCCAAGATCAGCCTGGTCATGGACATCTAAATTTTACGAGAAATGCGCCATTTTGATTTTGACAAGGTGGAGCGAATAGCGCCACCTGTTGGTCAGATTATGAAAACCAATTCCACCTTTTTTGCAGGGCGGGGGGGGGGGGGGGGGAGGTACGAGCGAACCCCCCCCCCCTCCCCCCAACAATGAAAATGAAATACATGTAACGTTCCTTTTTCATAGCTCCATGATGAAATAAAGTAAAGAATAGGAGGGGAGTTATGTAGCAATTTCGGGGGAGGAATTAAGGCAACATTTGGTGATTCAGAATCAGAGATAATGTTGTGAAGGAATAATGAGACGTACGTACCATCCCTAATTATGCCTCATCCTACTTTGCATTGAATTTTAACTGGTCGACCGACCAAAGTCAAAATTCAAAAAAGGAGTTCTAGCGCCCCAGTCACTGGATCTAATGTTAACCATGCAGAATATGCCAGAAAAAAGGGTCCAGAGTCTGTAAGTTTTACTCTTAAAATTTTTCTTGACCAGCTTAAAGGGATGGGCTGGAAGAATGCCCCCCCCCCCAAAAAAAATGAACATCATGCACCTCTCAAAACTAACGACAAACAAGTTAGGCCTTTTTTTTTACAGAGCGTGATTTGTAAATAAAGATTCTTTTATTTATTCAACCTTTTTTACAATGAATTTTTTTTATTTAAAAATGCATATGGCCAAAAAAAATAAGTCTCCGGTTTCTGGTATGCGCGCGCGTCGCCGTAGCCATGCGCGTCGGCAAAATGAAAAAGTTTTTTTTTCAATGAAAGATGATGTCTCAAAACCACCAAACTCACTGGTTTGACTGGAATCCTGCTGCTGCACAATTTTAACGTGTTTTTAGATGGGATTATGATCGAGAATAAGCTTCATGTGGCCTCTCTGGACTCCCATATATTTGCACTAAGTTTAGTTGGGCACCATTTTGCAGTCATCCGCCGACATTTGAAGCAAAAAAAAAACAGGTAAAAAAAAAAAAAAGCCGCGTCGCCGCACCACCTTTTGGGCAAGCTCCATACCAGAAACTGGAGACTTTTTTTTTTGGCCTAAATAAAAAAACTATAAACTGATTTTGATGTACTGATCAAGGAATGTGGTGAAGAACACAGCAAATGGTTTTAAAACCAACTGGTCAACCACACAGCCTCGACCCCATGGGCTGCGTGGGCATTAATTCTTTCACTAACTGTACATGGCACGTTATTCCATTCTAAGATATACAATTTTAGTGCCGCAAGTGAGCTCCAAATACATGTATAAAAATCAAATCAACAAGAATAGAAATTTCAGAAATTGGCATTTTTACTACAACCTGGAGCAGAAAATGCTTTGGAGAAAATTGATGAAATTTCTTTTAAATCACTATCCTTTGTTTATAAAGCATGTTATCATAAAATACCAAAGTTTACTTCATTCCCACGCTTATATTTTGAAAAAGGTAATTACAGTCTTCGTATTAAAAACCACTAACAGTTGAAATATATTCAATGTGTTTGAAATTTAATCACTTGGAAGGGATTTCCTACTGGGCGTTGAATTTGGCAAAATAAATACAAATATATAAATTCACTGAATATCATGCAATTTGGTATATAGCATAGAAAATAGAAAATTAAGGAGCAAAAACACCTTAAAATCTTACTTCAAACATTATTCATAAATACCTCAGACAGTTTACCTATTCTATTGGTCGAGAGACTGTCACACAGGTGGTATTAAGCTGCTGTTTAAACACCGGCCAGGGATGTTTAAGACCGGTGTTTAAAGGGAATATACATCATTTGCTTTTGCTGTAATTTTCAGAAATGGATGGAATTGGGGGTTGGAAATATATAGCAAATATAGTTACACTGACTTTTTTGAGGTTTTGGATTCGAAAATGCTATAAAAACCAAGAAAAACAATCATTTTCCTGTAGTCTGGTTCCCTGACTCCATATAAGAAGAAACAGAGCAGTTTACATGCATTGGGGAATTGTAAGGTCAGGGAACCAGTCTAGCTGGCTTGTACCCGTTCATAGGTGTGTAATCGATTGCAAACAAGTGCGATGGTCAATTGGGGCCAGTATTTGAAAAAAAAAACCAGTTGGAAATTGATACAAAAATACCACTTTCCTTGAAAATGACAGTATACCAGGTGCCATGATTTTACAGGATGCTTTACACTGTCATTCACTAACAGTCCAGCAAGGTATTTCAAAGTGATTTGGTAGTTTTATTTTTTGATGTTTGCCAATGTTGTATTTTCCCTTTAAAACTGCGCGCTGCGCCACATGCGGGCAGTGAGCACCACATGCTGGCAGTATACTTACCGTGCACCGGCTACCCCCAGTTGCTTGAGATTCATTAATATAATCTCCATACAAGGCCAAGTGTTGAGCACATATTGTGTGCATCGCACACCATAAAAGTGGCCTGATCTGAACATGGAGTAATATGTGGTATATGTGGGTCTTCAGCTCGGGCCATTATCAGTGGCAAGGCCCCTACCCGGTTTTAAACCACATGTTTATAACTGCTCCAATCCACTATACTGTCCCCTTATTTCAAATATTTAACAATCAAAAAATGAATGATTTCTGCTACATGCTAATGACCATGGAAAGACCAAAAAATACGACCGCGATCCCCTGGCATATGCTGGCAGTATTAATACAGTCAGTTAGTAAGTGCAATCAACAATGACCTCATTTGACTCCTAGATGACCTTTGACCTCAAAAGTCTCTCATCATCTCAAGTCCCGCTACCCAAAGATTATTGTCACCAAGTTTGGTTGAGATTGAAGTCTGACTTTTCATATGACAGGACACACACACGTACACACCCACGTTTGTTTATGGTGTAAATCGAGGATTTTCTTTTGTTCCTCTTCTCTTTTCCTTTGTTTTTACGTTTTCGCAACAGCTCTCATTGGTTTTGTACACGTTTTCTAATCGAGGTCGTCCTCGATTTGGTTACTGTCCTCGATTCACTGATGATGTTGCATGTGTGTGTCCTCGATTTACACCATAAACAAACGCAGACAGGAATACACTATCGCAATATCCCCCTTTATTGCTAAAGCAAAGCCAGGGGGATAAAAATACAGCAACTTGTTGACATGCCATGTGAACAGCTATAGCTGGACTTTTTTTCTTTGGATTTAACTATGTATAGTCTCCATTATTTACTCTCTTCACAATTTCTCCAGAACCAGTCTGCATATGCATGACCTGCACTCGACTCTTGAAATCGTCAATGTTTACGTAACATCCCTGGAGGAAAAACAAGAAGGAAAGTCATTATTCCACCTACTGTATCAACATCAGAATTGAAAATGGTTGGAAAAGTAGACAGCGATTCAAATATGTCTGCTCTCTTGAAAAATTTGATTTAGATTTCACCTACAAAGGAGTCATTGGAAACTGTTTATACACAACAATATGAGCTCGATCGGAAATATTTGGAAGCTGCGGGCCAACAAATTTGTTTTCAAATTGCATGAATCATGTGATAGTGCCACATAATTTCTGGAGGGAGTAGTGTTTTGAGTAAAAAGATCGGGTTCTTGACCCCAGTGACCCCATGATGAGCTTTGACCCCAGTTTGGTCATGTGACATGTTGGGGATGGGCTACTGATATTTTTGACAAAGTTTGGTTGAAATCGGTCAAAATGTGTAGGAGCAATAGACAATGTCAACGTATGTTAACCCTAACCGCCCCGCCTTCCTTCAAACTCCTCTTTGCCAAAGTGGAGGAATTTGGAGGATTGAGGATACATATAAACATGCGTTACTGAGTTAGTAGGATGCACTTTGTCAAGGTCTTGGGCCGTCATTTTCTTCTCCCAGATTTGCAGGGGAAAATTCACCAGAAACCTGCTTTATGTGACACATACATGTCGACCTAACTCTTGAAGTCTGAGAGACTGGCAACGGAGATGAGAGTTGACTCACCTCGAGATGTCGCCTACCTCCGTTGAGAGCAAATGCATGTCTCGCATGGAGGATGCGCAGATTGTTGAAGACAAAACACTCTCCAGGCCGCAATCTGTGAGAGACCTGAGGTTATAGGAAAGAACAGCAAAGTCAGATACCAGAGTTGTAACTAAGTCAATCTCAAGTGAGTGGCAATTCAAATCACAGATGAGGTGACAAGTAACAGGGCATGAAGTTGAATGATCAAATTAGGTTTTGCCCTTCACCGACATATAAACACTATTATACTCAGTGTGTTACCTCCCGAGTGAAAGTTGGAAAAAAATCACTCCGGTCGAACCCATGACCTCCTGCTTTCTATTGCAGATGTCTTACCACTTGACCACCGAGCTAACGGGATCGGTTGGCTGGTTTGAATCTGATGTACATAGCAGCAGGTACCACATTAACTATTTATAAGATGGAATTTTTCGATGGAATTTATACGTTGGTGAAGGGCAAAACCTAATTTGGTTTTCCTCACCCCGACGCAAGAATTTCATCTTATGAATAGTTAATGTGGTACCTGCTGCAATGTACATTAGATTCGATCCAGCCAAACCGATCCCGTTAGCTCGGTGGTCGAGTGGTAAGACATCTGCACTAGAAAGCAGGAGGTCGTGGGTTCAAGTCCCATCTGAGTGGGAGGTAACACACTGAGTATGCAGTGTTAGTACGTCGGTGAAGGGCAAAACCTAATTTCAGTTACATCACCCTGCAAAAAAAATTCCATCTTATGAATAGGAATGTCTACTAGTCACTGAGAAGCTTTTTACTAGACTTGAGACTGGATGGCTTATGATTGACTTCTGACTGACTTGTGACAACACAACAATTGAAGTCATTATTTGGCTTGATAGAAGTAAGTGCATTAATGCATTTGTCTTTAACAATCCCCTATTTCTGGTGTGGTATGTTTACAGCAGCCACTTGGCAAAACCGCATACTATGGCGATCGGTCATTCACAATATAATGCCCCCGTCTGTGGAAGAGGCTACCGGCAGCAATCCGATCTGCTGATACTGCCGATCTGCTGATACCTTCAACATTTTCAAACTTACTTGAAAACCCATCTTTTCAAGCATTACTTCTGTATCACTTAAGTTAATTGTTAAGTCTTAATTAGGCCTGTTTGAATGTTTTTAAACTGTTTTATCTGTATTTCTTTAATAACCTGTGGATTTTTAATTGTACAGCGCTTTGTGATGTCTTTGTTACATGGAAAGCATTGTTAAAATAATTCATATTATTATTATTTATTTCACCATGTACGAAAAGTATTGTTCTAAGACCCTATTAGTCATGGGCTAGATACGAGAACCACAAAGTGTTCGGTCAGGATAAATTGACCACTTTATTTTCTCCTTTCATCTTTCAATGTATCACACACTACCCTTCCCCCAACTGAAAAAAAGCTGCCAAAAACTTGTTCAGTCCTTCATTGATGAATCATAAGCTGAAATCTGGCAAAGTTTTTCTTTTACTGATATGGTTGGTATTGTAATTAATACATTCTCAACCAGCATGACCAGTTGCCTTATTTTTCACCAAATTACAACACAGTGATCAGAATGGACTGTAGCTATTCCAATCAAAAGGAAGACCAAAATCTCACTTTTAGTAGAACCTACCTTAAGCTTTGATGTGTTTATTAATTCAGAAAATTTCCTGTATGCCTCATAATACGGTTCCACGTCATCCTGCAAAAGATTTATGAATGATAAAATAATCATAAAAATGAAAAATCCTTTGAACGCAATTCTGCTACTACCCTCCAGACGTCTGTCTAGAAATAGTAATTTCCAATGAGTAAAACCCAAACCACTGGATTCCATTATGCATGTAAATATGTTGTCAGTCTCTTTGCTTAACCAATTAGTCACTGTAGCGAGCAAAACGAAACCGCCCGAGCACTCAAGGATTTAGAGATTTTTCAGTGAAAAACACAAATACAATGTCATACAGGTGCTGATGGGTTACGGAGCACAAGCCAGTGCCATAAACCTGCTTATAACACACCTCTTGCTGGTTCTTTATCCTGGTTGGCTGAAACGCGGTCACGTGTGGTTCACTAATATAGGTTAGTGCAAGACATCGCGCGCGTGTAATCTCCAGAGTATAGTGACCGATCAGGCACTATACTCAATTTTTGGACTGGTTACAATGCCCTCTCAAAAACTCTAACTCAAAAACTGAATCTAGGGAAACTAAAAGTGTTCCTTTAATTGTTGAATGGCTCATAGTTGAATCGCTTATGAGTTAATTGTTGAATTAAAACAGTTCAATTATAAAACCCTGAACAAGTTTCTTTTCTTATTTTATATTTTGGACAGAGGTGAGTTATAAAACACATATGGACTTGCATTATCTGGTCACTAGTGCACGTCTATGCCCCCTCGGGCCTGTGAGTGACCCTCTTCCGGTCACTAACAGTCTTTCGGGGCACATAGACGTGCACTAGTGACCTCACTGCCAGTCCATATGTGTATAATATGCCATGCACTTGCAGCCAGGGATCCTGCCCAAAGGCACGATGCTTGCAACTTTTGAAATATTGCAAACCTGGAAAATGGAAAACGGTGCACTGAACTCCAAGTTAGCCCAGAATACTTGGCCCTGAATTCTATATATACTTAAAGGGCATATACAACATTTGCAAACATAAAAACAGACTACCAAAGTATTATGAAATACCTTACTGGACTGTTAGTGAATGACAGTCTAAAGCATTCTGTAACATTATGGCACCTGGTGTGCTGTCATTTTCAAGAAAAGTGGTATTTTTGTATCAATTTCTAACTTTAGTCGGCCGACAGAGTTGGGAAAACATATTTAGTTAGTCTGCATTATTTTTGCAATCGATTACACACCTATGAACAGGTACAAGCCAGCTAGACTGGTTCCCATGACCTTACAATTCCCTGACGTCTCTTACTTTTCGAACACAAAACTTCAAACAAGTCAGTGTAACAGTATTTGCTACAAAATACTAATCCCCCAAAATCATCCAAAAGCAAATGTTGCGCATTTACTTTAATATCCATTAAATGTGTCAAAAACTCACCTCTGGAACCTTGAGAGGGCCTTCAAATGGCGGGGCCCAAATCACAGAGGAAATCTGGGAATTGAGATCAGACAGACAAATGAAAACAATTACAACTGACGGAAGAATGAAATACATTGGTAGAAAAGAGTACAACATGTCTAATCATTGCATTCCTTTGTCTTTTGCTTGTAGTGTGCCTCATCAAAATACTATGAGCAGAGGCACTGGCACTTGACATTTCTCTATAGACCTTTATCATGCTGCCACCATTTCAGTCATGTTCCCTGTATCCAATAACAGTACTGAATAATAGTTTTTTTGTGCAAAAAGAAACCAGACTATTTTTCCTTCCAGCTTCGCTTTGGTTACGATGATTTAATGGGAAAAATCAAGATGGCCGCAACATGATAATGGTCTATAGTGGGGAATCCAAAAGTGGGGGTGAATATATTATCAGTCAAGTGAGGGGGCATGCACATATTTGTAAGGCGTTCTGGCAATATGAGACAGAACTTGGCACAGGTCGAAATAAGGCTCTGCAGGTATTAGGAAAGAGAATAGAACTCTCCTTACAATAACGTTGTTACACTCCAATCAGACATTCCGTTGAAAAGCTGTGGCTGTTTAAAGTTCGCATTTATCGACATGTCAAACTAACAAAATACTGAGAAAAAGGCCTTTGAAGTTTCGAATTTTGTAGTCGTATAAATGAAAGATGCCAATTGTTTTTCCTTAAAAACACTTTTATTCCACGATTTTTATGCTTTTCTTTTAATCTTAAATATGTGTAGTAGACATGAAAATATCAATAAATCTGAAAATCGAAAAAAAAAATCAACCCCATTTGCTGTTTTTTTCCTTCCAAAACGGCCTGTGCCCAGTTCCGTAATATTTTGTCAAAACGCCTCACATTTGTGAAAGCACATCCTCATCATCGGTAAATATGCAAAACATGAACATCATTGCATGAATAATAGCAACTCTGATAATATTTCTTAATGCAAGTTCCTTCATGCATATATACCAAACAATATCTAGCTTTAGAGGTGGGAGGAATATTGCTTTGGGGGAAACCCAAGGAATCAGGTAGGGACTGAAAATCCAATCCACATATGGATCAGAGCAGGAATTGAACCTGGGCCCTAGAAAAGGAAGGCAAGGAAAGGACCACTGTGCCAACCTGACTCACCCTGTATCTACTTGAGCTACTATCTGTTCCCTCAGATCTCAAGATTATTCCATATGTTAAGCTGAAACCACTTCTAGTAATCAGTTTGCTCTTGTGATGGCAATTTGGATGCTCAGAGTCAGAAGCTATGTTTTACTCCTGTGACACATTTGAAATATGACCAATGAATGAAGAGCCGGTGGCTCATGAATATGTATGAGGTGTAATATACAAATAATGAATACTTATGAGTGCACTGGTTAGAATAATTTCATGAGGTGACAGATGGAATGTTCCATTCTACAAGCAGAGCCGAGTCGAATGGAACATTCCATTTGTCAAGGAATGAAATTATTCTTTCCATTGCACGAATGTGATACATTCATTATTTATTTTATACAACACCTGAATAAATGCTCATCATCTGAATGGTCAGAGCTGCCTGTGCAATTGAACTTTTATTTAATACTGTGGAATGGAACTTCTGTTTCTGTGGTCCGTAGGTTGGGATGAAAAATTCAATGACATGTGATCAACGCCAGAACAAATCCGATGACGGGGATTTATTCAGGCATTGTATAATACCAGATATACTTCACTGCATGACTGACCTTTCCATCTGGAGTAACTGTGATATGTGGACGGTGGTAGATGAAGGCAGCTGGTGTCTTCCTAATACGAAGAATGAACACATTTCGGATAAATATCAAAAGTAGTATGGAAGACATGTATGGTGCATGTAGAAGGGGGAATGTATTCAGATGTAATATGAATGGCTTGCACACATTCACCGATATATAACTGTGGACTAACTAAATTTGGTTAATTGGGGGCAGTATTTGAAAATAGATGGTCAGCCAACCATCGTTGGAAATTGATAATACAAAAATTCCACTTTTCTTGAAAATGACAGCACGCCAGATGCCATGATTTCATAGGATGCTTGAGACTATTAAATGTATTCAATTACAGCCAAGTAAGGTATTTCATGATAATTTGGTATTTTTTTTTTTTTTTGTGTTTGCAAATGTTGTATATTACCTTTAAGGCAAGATTTGAAACATCAGCTTTTTGGAATCAGAATGAAATAATGCCATTTGAAGATAACTTGTTTTCATTCAAAAGGCTGTGATTGATATATGGCCTTCATCCAGTAGCATTTGTTTTTCATGGGCACCCTGTGCAATGGTATTCGTGCTTCTGTCATCTCCTTCTTTGTTGACTTTGAGGGGGTACGTGTGCAAGGAAACCACAGAACATCATATTTCTCTGATGCTACTACAAACAATGTTATCAAAACTACAATAATCTCCACTCGCCTCTCAAAATGAATTTTCTGAAAAGTTGCAGGAACTCGTGTCAGTGTAGCGAACATGTCTGAATGAAGCCGTTGCATCTCTTGAGCCACGTGCATCACATCCAAGAAGAGGCTTTCACCACCTGTAACCTGCTCGTCAAACCTGGGAAAAGAAAGAGAAAACAATTTTCATAAATTTTCCAGGATGACAATTAACAAAGCAGTCAACAATTGTTTTGTTATACCTCTGTCTTGGATTCTTTGGATTTTGATGTAAAAATCACGAAAATAAACAGCAGTAAACACAACAATCATGTCGATTGAACGTCAACTCACATGCATGTCGCATGCTGATCCTCTGCTAGTTGGCTGCTCCCACACATGTGTGAAAACATGGTGAAAGTAGCGTGGGTACCAACGATACAAGCATTTGTACCGTACCGTACGTACGTACCGTACGTACGTCATATCCCACAGGGAGTGTGCCGTGACTTTTTACAAACTTAACACGTGATTGTTCTGGGCCAATAAAAATACAGTATTCAAGACGGTTGTATAACAATATTAATTATCCCACGAGCTTGAGTGGAACACGGAATAATGTAGTGCGTCTGTGTCCCACATGCCACAAGGCCAAAGGCCAAGTGGTATGTGAGACACAGACGCACTACATTTTCTGTGGTCCATGAGCGCAAATGGGACAACAAATTTATCCTCAAGCAAACGTGACACACGGTGTATACACTAACTTTTCCGCGGTTATGGCTCGGGCATCTTAGAATGGCGTATATGCGGAGTGCGTTATGGACCAGGAAACTTGCCACACAGTATAAAGATATAGAACGCGCCGCAAGTGTGTACAAGTGTGTAACAAGTGTGTATCTAAATGCACGTGATGATCCATATCGGACGCAACCACCCCAATTTTGAATGCGCAATGAGTATTGTGCAGCACTGGTACCAAAACCAAGTCGCGTAAGCTTAGAATAGTGCAATACGCGGAGTGCGGTATGGACCGTGGCTGTGCTACATAGTTATATGTAGCAATGCTTGTCGCCATGGATCAACAAATCAGGATGGAGGATTTAAGTTTACTTGAAGATAAATGGTCATGGTGGCGACTGCTACTGGAACAGTTCGACACATCTTTTTTGTTTTCTTCACTTTTTTTCTGTACTTTACCTGGAATTTTTTCATTTGCATTTTCTTCGCACTGGAAGTTGACAGGAGGTTTAGCATAAGGAAAGGTTTGCCACAAGGGTTCTGAGCACAAGTAAAGAAATTGCAAGTAGATAACGTGGATGAGGTTAGTGATTGATACTTGGCTGAGCAGTCCTTACGTGTTGCTATGCTCATACGTTTGCTTTCCTAATGTGTAGTTGTTGATGTGAATTAAGTGTCACTTTCTCCCTCCCCAGCCAAGAAGAAACATCACTAGTCAGGTCACAATTAACAGGGGATGAACAGCAATAAGTTTTAATAGTAACCCTAACCTTCCCAAATCCTCTTTGCAAAATGGAGGATTTTGCAGGATGGAGGCTATGTGGCAAAAAATGTGTGGCTGATTTTTGAGGGTTGCACTGTGTCAAGGTCTTAGGCCGGACCTTGTGTTGTTTGTGCTCAGTCATGCATAAATTTAGGCCTAGATTATACTTGAAGTTCTTGCACTACTCCAGGATGTCACTGGCTCTGCCTCAACATTTAAATATCTCTCATAGGACGCCATCTTCGTATTCAACGCCATCAGGTACTGTGCGCGCAGTGTGCAAAATGTTCTAAACACGTGCCCATGTTGCTCGGAATTTTTTCTAAATACAGCGCAGTTGATGCGCGTCATGAAAATTTGACGCTAAAAATGCCGATGCACGTGGCAATCTGAAGGAAGTGACGTCAATTGAGAGAGACCTATTGACGGTCATTGCAGGATGATTTTGCAGGATTGAGGCGGTGGTCGATCGCCCCTCCAAGGATTCAAGAAATAACGGATGATTTTGGATTGAGGCTGTATGCAATTTTTGCATGGAGGCAGTTATGGAGGATTTTGCAGGATTAAGGTTGCATCCTAGCAAAAATGCTGTTAAGGAATGCCACAGTTAATTCAAATATCTTATTCCTTGATTTGAGACTGGACTTATGTGATTGACCACTGACCGTAACAAAACCAGTGCTAACACTATGAATGAATAAATGAGTAACTCTGCAAAAAAAATTTAGACCTCGTATTTCTACGGGCCATAATTGCCCTGAGTTATCGATCCAACCTCCCCCAGTGATATGCAGGGGGATGGTGGAGGCCAGAGGGAGGAGAACAAGAGGACAGAACAGCCAATACATCTTACTTCAAGCAATGGAGCAGCTGCAATCCTGGTGGCGACTGGAAGTACACCAGATCCATATGCAACTCCAGAGCAACAGGTGTGTAGGCCACGTTGATTGCATCCTCCGTTGCCTCCACAGTGAAAGTCTTCGTCAGGAAATAAAACCAACAATATTCAGATTGGTCGTACGACAATGACACTGATGATTTATAACGATGTCTATACTGAAAGGCTAAAGCATGTCTTTTCAAGACTAGGCAAACCTATTAAAGCTGGTCACACTATATCAGCGCACAGAGCAGCCTATCTCAGCGCACACAAAGTTCTATTCAACTGATTCAGAATGGCTATCTACGGGAAGTCTTTTCTTGCATCTGATATTCACAATGGTGTTATGGGTCAATCCTATACAACAGCACTGCCCAGCTCTCTTTACCAGCCTGCGACCGGTCTAAGTCACAAGTGAGAGTCGGTCGGTCGGTCGGTCAGTCAGCAGGCAGTGAGAAAACTACAAAGAGGACATCAGGCTTTCCCTCTGGGACCTGCAAAAATTCACTTAATTTGACAGATTTAAAGGTAAAGAAATACATCAGATTTCACAGAAGGAAATTACCATTATCCCTAACCCCCATCAGGTATTCTTCAGGTACCCTGCTAAATGCAACAATATCCAACTCATCTCAAAGTAGAACCCCTGCTAAATGCAACAATATCCAACTCAACTCAAATAAGCCATTTGCGAGTTAAATTTGAATAAAATCTGGAACACTGACATAATCCGGTGCTTTGCACGTTTTAAGTTTGCATTCTCCCGACCAAAGAGACTGTTACTATATCATGTGATTCGGGGCAAGCCTTATGCTAGCAACCCCCAGCTACGGCATGGTCTGGTGTCTTTGTGCCATTTTCACCCATTGTTAACAATGTATTGGTGCTGAGCGTCTCAGCAAGAGCTTGCCCCGAATCATGTGATTAGCAACAGTGTCTGTTGTCTGGAGAATTCAAAGTTAAAATGTGCCAAGCATTCTGAGCAAGTCAGTGAACCAGATGTTTTTCAAATGTAAATCCCAAAGGGTAAAGGGATACCGCAAATGGCTCATTAGAAACCCTGCTATATGCAACAAACTGCAACAGTAGATTCTGTAGCATTGTGCAGTGAACCCAATGCATACCAACCTTGGCACCAAGCAGCTACCCTGCCTAATGCAACAAAGTGCAACAGTGAATACTCTTGTATCGACTTGGCACTATGAGCAGTTACCCTGCTAAATGCAACAAGATGCAACAAGCATGGGGACTTGAGTTGGCCGCTAAATGCAACAATATGCAACAACTTTGTACCTTCGTTGCTATCTGTTACATACTTTAGCAGGGTTAGGGTAAAACATGTATCCTGAACGTTGAAACTATGACCAAAGCCGCTGAGTGTCTCCACAGTAAAAGTCTCCCCGGAGTCAAAAATTGTGGACAAAAATCTGTTCCCATCAACTGGACCCTCATTACTCCAATGACAAGAACATACCCTAATATAGTGCAAGGAGCCCATACAAGCTAAGTGATAGATAAACTAATGTTTACCTTTCCATACAGTGTTTCCTGGACGGGAGCTACCAGCTCTGCAACCTTGCACACACAAAAAGATGAAATAATGGATTTGTTTCAACTATGAAAATGTGCAAATCCAGGAAAATCTCCAAGAAATTAAAAAACATGATCTTCCCCTGATAAATAGGTAGTGATGTGATAGGGTAAAATCATACGGTGATGTGACTTGACCAAGTGATTTATTTAAACTGATTTACCTTGCAGATATGGCCTACTTCACAAGGCACTTCTTTGACAAGTGCAATTCCATCCTCATTCAAATCTCTCAAGAATCTGCACAAAGTTGAACAGAAAGATCAATTGACTCATCAGTGCCACACATTGAGAGCTAAGTTTGATCTTTTTAATAACAAAAAACAATGGATTAAAGATGCGTACCTTGTGCTCTTTAAAAACACAAAAATAATTAAGCTGCTGCAAACTGCTCACTGAAATATACAAATCAAAAAGTTAGAGAGGCTTGATGTATTTCGTCTTTAGCAAAGACTTCTTCCGAAGTCTGAAGAAGTCTTTGCTAAAGACGAAATATATTAGGCCTCTCTAACTTTTTGATCTTTAAAAAACAGATTTTTATTTGGGCCAGTTAGGGGTAAAACTTTTTCTTAATAGAAGCATTGGGAGAGCGCTACTTTTTGTCATTAGAGATGTTATTACCTTGACCCCATGATGACCTTTGACCCGAGTTTGGTCATGTGACATGTTGGGGCTGGGTAGAAACAGTCAAAATATGTAGGAGCAATAGACAATGTCAACGTTTGTTACTAACTACACTTACGTAGGGATAACGGACAGCAATTTGTTGAGCTGCTACCCGCAGCCGTAAAATTCATTTACCTATTGACATCGTCTGTTTCTGTGAGCAGATCATGAAACTTGTGCTCCTTGATAGGACCCTGTAAGGACACAGAATGAGAAAAACAATATTACACCTAAAAACCTTGTCAAAGGGAAAACGTGTCAACCTTCAATGACATTCTCACAGGATTTGGTGCACTGTACGCGTAACGTCTGTTATTCATGCTTTTCCAAAGAGAACTTCCAACAATCAAATAACATTTGTTGTTTTACTCGGTGTTAGTCTTGAAAGTCTGGAAATCTTGGCGGTGGCAACAATTAAGGTCGAGGTAGATAACCAATTAAAGGGAAGATACAACATTTGCAAACATCAAAAAACGAATTGATCAAATTGTAACAAAATATCTTGCTGGATTGTTAATGAATGACAGTCTAAAGCATCCTGTGAAATCATGGCTCCTGGTGTGCTGACATTTTCAAGAAAACTTGTATTTTTCCAACGCTGGTCAGCCGACCATCGTTGGAGAAAACTGGCTATTTTTCAAAACTACTCCTAAATTTTCGTAATTAGTTATTCTGCATTTTCTTTGCAATTGATTACACATCTGTGAAGGGGTACAAGCCTGCCAGAATGATTTTCTGACCTTACAACCCCCAAAGTCTATAAATTGCAACGTCTCATTTTAAGTCAGGTACATGTAAGTGGGGTCAGGGAACCAGACCACAAGAACATGGTTGGCTTTCTTAGATTTTCCAGCATCCCAGAACCCAAAACAAGCCAGTTTAACAATATTTTCTATAGCATACTAATCCTCCAAATATATTTATTTCTGAAAATTGCAGCAAAAGCAAATGGTGTATATTCCCTTTAAGTGAATGAGAAAAAATGACCTTCACTACAGTGTTAGCCAAGACCTTCCTATCCTTAGCAAAATCTACATAAGATGACATGCATAATCTAGCAAAACTTCGGCTTGTGTGCAATGTTTGGAGGTTTAGGGAACTTTATTTCTCAAAATGTACCCCTAAATTGCACGTTGCGATCTAAGAATGATGTAAATGCACAAAAAGAGGGATTTCTAAACTATTGGTCTATTTAGTTTCAGTCTTCCCAAAAAAATTCAAACTCTCGAAATTATTCATGAACCTGCCTTGAACACAGCAACGTCTTGTTTCCGGGAGGTTTCCTGGAGAGATTGTCGGGAGTAGCTGTTGTCTTTCAGCCAGGGCAAGGGAAGAACGGTTTCATGGGACTCCTCGTTCCACTCAATGTGCAGGGTGCCACTCACTGGGAATAATGAACAAAACTACAGCCAGGGACCAAACGAGGACACCAACACACTGTACCCCTCACTAGGAGTCCAAAAAGTTTGTTGTGACTTTTTGGGGGTCGGACAAATCCAATGAATGGGCATGTTTAAGTGCAAGACATGGGGGGGGGGGGTTCAAAGTTACTCACAGAGCCCCAATGGCAGAAGTTTTTTATAGTGCCAACTCTTGAACAAAAGAACGACTATAGCCTCTCCAAAACAAGGTGTTCTCCAATCTTATCTGCAGGAAGGACGCAAACATCTGCACACGAATACCTACATTTTGTCTCATACCATTAAAAAGTTGCATCGATGACAAATCAACGCCTTTGTCGAGGCTAAAATCTTTCAGCCATGAGGGCCCGCTTTAGTGAAGAGTGTTTCTAGCTATGACTAGCTTTGGTCTATAAGCACAGCCACCAACTAGCGATGTATCTAGGTTTGGTTTATGAGGGACGGCAGACTGTGGACTGTATAGCCAGACCTGTCCAATGCCCCACCAGAAAATGGACCGATCCAGTAAGCACCGCCCCATGGTGTACTGACCAATCACAGCCGTGATTTATGTCCGACGTGCGTGCACAGAAGTCCGACATGCGTGCACGTGCATATGATGCGCGCGGCAGGAAAATGCAGTGTGGCATTGGAGAGGAGCACATGGTAATTTGACAAGTGCGCAGTGGGCGGGGCTTACTGGATCGGTCTATTGTGACATCTTTGTCCTGCATTCGGGGCACATTCTCTGGGGACTTGAAGATCACGTGTTGTTAATGTCGGGAACTGACAGTGTTCTTTTTCTTACCTTTTATAAAAATTGGTATGCCCCAGCCCGCCAGTGCCAATAACATTTGGGTCAACAGACACACTAAGCCTTTGCTCTGGAATGGTCTGGTGCCTCTGTCCTTTTCCCCACCCATTAACCCCTTAAGGACAGGGTGTAATGGGGGCATTCCTCCACACATAGAGCAAGTGGCCCGCATGACTGCACAGCCTTTGTGTGGTAGCAGGACTGCACAAAAGCAGCAGCTGTAGAACTACCCATTGGCGGTGTGCCACGGCATGCCACAGCTGGCAACTGCATTCCAATGAGGATTAGCGGGCGCGGCCATTACTACTTCCGGTAGGCAAGTGGTTAATAACAATGTCACTATGGTTACAGGCCGCGTAATTTTTATTCCTAGGACATGTAGGAGGGTTAGGAGCAATGTCATGAATAATTCATGTTTATCCATGAGAACGGACAATGACATCAACAGCATTGTTGTTAGTTACTCAACTAGTTACAATACATTAAGAAAGGGGGGGTGGTGATTTGGGGGTTGAAATGAACTGAACTCAATTAACCCGTGTTGGGGGTGCCCTACAGCACGTCAGCCACAAAAAGGTTTGTTTTCAGGCCTGATAATGAACTTAGACAATTTTTTCTTCCAATTTTTTGGTGAAAAATGAGTCATCCATCCTTCTCCATGCCGTACAAGCGATTTGGAAGAATTTTTCAAAACTTCGCTTCTTTAATGGTTGCAGGCCAGTAAATCTGTCCAAAATCGCCTATGCCGGCCAAATCACGATTTGCATGTCCTCAAATTCTTCACTATTTAAGCATATGTGGGCTATGAACTGGAGGGATTGTAAAAAGGGATGAAAGCCGTGCACAGGAATGTGAGCTTGTAGTTATGTGCAATTTGGATGAAATTGGAGCCCTAAAAGCAGACTACAGGGTGTTTCAATAAAATGGAAACCCAACTTTGAAGAACCAGTATGGACAGACTAAATGTTTACTGGATATAAAACTGATATCGTCTGAAAGCTAGTCTTTGCCTTTCAATGATACCTTGTTTACATTTCCAGGGTCATGCATCGCTGAGCGCCACTGTCATGAGATTTTGATGCAAAATTGCAGTTGGTTCACTTTCATACATCAAACACAATAGGCATAGTGTGCATTAGAATAAGTATAAGTATAAGAGAAGAAGACACGAGTGCTTAAAAAGAAACCAAAAAACCAGTCAGGTTGGTTTCAAAACTGGATTTTATTGTTTGTCATGAATTTCTCGTTTTGACCAAGCCACGTTCAAAACAATGTGCCATTTTCCCGAGGATTAACATTCAAGCCATTTCACAGACAGTTCCGTAACAATAGGCACACGGTGCCCAGTGTTTGCTTTTTTATGAAAGTGAACCAACTGCATTTTTGCATCCAGTCTTCAAGACAATGATGCTCAGTGATGCATGACTCAGAAAACCTAAACAAGGTATCATTGAAAAGCATTGAGATTACGCTTTCAGATGATACCAGTTTTATAGCCAGTAAACATATCGTCTGTCCAAACTCATTCTTTGAAGTTGGGTTTCCTTTTTTTTGTAAACACCCTGTACTTTGCAATGGAGTGTAGGTGTCGTTTTTGTCAAAATGGCGATGGGCTTCAGCACCATTTTAAGGGGTGATCATCCCAAAAAAAAAATTGAAATGAAAGATAATGAAATTAGCTTTAATTTGATGTGTGTCTTGATTACCTTGGAGAGTTGTGAGTATTTTTCCTGAATTTTTGAAGTGGGGGCACATATCATTGGGGTCTATGGCAGTTTATTTACTAGTCTGCAACCCTATCAGCTTGCCCCAATCGCATGATGGCTTCTCATCTACAAAGTCGGAAAGCATACTGTGTAGTGAATTCTTACAGGGATGCACCTTAGTCGATCGGACCGTAAGCGAGGCAGGCAAGGAATAGCTTGGCAACAGCAACTGCCCATTGTCATGGCGACAGGCTGGGCAGTGACAATTTTTCCGCAACCATAAACTGTAATACCTGCCAAGAAGATAAAGAAAATTGTAGGGAAAAAAAGTGGCGAGGACACTTTGAAAATGAGGACCCCAAATTAGTGACCCCTTCTAACAAGATTTCTGGAGACTCACCTATAAAGTCACATGTTCGGGCCAAGGTAAGGCTTATACAAATCTAATTTACAAGTGACAGCAAGTCAATGAGTCAGTCAGTGAGATGGGTACAGAGAAGAATGTAGTCGACTGGACCTCTGGGACCAGCAAAGCCAATATTTTGGCCAAGGCGGGACTCATTCAAGTCTAATTCTCAAGTGATAGTCAGTCAGTCAGTCGGTGGCACCAGCAAAAATCTAAACATTTTGCTTACTTAAGCCGCATTGGCAAATGTCTAATTCATAATACATTTAAGACAGTTAACCCATTGCTATTGGTCAATAGCCTATCACATGGGTGGATTTAAACGGTTGATAAAACACCAGCTGTCTGGTTTTAAACACTTTTCTGGTGTCCCATGAAATTTGGACTTCTAAGAAAAATAGTCCCTTTTACCCTAGGCACGTGCAATATTATGAATGAGTCAGTATTTCATAGAGTCCTAAATTCACACTACACTGACACTGCCATGCTCTCGCCACATCGCCCGCCAATCTCAATATAAGGAGATTTATAGTACTACTCATGAGAGGCACATACCATAACATGAAGTGAAATTGTTGAACAAAATCGATGAAAATGTGCGAGTTTTAACTTGTTTTGACTTTCTGACCCAAAGGTATTTATGAATGGGAATAAATATGTGCTTGGTCAGTACAAGTACGTTTCAACCCGGCTTGGGGCCTGATTGCCGATAATGTTGAGACGTCCAGGCCACAAGCCGGTTTTAAACGTACTTGTTTACTTTTTTTAAACGTGCTTGTTTAAAACCGGCCAAGCACATATTTATTCCCTTAATCAATTAACTGTAAAAGGTCACGCACTTTTCCACTCACCGACTAAGTGTGCTGTCCTTCCAAGTTATTTCTAAGTGTTTCCCTTGAGCCGTCATTTCAGAAAAGAAGCCTGAAGCATCCTGCTGAGTGTCAGAATAAACACAATATTACTTGTCAACGTACAAAGCACATCAGGCAAGAAAACTTCTCCAGAGCTGTGTGGTTTTTAAAACAGGTCAAAATTTTATTGTACTGCTGAACATAAAATTCTGCACTTACATGTATGTTCACCATTCCTGGCCTTCACAGATAACAACTAATCCTGTAAGCACAGAATCCTTAGTACCGGTGTCATATGAAAATTGGACTCGTATAAAATCTGGACTCCTTTACCCTCTTATTGGTTAAACTCTCCTATTGTCTTTACTTACCGGGTACATTGTCTCCTGGACACCACATTGTCTCCTGATGACAAACAGAGCATGTTGTTCGAAACGTCAAGTTAAACCAACTGGTCCTTCTCAGAACCACACAACTCACTAAGAGATATCATTCACATGGCGTTACCGCAAACCTCCCATTCATTGATCATGTCCACCATGCAAACGTTTAAGTCTCATTTATCTTCACTCTAGCACGCGCAGTACTACCAATGAGTCCGTATTTCAAAGAGTCCTAAATTCATACTACACCGGTGCTTGTACATGTACACAAGCCAACTCTTATCTATGAAATAGTCTAACACAGTAAGTTTGCTACTTTTGTTAAAAGAGATTATTTGCTAACAGTAATAAGGAGATCCAATGAATTTGGGTTCTACTTTATAGGGACTAATGAACAAGACATCACAAGCTTACAAACTGAATGAAAGCTTATTCACATAAAAAACGTCTCTTTTTAAAAAATGTAACTGTCAGTTTTTGGGGCACCTATTGGCAAAACTAATTTTTTTTTTTAAATTAGAAACTTGTTAAAAACCAACCACTGTCTCAGTGTGATCACTTGTGTTGTGAACGGTGGTCAATCCAGCACACAGAATTGGGGAATGGCTCTGCTGCCACTTCAAGAGGCTGCGTTGAGACAGACTAGGAGAGATGCAACGTCCTCTCAAAATTGCACTCCTGATGACGTTCATTGTGGGGATTTTTTCAGGGCCAGTGACGTAAATCTGTAGGACTTAAAAGGTAAAATACAACATTCCCTTGAGAAAAGAAGAGAAAGAGGGGACCTAGTTATAGAGACTTTCAAGATATTGAAAGGCCTTGATAAAGTAGACAGCAGCAGATTCTTCAAAACAGCTGACAGAACCAGGACAAGATGTCACTCTTTTAAACTCTTCAAGCCATCCCTGAAGAAAAACATTGGATGTAGGAAGAACTTCTTCACCCAAAGAGTGATAAACATCTGGAATTCCCTTCCACAGGCAGTAGTGGATGCCAACACTGTAGCAGCATTCAAGAAAAGACTGGATTCTCACTGGAAGGAGGAAAAGATAGGATATGGGGTCACAAAGGCTATGCCTAATTAATTTACTCATTAAACCGGGAAAGTAGTAAGTAGTAAATTGGCCACATTTATGGTGCTATAGTACTAGGCCTAGTTAAGTGGGTCTAGTATTTGGTCAAAAATCAATTTGAAATCGCATTTATTTTGTCACTTTATACTCACACAATACAAAGGGCGATCGTGAAGTGTAAGGCCCGGTTCCTATAAGGGAACAAAATCCACTTTAAAATTATTGGACCTACCAAACTAGTTGGCGACATTCTCAATAAACATGTATGTCACAGATAGAGGGCAGGGTTTTGATTTTTTGAGAGAAATTTGGGGGTAAAACACGCGACCCGAAAAATAAAGATGGCGATCACCGCGCGATGTATAGTCGGACTCCCTATTATCGCGGCATCCCTATTATCGCGGCATGGGAAATTTCTCTTTTTGCGTTGCCAAAACTCCTTCAAGTGGTAATTTTTTTCCAGTTCACCAGTCATTAAGGACTTTTTGCCAAGTTGTATAAAAAGGACGATTAAAAAATGTTGTGTCTTTCGGGACTTTTAACGATTTTTAATAAATAATAACGTTTGCCAAAACTTGCAAATTTTCCCTCAACGTGTCTGCTAAAAGGTACCGTCTATATTTTAACATAAATCTTTAATGGTGCTCTGTCCATGAAAGTTCCATTGCCTGGTTCCCATTCTTCAGCTGCAAATGTATAATGAAGTCGAAGGACGATATTTGCACCACGAAATCGTAAAAACTTGTACGGGATCAAAATAAGCACAGCGTGTTAACAAAAATAAAACGGCACACCGTGTAAAGTGAATGGCGCCCCCAATCGCCAAACAGTAGACTTGCCTCAGTCATGTCAGTGAGTTGTGTTCTCCTTTCGGGGGAAGGGCAGGGTCTTAGAAATCATCCTGCAGATATAATAGTCTTTAATCAACTTGAACTTACAGGGAAAATATCAGACTTTATTCAGGGGGTGTTTTGGTCAAACATTAACTATGAATAAAAAAGTTAAGATCATTATAAAAACCACTTCCCGCATACCGCGATAATAGGGAGTCCACCTCCACACTCCGAGCATGTCTATTTTCACAGGCATCGTACACGGAATAAACCACACCACCGTCGGAATTTTTTATATCAATTTGAAAAGGAAGAGTTATACTACACAAAAGACAGGACAATTCGGGAAGGTTATAGTGGGGAATCTCTATTCCAAACGAGAAACGTGATAAGTACCACGATAATATGGCAACCCATCCTACCGTGAGTGAGCACGCACGGCGTGCTGAATTGCAAGACACAAACCGCGCAGGAAAATCGTAATTTCTACCCCAAGAATCTGTTCAAAATTGCAAAACGGGTGTCATTAGAATTGAGAAAAGTCTGCTTTTGATTGTAAAGGTGATTTTTGAGAAATAAAAATATTTTTGACTCTCAGTCTCAGTTACTCCTAGAACTATAACCCCGCAAAATTGTTGTCAGCACAAAACACTAATTAAGTACAAAAACGTCCATCCAAACCAAGCTTTTTCCCACAGAACCGCTGCACAGTTTGCCCCTAAACTCCGTACATTACCTCATGACATACTCACGTTATGTGCACCAAACAAACATCGGTGGATTCTGTCGGTTTTTCGGCAAAAATGATGAAAAATATGCCCTTTCCGCACTGAGCCAATCTGACACTTGAAACGTGCACGCGCGCAGAATGATCGCAGTAATTTTCGGTTCGATCGCTCAGAGCGCGCCGTGGGGGGGGGGGGGGGACGTACTTGCACTTGTACGCATGCGCATATTATCGTTCCGCTCCTACCATACCCCCCGCGGCGCGCTCCGAGCCATCGAACCGAAAATGACTGCGATCATTCTGCGCGCGTGCACGTTTCAAGTGTCAGGTTGGCTCAGTGCGGAAAGGGCATATTTTTCATCATTTTTTAATCTTTTTGCCGAAAAACCGACAGAATCCACCGATGTTTGTTTGGTGCACATAACGTGAGTATTGTCATGAGGTATTGTACGGAGTTTAGGGGCAAACTGTGTAGTGGTTCTGTGGGAAAAAGCTTGGTTGGGGATGGACATTTTTGTATTTAATTAGTGTTTTGTGCTGACAACAATTTTGCGGGGTTCTAACTCTATGACTATGAGGCTCCACTACGTGGAGCCTCAAAGTCATAGTTCTAGGAGTAAGTCTCAGTCAGTCTAATTTGATCAAAACAAAACAGGGGCCCTACACTTCACGATCGCCATATAAAGCTCACTTTATACTCACACAATGCCGTCTACAAAACGTTAAAGTCATTACCTTCAGAGGTCTAATTATCTTGACTTCTTGTATTAAAGTTGTAATTTCGGGTTGAATTCGGACGACTTTCATAACTTTCAGTCACGAAGGCGTCATGCTCCAAATCGCGCCCTCTATAGCTAGCTAGCTTGCCTCGGACAAAAGTGCGCCCGCATATATAATATCCATGCGGGTCAACTTTTGACCAATACTGAATGACAGGCAACAGTGTCAACGAATTCATTAAAGCCATTTCTCAGAAAACGTGTATATTTATGCATTTGGCAGTCTTTGCAGCAGTTTGTCCAATCGTACCAGATGATCTAAACCCATGTTTCTAGGGTCAAAGAATCATTAGAGCCATTTCTCAAATGATAATACTGACATTTTCTCAGCAGCATTAACTCTTTCGCTACGGCGAGCCGCTGACACTAGCGGCACACAAAAATTGTACATGTCGTACGCGTACGGCAAGCCGCCGCGCTGCTGGCAGCGGCTCGGTGACGTCGCTGTGAATAAACAGGGTATCCCCATAAGGCCCCCCCAAAAAAGTCTCCGGTGTCCCGGTCTCACTTCTCCGGCGTGCTAGCTTCTCCGGGCGGATTCGGCGGATAACTGAGCACGTTACAGTGTACGTCACGTAAGCACGATTCATGCCCATGTATCCGCTATGCTTACTTTTCCTCAAGCTGTATTCTGAAGTCTACCAAGCCATTAATAACGCAGTGAGGGATACCCAAGAATGTATTATGTAACACTTCCTGTGGGGTCAAGTCATTCCATGGTCCGTAGCATGCATGTGTGTGTGTTCATGGAGGAATAATTAAGAATGAACTTCTTGGTCCGTGTTCCTTGCTCGTTCGTGGTCCATTTTGTCTTTATTTTGCAGCCACGGCCTAAAATAAAATTGGTTTAATTATTGGGAGTTGTGCGCGTCACGAAAATTCTGGATTGGACTGGTACCCTGTAACCATGCATACAAATATCCCAAGATCTTACGTGTACCTGTACAACCCCGAAGCACTCAGCACGCTAATACAGTTGACGAAAATGTACACTACTGCGCAATTTTGTGCATGCGTGTTGAAGCCAAATTTCCCTTTCGGAGAAGCTAGCACGCCGGAGAAGTGAGACCGTGACACCGGTTTCTGGTATGCGCGCGCGTCGCCGTAGCCATGCGCGTCGGCAAAATGAAAAAGTTTTTTTCAATGAAAGATGATGTCTCAAAACCGCCAAACTCACTGGTTTGACTGGAATCCTGCTGCTGCACAATTTTAACGTGTTTTTAGATTGGGTTATGGTCGAGAATAAGCTTTCTGTGGCCTCTCTGGACTCCAATGTATTTGCACTAAGTTTAGTCGGGCACCATTTGCAGTTATCAGCCGACATTTGAAGCAAAAAAATCAGGTAAAAAAAAAAAAAAGCCGCATCGCCGCACCACTTTTTGGGCAAGCTCCATACCAGAAACCGGAGACTTTTTTTGGGGGGCCTAACGTGGGCCTTATCTACATAATTTATATCGCATAACTCTGACCCTAGTTTGAGCCGCTGCCAGCGGCTCTCCGTCTCGCCGAGGTCTGCTGCACGTTATTGTGAGCAGTTTGTTTACAGAGAGACATTGCAAGATGGCGGCGTCCACATCGACACACGGCGGAATTTCCAGCGGTTTATTACGTCCAAACGGGGAAAAATCGGTAAATTAAATTCCGTAGCGAATGCAAATTAGCTACCGCCATTAGCATATACATTTATACATGTACATTGTATCTATGCAGGATATCATCCTTACATATCAATCGAGGCAGCTAGACTTATCTTTTCAGAGTCAATAAATTTGTTTCACTAGTTCCCAGGCGACAATTAACCATCCCAATACGTTCACCCTTGCCTATGATGCCCCCAACCCCCATATAGAAGTACTTTTTTTTTTAATTAAATGAATAGTGAAGATGATTGTTTTTTCGCCAAACTTGGATCACTTAAGTTGGATCAGTTTCATTAACATGCATTAAGCACAGGAGATTTTCCCCTAATTCACATCAAAATGGGTTTGAAGAATTGGCGGGGACACAGATACAATTTGAAATGTTCCACATGCAATTTATTATTTGTTGAAAAAAGAAAAATGGTTGTCTTTTTCGTGGTGGACGTGGGTCGTGTGGCAGTTGCCTAGGGCGCCTGTACATACCCCTCGGCTCGACCAAGTTGTAGCCGCGTCCTTCGCAGTTCAGCCTCTTAGCTGCGAGTAAGGAAAAAGGATGAGTAGCCCCCGAAATTATAAATTAAAAGTGCATATCAGTACATGACGCACCGGCATTATGACTCAATGGTCAGATTTTGAACTCGCACCAAAATTTGATAAAAATAACAAATTTTGTAGATTTTAAATTATTTCCTTAGATAACTTTTCTGGGAGACAATGGGTTTAATTTTTCGTCAGTGTCCTCCCCTTGGCCAAGTTTTCCTGAACACGCCCCTTGAGGACCGATTCATCGTTTTTCACTAGCTGTGTATGAAGAGTCAGAAAAATCTCTCTTTGACGTGCATTAATTCAGCCTTTGGTATCCTGCTTCGGTTTAAATCAATAGTATGATGTTACCAGATTTCCTGTAACGGGCTAATTGAAGATAGTATATCCAAAATCTGATCAAAAAAGGTGTGTCGGTCGGCAGTTTTTTAGTGTTTCTTTTTGGGGTTTTTTGTTTTTACTTTTCCTTGAAAAAAAAACAACAATGAAAAACATTCTTTTACCGACCCAGGTCAGCCCCGCCTATAATAATAAACCGCGTTCTCCCCATCACTTTTCTAGATTCTCAATTTAAAAGTTACACAAAATTGAAAAATGCAATCTTGGAACAAATCAAACCATAACAATATATGTTGAAAGGGAAATCTGTACTGGTTTCGGTATTAGGTGTAGCCCCGGGGAGGCGATAACATAAACTCCACCAGCTAGTGTCAACCACGATTAAGAATGCAAAATGGCCGAAGGTCAGGGCTTCAGATTCCACTTGATCTTTAATGCGCGGTGAACTGTTAACAAGATAAAAACGATACAAAACTACTAAATATCTGGCAAAAGTCCAAAACATGAACAGGTTCGAGGAAAATACCGTAAAGTTCGGTCTACATGAAGTAAACAGAGATAAACTGGGAAAGTCAATCTAAAAAAAACCACTCAAATAGTGAATACGGGCTGTAATCCCCACTACATGTACAGAGTAACGTTCAGCAACTTCTCATTCTAAGGTTAAATGTAACGATAGCTTAACATCAAAAAACCCTATCAATGTGGTAGAGAAATATAAGAAAATTACATCAGGCACAAGAAAATCTAATGACTTATTAATCAAACAAAGGCTCTAGGTGTCTATAATATCACTTGAAGATCACTTACATTACTGTGGTTCTTGAGAGTCAAATTAAAAGGCTTAAAAGTACATCTCAGGAGGGTCTAACTTCTCAAAGGTTGTAAAAACTATCAGCTGTAGGTCTTAAAATCTAGAAAATGCTTGAACTAAAACAAAGGTGTCGGGAATGCAAGCAGCATGGTATTTGATCTGGCTGTTCCTGTGTAACTCGAACAGCGCCCTCAAGTGATGGGACTGGAGGAAAGGGCGCCATCATGTGGCAGGGTTGTATAAGGGAACAATGACCTTCACACTCCCCGTCTAAAATTGAACCTAGAGAAACTTTTACTGAATATGTAATCAAGGATGTAATTGTTCGTGTACAGTCTGTCTCACTCGGTTGTAGAGCACTGCGTTGAGTCGTGACCCTTCTCAAGGAGCACAAGCTCCGAGATAGGTCGCAAGTAGGTTCTGCGCGTCCCGTCAGAGCAGACAATGATGTCAACCTTGCGAACTCTGCCATCATCACTGGGGTACGTCTTCGTGACTCTGGCAAGGGGCCAGTTGTTCCTCCAGAGCTCCTTATCTCGGACCAGAACTACGTCTCCTTCGCGGATATTGGGCTGCGTACTGTTCCACTTTGTCCTGGGCTGCAAGCTCTGGAGGTACTCCTTCTGCCATCGAAGCCAAAATTGTTCTGCAAGATACTGGGCACGACGCCAATGTTGTCTGGCATAGAGATCTTCTTTGACGAAGTCACCTGGAGGTGCCTGAAGTGTCTGAGTCTTCAGGGTGAGGAGCGTGGCAGGAGTGAGTGGTCGGGGGTCGTTGGCATCTGAGGAGACTGTAGTGATAGGTCTCGAGTTGACGATAGCACATGCTTCCGCCATAAAAGTCACAAGTACGTCATGGGTTAGCTGATGCTTACCTAGTTGGGCAAACATTGATTCCAGGACACGTCGGATGATTCCTATTGGCCGCTCCCAAACTCCTCCAAAGTGCGAGGCGTGTGGGGGGTTGAACACCCACTCGCAACTCCTGGTAGTCAAGTACCTCCCAACTTGTTCGTGGTTCAGCTCGCCCTTGGCGCCTACGAAGTTTGTTCCTCTATCGCATCTGATTTTGGCGACCGGTCCACGAACTGCAACAAATCTTCGAAGTGCACAGATGAAGGCTGAGGTGTCCATGGAGTCAATGACCTCAACGTGGACAGCTCTAGTGGAGAGGCACGTAAAGATTACAGCCCATCGTTTGGAATCTGCTGAGCCGCCTCTGGTTTTCCTCGTCACAATGGTCCAGGGTCCGAATACATCTGTTCCAACATTGGTAAAAGGGGGCGTTGGCTGGACCCGGTCTTGAGGTAGGTCGGCCATGACTTGAGTGAGAAACTTGTCTCTTAGCTTCGCACAGATGGTGCACTGGTTGATGACACTTCTGACAAGATCATGAGCGCCGATGACCCAGAAGCCTCCAGCTCGAATAGCTGCGAAGGTGAAATTCCTTCCTTGGTGTTTGACCTCTTGATGAAAGTGTTTCACAATGAGTTTGGAAACATGGCTGTTCTTGGGAAGGAGAACCTGATGACGTCCCCCCAGATCGAGGTCGGCTCTTCGCAGTCTTCCTCCGACTCTGATGAGTCCATCGTTGTCAATGAAAGGGCTTAGCTGGTACATGGGGCTTTTCTTCTTTATGGCATTTGTCGAAGCTTGCTCCAGATCACTGTTGGTGATGAGGCTGGCTAGTTCCTCTCCAAAGTACTCTTTCTGTACTGCATGGAAGATCACACGATCTGCTTTCTGCAACTCTTCAACAGATGCTCGTCTGCGGGGTTTGTCAGCTTGCTGGTTGTCGTCAGTGATCCCTTCCCGTTTCGACTTGAAGGTTTTCACTGCAACAATGAGGGTTGTGACTGCACGTCTAAGGGATGCCCAGGTAGAAAAGCGTGAGAACCTATTACATCCCAATTGCGATCCCTGGGCCATGGTGACTGGACTCTTGGGTTGGTCACTGACGTTCGTGTGGTTGACGCGCGTTTCTCTCCGCACTTCGGGGTCGTCATCGTCAAGTGGAATTCCATGACTGGCAGATGCTTCGGTCTGCGTTGGAGAGGGGTCTTGCTGCCAGAGGAAGTCTGGTCCTCTAAACCAAGTCGAGGTGCTAAGTTGGTTAGCAGGGACTGAGCGAGATGCCAGGTCCGCAGGATTCTCGTCTGTTGGCACGTGGTGCCACTGGTTGGGTGTTGACACATTGTGTATTTTGTGCACTCTATTTGCCACATACACATGGAAACGTCTAGATCGGTTGCAAATGTAGCCAAGGACTACCTTACTATCGGTGTAGTAGGTGGTACTGTCGATAGCTGCTCGTGCTCTGATCTCTGGCTCAACAGTCTGCACCAGTGTAGTTGCCAGCACTGCCCCGCACAGCTCCAGTCGTGGTATGGATACCGCATGGGGAGGTGTGACTTTCGCCTTAGCCAGAAGGAAGGACACATGTGACTGGTTGTTTTCGTTGACAAGTCTCAAGTAGGCGACCGCTGCTATTGCTAGATCACTAGCATCAGAGAAGACATGAATTTCTCGTCTGTTGACATGGCCGAAGTCTGTAGGATGATAACAGCGGGGAACATGGATGTCTTGAAGGTTGAGTAGAGAATTGCGCCAGCGGGTCCATCTTGGGAGACAGCTCTGAGGCAGTGGACGGTCCCAAAGATCCTGAGGCGAGTTTTGCTCCTTTTTTGAGGCCGCCATAAGCTCTCGTAGGATGAATTTCCCTTCAATGGTGACTGGTGCTGCTAGACCCAGCGGATCATAGATGGAGCTTGCCACCGAAAGGACTCCCCGCCGTGAGAAGGGTTTGTCTTGCAGGTCAACTTGGAACGTGAGGGTGTCTCGCTCAAGGGACCAGTACACTCCTAGGTATCGTTGGGTAGGTAGTTCATCTTGGCAGAGATTTATGCACTTCAGGTTCTTGGATCTCTCTTCCTTGGGAAGAGCGTTCATGACTTCCTTGCTGTTGGAGGCAATTTTATGGAAGTGCAAGTTCTTGGTGGCCAGGGCATCTCTACAACGTTGGACCAGGTTTGTGGCAGTCGGTGCATCTCGTTGTGATGTAAGCCCATCATCGACGTAGAAGTCATTGTGGATAAATTGCTTCACGTCAGCCCCATGAGTAGATTCGCACTCGTCGGCAACCATTCTAAGACCGAATGTTGCTACAGCAGGGGATGAGATGCTGCCAAAGAGGTGGACGTTCATCCTGTATTCTACTGTTGGTTTAGTAGGGTCATTGTCGTCGAACCACAAGAAGCGCAGATAATCACGATGCTCTGTGTTGACGTAGAAATTATGGAACATGTGTTCCACATCCCCCATCACAGCAACTTCGGCTAGCCTAAATCGAAGGAGAATCCCCAACAGACTGTTCATCATGTCCGGCCCTTGGAGGAGTGCTTTATTGAGGGAGATGCCTTTGAACTCCGCACTGGCGTCGAAAACCACTCTGATTTCTGGCTTTTTGGGATGATGTACGGCAAAGTGTGGAAGGTACCACACCGTCCCAGGAGGAGGGCACAGCTCATTCTCAGGTACTCGGCTGGCGTGGTTTCTGGTTAGGATCTTGTCAAAAAAGGCAATGTAGTCTGACATCATCTTTGGCTTACGACGTAGATTCTTCAAGAGGTTGTCTAGTCTGCTTTGGGCCTGAGGACGGTTGTTGGGCAGGTTTGGCTGATGTTGCTTGAAGGGTAGAGGGAACTCCAGATTTCCGTCTGAGTTGGTGTGGGCACCTTCTGTTAAGATGTTGAGAAAGTGCTGATCTTCGATCGACAGGGCCTTCAAGTTGTCCTCTGGAGTTTCTACGTATATGTCCGTTGGTGTGTTCTTGCGGGCTGATGAGAGCATATCTTTCACATAGAGGTGATTTTCACAGATATCTGGTCCATCAGGTTGTGGTTGAAGCATCGTGCGTTTGATGGAGGCGTGTACTTTCCCTTTTGCACCACTCATGCAAACTTGTCCAGAGACAGTCCAACCTAGGTCAGTACGTTGCGCCCATGGTGTTCCTCTAGGACCATTACGCGATTCTTGAACTTTCAGAGGCTCAGGGCAATTTCTTCCAACGAGAAGGATGATGTTGATGTCTTCTCGCACCTCTGGTATCTTTGCAGCAATTGGCCTGAGGTGGGGAAAGTTTTCACAGAGGTCAGGGTTTGGAATCTCACTCCTGTCACCAGGAATGTAGGCATTCTCGATAACGGTAGGTAGCTGTTCAGTTTCCCGTCTTGTGATTCGACAATCAGGCCGCACGCTCTTCTTCCTTCCGATGTGATTTTGTCCCCTCCGCAGGTAGAAAGCTCGTACGGAAAAGCGGGGCCTGCAAGGTTGAGTGCTTCGAATACTTCTGGGCCTCCCAAACAGGCATTGGACTGATCATCCAGCACTGCATAGCCAAGGATGGAGTTTGTGGGATGATCCTTGTGGTAGATCTTGCAGAGAACAATCTTGGAGCAAGATCTTGCCGAGGAACAGGTCAAGAACCGAGTGCACTTCGTGTTAGCAACTACATCCTTGTGGCTATTTGCTGGTTGCTTCTCGCTCTGTACCTCCCCTTCATTCTGCTTCTGGTTGATATGCATGAAGGAGGCATGTTCGGTGCTTTTGCATTTTCTGCACTGCACTTTCGTTTCACACTCCTTCATTCGGTGGTTGGAACCGCACTTGAAGCACAGACCTCTGTCCATGCAGAACTGTCGTCTCTCCTGAATAGGCTTTCTGCCAAAGGCAATACACTCGGACAGACGGTGGCCTTGTATGTCGTGAAACTGGCACTTCTCTTTGGCTTGAACTGTTGACGCGGTTGCAGATTTTGTGGGTGTGGACATCACCAGGGGGGCAGATGTAGATTTTGTGGGAGTGGACGTCGCCAGGACACGAAGAGAGGATCCGCGGCTCCTGTCTGTTCTCGGTTTCTCAGGAGTTGGATGGAGAATCTTGCTTGAGGGGTACAGCTCTGGGTCATTGTGTAGCCTCGCTTTTTGCTTCAAGAACTCAGCCAACATGGTGAATGGAGGGTAGTTGCCTTTTGCCGTTTTGTGTTCTGAAGCACGCTTACGCCAAGCGTTGTGGATGTATGTGGGCAACTTCTCGAGTATGGGATGCAGATTGTGCGCATAGTTGAGAATGTTCAGGTCAGGCAGGTCATTCATTTGGGCAGCAGCGTCTACACATAGATCGGCCAGTTCTTGGAGCTTGCGGTTCTCCTCAGCTTTGAATCTGGGGAAATCGATGAGCTTTCGGATGATTGCAGTGGTGATATTTGTCTTGTTGCCAAACCGCTCCTTCAGCTCTTTCCACGCTTCTTGATAGGCTGTCTCGGGGCTAGAAACGTAGCGATGTCGGAATCTATCTACCAGTTTCCTCACCTCCCCTTTGGTGTACTTGGCGAGAAAGGTAAGTTTCTGCGTAGCCGGTGTGTGGGCGTGGTTAACCATGGTCTCGAAGGCGCAGCGCCATGGTTGAAACATAATGGGATCCCCATCATATACATCAGGCTCATGGGTAGGCTGCCGTTGATGAGCAAGAGTGTCCGATATCTCTCGAGTCAGATTAAGGAGAGGTTGTTCTCCATCGATTGGCGTTACAGGCAGGGGGGGCTTTGGTGTAGTCGGCGAAACGTCACCGGGTGTCGAAGACAGGGTAACTGTCTGTTCAACCGATGGCTGAAAGGACGGGGTTGAGGCTTGAAGCTGGGAAGTCAGAGTTGCATCAACTACTTTGTCAGTTTGATTCAAAAACCGCAAGGCGTGGTCGTTGGAGGACTGATGTGGGGACGTAATGGACTCGCCTGTTGTGTCTTCTTGATCAGCTTGCAGGAAGGCGTCAGATTTGGCCTTCTCTATGGCTGCGGCTTGACGTGCACGGAGGATTTGCAGGTCCGCTTCGGCAGATGCCAATTTTGTTTGTTGTTCAACTTCTCGTCTCGCCTGATCAATCTTCTTTTCAGCTTCGCTGGTCATATGTAGAACTTTCATGTCAGCTGTGCGTTTGGCAATCACTTCTTCGAAAGCGGCATTTTGGGCAGCCGCTGCAGCGGCTGCAAGTGCATGTACCTTTGCACTCTGGACCGATGAAGATGTTGACTTCTGGAATCGTCCGGAAGTACTGGGAAGTCTAGAACAGCTAGACTGAGTCTCAAGGGCTATTTGGTACAATCTGTTGGCTCCCTGGGAAATAATGCAGTTTGCATAGTTGGCATTCTCGAAGAAAGTCATTTTCATACGGAGAGCGTCCTCTATGAATTCACCTGTCTGATCCTCTCTGTACAGTTGATCCAGCTTAGACCACAACTCAGTATACGATTGCAGTGCAGACCGTGCGCTGGAAAGGTTGTGAAGAATGACGGCTTGTTCTTCGGGGGCATCACTGAGGCTTTTGAGATTTTGTGAGGTTTTTCTCCAGTTCTGATGCAGGGTTTTCTCGGTTGTGATGATGTTATTGTACAGAGCTTTAGCTGTAGGGTGTCTTTCCCTCTGGGGTCGATCATGAACATGTAAGTCCTCCATGAGTGGGTCCTGGTGTCGGGTTTCAAGTTCGGGGGAAACGAGGTCAGTCTCGAGGGCATCTGCCATGATGGGGATTGAGAATGTGCCTTGTGACGAACGGGAATTACTGAGGAGTAATTTGTAGTTCGTTCTCCACAGTAATTTCACTGTACTGGTTTCGGTATTAGGTGTAGCCCCGGGGAGGCGATAACATAAACTCCACCAGCTAGTGTCAACCACGATTAAGAATGCAAAATGGCCGAAGGTCAGGGCTTCAGATTCCACTTGATCTTTAATGCGCGGTGAACTGTTAACAAGATAAAAACGATACAAAACTACTAAATATCTGGCAAAAGTCCAAAACATGAACAGGTTCGAGGAAAATACCGTAAAGTTCAGTCTACATGAAGTAAACAGAGATAAAGTGGGGAAAGTCAATCTAAAAAAACCCACTCAAATAGTGAATACGGGCTGTAATCCCCACTACATGTACAGAGTAACGTTCAGCAACTTCTCATTCTAAGGTTAAATGTAACGATAGCTTAACATCAAAAAACCCTATCAATGTGGTAGAGAAATATAAGAAAATTACATCAGGCACAAGAAAATCTAATGACTTATTAATCAAACAAAGGCTCTAGGTGTCTATAATATCACTTGAAGATCACTTACATTACTGTGGTTCTTGAGAGTCAAATTAAAAGGCTTAAAAGTACATCTCAGGAGGGTCTAACTTCTCAAAGGTTGTAAAAACTATCAGCTGTAGGTCTTAAAATCTAGAAAATGCTTGAACTAAAACAAAGGTGTCGGGAATGCAAGCAGCATGGTATTTGATCTGGCTGTTCCTGTGTAACTCGAACAGCGCCCTCAAGTGATGGGACTGGAGGAAAGGGCGCCATCATGTGGCAGGGTTGTATAAGGGAACAATGACCTTCACAAAATCCTACTGTATTTCAATTGTTTTGTATAACTTGGTTCAAAACACTTTTAAACGTGAACTGTCTCAACTTTATCAATGATAAGCAAAATGAGACTTAAAGGGAGCACCCTGTAAAATTATGGCACCTGGTGTGAAGTCGATACTTTTCAAGAAAATTTTTATTTTTGTATACATTTCCAACGGTGGTCGGCCGACCACCGAAGGAAAAACCTAATTATTTTTCACTACTGCTCCAAATTTACCATTTTCTTCAGTCCAAATTTTGTTTGCTATTGGTTTCATGTTCATGAATGGGTGCAGGCCAGCTAGACTGGTTCCCTTACCGTACAATTTTCCGGCATCTGTAAATTGATTCATTTCATCTTCAGTGGAACATTTTTGTTTTTCTTGGTTTTTCCAGCATTTTCGAACACAAAACTTTAAACAAGTCAGTGTAACAATAATTTGATCTATTATCCCCTCAAATAGTTCATTTCTGAAAATTAAAGCAAAAGCCAATGATGTACATTCCCTTTAATATAAATGTTAGTTTATAACACCTGACTCGTGAAATCAAAGTAAATATTATTGCAATAGATGGGGTGAATGCAGTTCCCGGATTATAGGCGGGGCTGCAAGGAAAAACAGCTACCGACAGACACACTTCTTAGATCAGATTTCTGGACATACAATCCCGTTGCCTCGTTTGAATTGATCCCGCGTTAGCTCGCTGGTAACCATAAACTATTTTTTTAAACCGAAGCAGGGTACCCTTTCTGAAGACATGATGGACGCAAGGCAATTAACCCGAATGGTTTGTTGGATTATTTTAAGCAATACATTACATTGTCCAACAACTTACAGGTACAAACGCAACCCATGGCATGCGAACGTTTACTTTAATTACCAAAATACTGTGACGACCTGCAGTCGTCCCTTGTTTATGATGTCATTGTTCATGAATTGTCTTGTCCAACTGCGCATTTATTTTCTCTGCGAGTCACTCCCAATTTCCACCGGTGGAAAATGAATGCGCCCTCTTGTGACTTGACCGTGCAGTGACCACGCTCCACGAAACTTGCAACCAATCAGGGATAAGGGATAAGGGAAAACAATCCAATCACAGTTAAATGGGGCGGGGCTTAGGACAACTTATTGTAAGAACCCCCTGAGATGCACTATTAAGAGAGCCCCCATGCAATCAGAGTACTGTGTGGCTGGGATGCTTTAGAACCCTTTATGCAATGAGGTGCAGTTTGGGCTGGGATGCTAAAAAAGAACCGATAGGATGCTCTAAGAGAATCGTTGGATGCTCTTCGAAAACTCCCTTGGATGCGCCCTCGAGATGCCCCCGGGATGCTCTAAGAGAACCCCTCGGGGTGCTCTAAAAGAACCCGAATACTGTTTGCAGAAACAATTAAGGCAGATGATACCTTTTCTTACGATCTTGGTTTCATGAAATTGCGATACCAGAAGGTTGCTTTCCCAATATTCATACAACCATGTACCGCGCTGCCCCGTACATAATGCACACTGTCCGAATGTGGGCTACTTAATATGTAAGCCCAACGTACAACACGTATTATACACAAATCAACACATCAAGCCGCGTCACAAAATTGCAAAGCCACCAGAAGCTAACACAATATCATTACGTGCAGAGGTCAGGGTCAAGCGTCGAAGTTCCTCCGTCGTACGATAGGCTTGGTTAGAACTATAGATAACGATGACATCATACAACTGCACCACCAACAACGTTGCACATGCGCTCTGAATAAAGAAAAATCCCATGTAAATTTTCCTAAAGCAGATTTTGTTTTCCAATATACAATAACTTTCCGGTTTGTGGAAAGCAGAACTGTAGGCATATTTCAACGAGTCCTATTTCAGTATCACATTTAAACTGAATCAACAGAGTTTCACCAGCTGCAGCCCTAAGGTAAGTTTAGAAATTTAAATTGGGGGGGGGGGTTCCTTAATTATGAACTCATATTCGGAAATCACGGAGGATTTTTTTTTACATCTTGGTGCATGTTAAGTGTTTATGTAATTGCCATTGTTATTTCTTTACTATTTTTTTATACTCCAGTATTCAGAAAACGCAAACCAATCTTCTCCCGGGCACCGTTTTTGTTTGGAGAGAATACAATTTGGGGGGTTTGAGTTTGTACATCTTTAACTTTTTTCCCTGTCATGCTGCCTGAGCAAATAACGCCACTGAATACGTGGGTTAAATTCGGCTAAATTCAGCCCATTGTATATAGACGAGATGCTTGAAAAGACATCCAGTGATTAGCCATTCTGAACAATTGAATCGAATCAGACCCGGATTAGGGCCTACGAAAACTGTTGGGGTCTACAATTATATTACGGTGCATAAAACTCACCAACATCCACCCACTGCACACGCACACGCAAGACAGGTTTTTAAAAGTTTTAGCGTCTCTCTGATGAATTTTCGATTTTGCGGAAGCTTCAAACCGTGACATGTAGTACATTATCTAGACCGTGACAGTGTAGGCCTACTTGACCGTGAACCTCAATACGAGTAAAACATTGGTAAAGCTGACAACGAACCTCAATACGTGTTATACATTGTAGCTGAAACTGTACCACCGTGTATAGTCTTACTAGGCATATATATATATACGCGCACGGTCCGGTCGTGAAATTGTCGGGGGAAATCGTTGCCTGTCAAATTATCCTCCGACGTAAATCACTTGTACGTCCAAAACCATCCAATTTCATTTCCCACAACTGTGATTTTTCAGCAAAATGTTGTAGAACGCTGCTCGCTTCATCAGCTTACGCTGTATGTGACGTAGCTGCGTGCCTATGTACATGTAAAATTTAAGGCCTACGTGTAAAGTTTGTCGTTCCGAAGCACAGTGTCGGTGCCAACAGGTTAGATCTATGCCAGTTTGGCCTGGCTTGCTTAGAACAGCTTAGCAACAAGATGGAATGCGAGGCTAAAGTGGGCTTTACCAGATGTTCCAATTATACCTACGTTTTCCAATACGTCACCGACACCACGGAGTAAAAACTCCACGTGTTAATCCATATTTTTTTCTCGATTTTCAGTTGTTGTTTTTTTTACATTTTTTTAAAAATTATTCATCCAGGCCTACCATTACATGAAGTTTCAAAGCTTCAAGAGCTTTACTTCAATAATTACGCTAATTATCCATGGCAACTTTTGCGCAAAAGTGATAATTTTCGTTTACACCAAGTAACACTCAAATTCCATTTACCATTGCAATGCATGGCGCGCACTCTGCTCAAAATGTGAGCAAAAACGTTTTCACGAAGTAACACTCTCGTTGTATGAGCGCGCGCGCGCTGACCTGAAGTTGCACTTTCCTCGTGTTGTTGTATACATTAAAGAGTGTTACTTCGTGAAAACGAAAATTTACAGTTTCGCAGCTTTTTCGGTTTCACTCACTTTTTTTCTCTTATTTCTTGTTGATTAAAATAATACACTAACGGGTGAAAAACAGCTGATTTAATAAATTCAATTCATCAAGTGTCCACAACGAGAAACCTAACTGAAAATACTCTGCCGTTTTGACGCAAGGTGTTGTTTTAGAAGGCGTTCAACTTTAGATGCCGTTTTCTCTGATTGCTAGTTTTTACTGGTATGTACATAGGTGTTACTTCGTGGTGTTGCTGACGCTATGTTCCCCAAAATCCTCAGAGTTAGGGTTAGGGTTATAAGGGTTAGATGGTTAGGGTTAGGGTTAGGGTTGGGAACATGGGTATGCACCCGCTCCAGCGCTTACCAGAGCTCTGGTAAGCGCTGGGGCGGGTGCATAGCCATTCGAAATTTTGGAAATTTGACCTTGGTTCCCTGACCCCATCCGACCTAGGGCAACTTAAGAATGGCCATTTCTGAACTACCCCCTGACGGACAATGGCCTGGTAGCATCAAACCTTTTGTGTTCAAATTGTTAATTAAACTCCACATAGCTCACGGAACGCTGGTGCCTAGGGCCTTCGGAGCACTTAATCCGGCCCTGAACAGAATTCCGTGTGCCCTGGGACCAGCTTTAATACAGGGCGAGTAAAAAAAAACCGAAACCCAAATGTCGGGACTATAATTGTTTATTGAAGTTCTGCATGTAGCACTTTCAAAATCTAGGATATGAAGCCCAATTCATACCCTTTCTTTTAGTACAAAAATCATTCAAATCGCTTATGTACTTTTCAAGTTACGGAATTTCAAACACAACCACCGTTTTAAGGTTCTGTCCACGGATCACAACAAAGTTCAGTATTCTTTCAGCAAAACGAAAACAAATCACATAGGATGTGTGTGAATTGTTTTCGTTTTGCTGAAAGAACGCACACCTTTTGTGTGATCCGTGGACAGAACCTTAAAGCTATAGTCCATCATTTGTAATTAGTGCATTTTGTTCGTTTGAAGCAACAAAAGTGTTCAAAATCTAATGAAGGATACTAAGCAACTAACCTGATGAAGTTTCAGCTAATGTAACTCCCTGACACAGCATATGGGCCCAACCTTCGCCCCACCCCGGCCCCACCACTAGAGACAGCATGTAACACCCATCCATCTCCCCCGTCACGAACTCTGTAATTAAGGTGTTTTCGTTTTGGCTTAAAAATATAGTCCATCATTTGTAATTAGTGCATTTTGTTCGTTTGAAGCAACAAAAGTGTTCACAATCTAATGAAGGATACTGAGCAACTAACCTGATGAAGTTTCAGCTAAGCTTCAGCTGTACATTCCGAGAAAAGCAGCATTCTAAGATCTCAATTTCAAATCAAAAGTTACTGAATCATGTTTTGAATTGTTTTGAATTGCAGCTATCCGGTTCGTTAGTAAAAACGTCATTCACGCGCGCCCACCATTGATTACTAGCGCCCATTGGCTACAAACGCTCGAGCTGCGTTAACTTCCGGTTCCAATCGAGCAGAATGTGCTGGAGGTGACGTCACATTAACGAACCGGATACGCGGCGTCGCGCACTGATCCGACGAATTATAACAACCGCGCGCGCGTGTGCGTCGTTCCAATACTTGTGCGCGCTGCGCTGAATAACAAAACGAACTACTAATTTAAATTTTCCTACGGTGCTTCTTAAGAATCACCGTTGGAAATGCCTTCTTTCGTTGATTACTTCAAAATGACAGCTTCCCAGAAAGAATAATTTCACAGGGAGTTTAGTTCCCTTACTATCTTTCAACCAAGTTTGTTTTTCAACAGTAAATACGCCAGTTACTTTTCGGATGGCTGCAAATGATGGACTATAGCTTTAATACGGTGGTTATGTTTAAAATTCTATAACTTGAAAAGTACATGAGTGATTTGAATGATTCTTGTACTAAAAAAAGCTTATGAATTGGGCTTTTGTATCCTAGATTTCGAAAATGCTACATGCAGAACTTCAATAAAACAATGGTCCCAACATTTGGGTTTCGTTTTTTTTCACTCACCTTATATAGGCTATCATGGAAGGGAATGGCTTTGTTTAGTTACAAATTTTATTCTCTCCTCTTAATTTATATTCGAGTAGGAAAACTGGAGTAACGTGCACAAGTCATGATAATAATACCAATCGCCCAGCCTCCGTGTCAGAAGGCCAATAAAAGGTTGGACAATGAAGAAAATGAAATTGATGAGAAAGATGTAAGGGTGATGTTACTCTGCTTTGAGCCGTGATGGAGATGTGATTTTCATGCACCTTTCGAATTTCTCACTGCGGGATCAGGTTGTCAAGCTAGGTTTCACACCTATGTTCCAACACCCCGCACGTGCAGCCGGAACATAGGGGTGTCGGAACGTAGGGATGTTGGAACATAGGGGTGTCGGAACATAGAGCAGTCACCGTCAAGCTAATTGTACATACCGATATCAAAATCTTTAAAAAGTGTTTTCATTATTCGGTCAGTTTGTTAATTTCTGAGGCTAATTCTACTTGGGAACACCTACGGATATGGATGGCACAGGAGGCAGTCGTAAAAGGTGGTGTCTGCAACACTTTCTCCTATCGGTGCTACTGACAACATTCAGAACCGCACACGCAGGTGAGCTTTTAATCTGAAACAGGTGCGGTAATATACAAAAATCAATAAGCAGGGGCCGTTTTTAGAAGAAGAACTGATAGGCCCCATCCTCTATGGTGGCATAATGCTATTATCCGTCACATTAAGAGTGCCTTTAGTGTTTCAACAATGTATTAAAGATTCGTACACCTTGCTTTTTTAGAGTTTCATCCCGAAAATAGATTGCTATTTTTCTAGCAAAAGTTATTCACTTTTGAATGAGACATCGACTGAAAAATTTGGTGCATGTTTAGTTATTGAATTATTACTTTACAATATCGGATTATGGCCGCCAGACAAAATTCCCGTTCTCGCGGCATAGGCTGGTTCCCGCCCACAATCAGCGTCGACAATGTATTGACCGGGAGCCAGTTTGCTCGAGACGCGGATCTGTAATTCAATTCAAAGTGACCCTTTCTTCAGAGGTTTACGGACGTCCAACAAAGGGGACAAAGAGGGGGTTAGAAAAACAATTGTTTAAGAGCACGGGGAACTCAACTTTAAGCAAAACTGTGTTTTAAAACCGTTCTGCTGGTTCCCAGCAAAAGATCTATCAAAAGCCTAAGATTATCAAAGGCTAAAAGTGCACTAATTACGCACCTTGAATGGCATAATTTGAGCCTTGGTTTGAGACAGTTATGTATTAAACGAGAATCAAATTTTCAAGGAGACACTTGAGATCTTGATTTCGGTATAGAGGGGCACTTTGAAGGTTTAAACTTGGTCATGCAGGCTTTCAATATACCTTTATCATGCTGCCACCATTTCAGTTATGTTCCCTGTATCCAATAACAGTACTGAATGATAATGTTTTTGTGCTAAAAGGAACCAGACTATTTTTCCTTCCGGCCTCGTTTTGGTAACGTTGATTTGAATGGGAAAAAACAAGATGGCTGCAACATGATAATGGTCTATACACAAGAAACGTTTTGTTTTTCTCTCCATTTTCTGAGATGAGGGATGACGCAGAACTCAAAAGTGGTGGAGGGCCGGGGATGGGGGGGGGGGGGCGGAGCTACCTTCCTTGACACCCGGCCCCCACATCTTATACAATGATTTGAAGTTATTTTTCAAATTAAGGCTATTCTTATTTTCTTCCATTGAGGTGATTTTGCACTCATCGCGGATCTCAACAACGGAACCATTTACGCGGGGAGCATGGGCCGCAGTCTTGTTGACTTGGCTCCCCTGCCCCTCAGCGGCATAGTGCGCCCAGTCACCGTTGACTTCGACCCACAAGAACGAATGATCTACTGGAGCGATCTCCGGAGTCAACCAAGTCCGAAAATATCTCGAGCAAACCTGGACGGCTCTAATCAAATGACTATCGCAGAGAACCTTCGCCGTAAGCCTTATTTTGACCAATCCCAAACGTTTATTTAGTAAGAAAATAAAACGACACGAATAGAAAGATCTTAGTTGTTCACGGGATTAGAGAAAAAAAGAAACTAAGTCTAATTTCCAAAACCTACAGACGGGCATTTTTTTGACAATAATTTTGGAAAGAAAACATACAAGATGAACTGAACATTGTTAGGCCTAAAGCAAAAGAAAACAACTCGTTTTGATTTCAACGTTATGATCTTACCGCAGTTCATAACTTTCATGGAGAATTCGTGTCAATTAATGAAGATTTGGTTAATGTCACTTACATATTTATGATAACAAAATTTTGTTTCTGATCCATAAAAAACATTTTATAATAGTATACATCTTTATACATGTACTTGGATGATGCATTTTCTTTAACATCTGTGTCTTGCATTGACAGTACCAGACGGGTTGGCACTGGACGTTGAAGCCAGGATCCTGTACTGGACAGACGGCGTGCTTGGACACGTGGGACGAGCAAGCATGAACGGCACTGGGAACAAAGAAATCATCGTGGAGAACCTGGACCAACCTCGAACCATTGTCACCGATCACAGCCATGGGTGAGTACGGTGTGTTGGCAGTTCCTCTATTGAGTAAAGTGTCTACTTGGTCACTGTTCATAGTATATGCATGAGTTCATTCATTATGTAATGTTCAATCATTTCACATGAGTTCGTTGATGACTGTGGAGCCCGATTCTCGAAAGGCAAGTACGGAGTACGGAGACAGACGGGGCATCTGAACTCTGTTGATGGTGGAGCTGTGCCGACAGCCTGTTGTCTTGCTTTTCTTGCTGACCGGAGTCTCTCACTGTGCTCCTTCTTCTGTTGTTCTCTGTACGCTGCACCAGTGTGGATGGCATGTCTCCAGCCAGGTCTGTTGCTGGCCCGTTCCTCCCAGTCCTCTGTATTAATAGCACATTGTTTGAGGTTGTGTTTCAAGTTGTCCTTCAAGCGTTTTCGTTGACCACCTTGGTTTCGCTTCCCATTGGTCAGTTCACCGTGCAAGATTTTCTTGGGAAGCCAATGTGACCAGCCCAACGAAGTTGGTTCTTGATGATGATGGTCTCAATGCTTGTGGCATAGGCCTCTTCCAAAAGACTGGTGGTTCGTCTCTCCTGCAATTTGATGTTGAGTATACGGTGAAGACATCGCTGATAATACTTCTCAAGGCTTTTGAGGTGGCGGCTTTAGGTGGTCCGATAGCAGGGTTGGTAGGATTATGGCTTTATAGACCTTTATCTTGGTGTTATGTTTGTACCTATTATCAAACACTCGGGCTCCGAGTCATCCGAAGGCACCACTAGCTGAATTAAGACGGACTTGAATTTCAGCATCTAGGTCTGCCTCACTTGACAGGCGACTACCAAGATGTGCAGAATGATCGACAGAGCTGAGGCACTGCTCACCAATTGTGATATCTCGGTTTTTGTCGCTCATGTGCGTTGTCAGGTGATGGTTGGAATAAAACCTGTGTCTTCCGAGTATTAGTGTGAGGCCTAGCGCATTGTAGGCGTGGCTGAAGACATGCATGGCTGCTTGAAGGTCTGTCTCTGTGTGGGCCAATATGGCATTGTCATCGGCATATGGGAGCTCAAGTACGGTCATAATGAGTGATCAACGTCTTAGCCCTCAGTCAACGTAGGTTGAAGAACTTGCCATTCACCCGGTACTGCATATCTATACCACGGGGTAGTCTCTCCATCACCAAGTATAATAATAATACAGCGGAGATGAATATCGTGAAGAGTGTTTGGGCTAAAACACATCCCTGCTTAACCCCGGTCTTCGCTTCAAACTCTCGGTAGCCTCGCCATCAATCAGGACTGATGCAGATATGTTGTCATGCAGCAGCTGGATTATTTTGATGTATTTTTCAGGGCAACCAATTCTAGGCAGCACTTTCCACAGCGTAGGCCGGTCGACGGAGTCAAACGGTGAAAGCCATATAGAGGTATCTGTGCTGTTCTCTGCACTTTTTTGAATCTGTCGCGCTGAAAATATCATGTCCACAGTTCCATGTGCTGGCCTGAAACCACATTGCGACTCCGGGAGGACCTCTGCAGCAATAGGAGTGAGGCGGCATGCAAGAATGCGAGCGAGGATCTTTTCAGCTATAGAGAGCAGGGATATACCTCGATAGTTTCCACAGTTAGTCTTCTCACCTTTCTTGAATATGGTGACAATCAAGGCGTCACGAACATCACGGGGAATAACTTCCTCTTCCTAGATCCGTTAAAAAACAGGTAACTTCTCAGCCATATTTGGGCCCGCAGCCTTGTATACTTCTGCCGGGATGCCATCTAGACCAACAGCTTTGCCATTCTTCATATCCCTAATAGCTGTGACGACCTCGATCCTAAAGTGCCGGTGGTTCATCAAGATGATCCTTAATCGGAAGTTGAGGCACTATATCTACTTCGGCATTGTTGTGTACACAGGGGTTCTGATTGAGCGGCTCACAAAAATGTTCCCTCCACCTGTCACGTATACCAGGCATGTCCTTGTGAAGAGTGCTATCCTTGCCCACAACCGGTCTAATACCATGGGATGTTGGCCCATAGGATCTTTTTAGTTCTGCGAAGAAGGCTCTGCTGTTGTTAGTGGCGGATATGACTTGCATCTCCAACACCTTCTGTTCCTGCCAAATGTTTTTCATCTCACGAACCCGGTGCTGGACTTTTGATCTCATTTCGTGATATTGCTGTTTCTTTCTGTCATTTCTGATGTCATTCTGCCAAACAGAGAATCTCCTGCGCTTGTCATTTATCATCAGCTCCATCTCTACGTCATTGTCATTTAACCAGTCTTCCGCTTCTGAGTACCAAATGTCTCATCACATGTTGTTTTGATGACAGTCTTTAGACCTACCCAGATTCATTCCGCACTGGTGTTTTCTACCGTTAGCAGAGCTTCACTCATTTTTGTCTGGAACTCATCTCGTATCTCAGGCAGGTCGAGTTGCCCTAAGTTGTACTTGGTCCTCTTCTGGTTCTTTGCTTTTATCTGTTTTGCGCGACGGACAAAGGACATGGAGGATCGTACGAGCCTATACGATCGGTCCAACACTCACCCGATGACTGATTGTCTTGGTGATAAAAACGTCTTACCTTTCACAACTATAATAACATAATCTAACATATGCCAATGGTGTGATCTGGGATGTCTCCATGATGTTTCATTCCTATTTCTTTGGCGGAAGAGGGTGTTTGTGATCAACAGCTGGAGCTGGTGCTATTTCCCCCTTCCAGAGGAAAGTGTATCCTGCTCCTATTTCTGTCAAGTATCCTTCCCCGGCGCGGCAGATCTCTTGAAGCGCCGCAATGTCGATGTCATACTGGCGAAGCTCAAGCAACGAAAGCCGTCCGTCTCTCGGGTCTCTCACCACGTTCGTTATCTATCAGAGTTCGTACATTCTATGTACCAAAATGTAATTGTTGCTTTCTTTGTTTTCGACCGCGTAGAGGTGATCCCGCTGGGTGCGGTTTCCCAGCCAGGATGTGCGGAAACAGGCTATGTTTAGGGTACCTTTTCTAACCCCTTCCCCCTGTGGGGTGAGCAGAGTGGATCCTGAAAAGGGCTGCTCAGACATGGAGGCTACTACGTACCTACTATTCTGTTGCCAAATCCAAAATCAGAGCGACTGTGACTTGAGCTCCACCGCCTGCATGCTTGTTTGCAGCCGAAAGCTTCCAAACTTCACAATCCTGCTCTCGTCACTGCTGACCAATCGCCGCAGGACTTTAGTTTGTACCAAAGTACCAAGTATAAGCTGTGCGTGATTTTTTTTTATGTGAGTACAAAGTTGCACAACAAAGTTCCCACAAACCTTGACATCACTTGCCCTGATTCCAATGGCAAGGGTACCTCGACGACTGCAGGACAAGTTCAGCTGCAGTGGATGGCCGTTGGCTCCAAGGGAGCTCATCCGCCCTTTGTAGGTCTTGTTTTTTCATAACCGGGTGTCCATATACCCTCCTCTCCAGACCGAGCCTGGAGGGGTGGCCGTTTTAGTTGCCGACGGCCCGACTATCCCTAACCCTGGTTTGGGGGCAAAATGCCAATCAAGACTGACGAGCTCTGCCAGCCCGGGTTTGTGATCAGAGTTGTCCTTCTCCTAGGTGGACTGCCGATCAAGCTAACGAGCTCCACCTGCCCGGAGCACCTGGTTATAGCGCCAGGAACCCACTTGCATCCTCTGGGGAAGGAGCTGCTCAGTCCTCCAGTCCACCCCAACACATCCTAACCCCTTTGCCCCCACTACTCACTACTCACCCTGAGTGGAAGGTGAAGCCGCCAAAGGCACGGGAGTTAAAGATAATACTGTCCGTGCTCAAATTCGATTTGTCATGCTCTTAACGAATTCTTAGCTGTCATGTTTCATTTGAACGGGAATTTTATTTTTCAAAGTCGAACAAAGTTGACTGGGGCGGGGTTTGAACTTGTGTCATCCGGATCGCCGACCCGGTGCTCTACCAACTCTACCAGCTATATCCAGCACTATGTTGGCGACTCCCCAATAAGTCAATGTCGTTGTTCAAGGGGCGCTATTTTCCTCTCTGGGTGATCCCTGTTTTGCAGCATTAATTGCTAATGTTACCGAGCATCGCGAATTTGGGCGTGATTCCTGGCTGCTATATACGGATGTATGGCTTCTGACTAGCGCCCCTTGAACAAATTGGAGAACCGCCAACATAGGGCTCGATAGCTCAGTCGGTAGAGCACTGGAACGGCAATCTGGAGGTCGCCCAGTCAGTTTCCATGAAAATTGAACGAACAATACCAAACAATATATATATAGAAATATACTCATTATTAAGTTGAAATTACAAGCTTGGATTTCTCAAAACCGTTTAGAGACATTGCGCAATCAGGAAGAAGTTGTTTAAATTTACTAATATCTTTGGGTCTTTTCCTAAAGACATATCTACTGGACTGACTGGGGGAGTAGTCCGCGGATCGAGAGAGCGGATCTCGACGGAGGAAACCGGACCAGCGTGGTTGATAGCGACTTGCACTGGCCCAATGGCGTTACCATCGATGGTAAAACATTCTTGGATCGTCTTATTAAACGGGGAACAACAGCACAAAACTTTCTTTTTAAATATTGTCGCCATTACTGTTTCCATGACTATTTCGGGGTGCTTTGGAAGGCATTGGTGATATATAATACGCACAATTTTGAAATTCAAGAAATAAAAAAACACAGTAAGAAATTAAAATAATTGTTTAAAAGACTTCTTTTTCTCTTTCTGCACAATTCCTAGTCTATCTGATTGAAAATGATGATTTGTCTGACAACCCCAAGGATATATTTTTTTTTAAATGATAATAATATGTTTTTCCAGTAAATCGTACCTGCTATCGTAATAACAGGGGCGTGTCTTTGAGGAACTTGGTAAAATTCTACAAGATATTTAGTATGGGTTTCTATGTGTTTTCCGTCGCATCATTTTGGTGGTCATATTGACTTTGTATGGCCTTATAAGATAAAAAAAAAAATAGGCTAACATGTATTTTAAGAACACATAACCTGACCAAAAAATCAATAAGGACCCCTTGGGATGCACACAAGACCTTCTTGTAAGGGATTTTCTCCTTCATTTTTCATTCAGCGGACTATCTGTACTGGTGCGATGCTTTCCTCAACAAAATCGAACGGAGCGATCTCTCGGGTCAGAACCGCGAACTGGTGATCGATCTGAATCCATACGGCGACCTCCACCCGTACGATTTAGACGTGTACCGGGGCGATGTTTACTGGACCGACTGGAAAGTCAACACGTTGATCCGGGTGAGCTTGAACGGCAGAGGAGAGGGCAACTTTGGCCCGTCGACATTCCAACAGCCTGGAGGGATTCACATCGAAGAAGGTTCGCAGATGACAAATTTCTTATTAAAAGCTAATAAAATGAGGACTTCACTGTTCTGTGTGGAGATAGATGAGTAAAAGAGGTGATATCCTTCCAGAATAGTTCACCACGATCACAATTGTCACTTATTGGAGGGGGCGTGGCGTGACGTGTATCTTTTCCAGAGCCTAGGCGACTGTACAATAAGCTCTGACCGGCCGTCTTGCAAGAAAGTCCTTCATAAAACGATACAATTACTCACTTGGTGGTGATTGTCAATTGAAATAAGAAGTTCCCATTTTGTTGAAAGTCACAATGCAAAATAATAGTGACCTTCTTAATGCAACTAAATCCTCACTCCTATGCCCTGGAGACTGACACAGGGCCAGAGGCAGGTGGTGATGTAAGTGACAGGTGTGTAGAAGCCCACTAACTTCCTGATCTCACTGACTAGCTTACCCAACTCACTGGCAGCGCGCTATTATACCTTTGAAATTAAAAGGTGGCGCCTCACATTTTTTTAAGAGAAAGAAAGGACACAAAATGCACAAAAGCCCAGTAATTGTAACCCCTCCCTCGACCCACTTCTGCATGGATACGCCACGATGCATGAGGCATTTCCAACTGGGAATTCAAGAGAAACTATAGGGGAAATGTAGCTCCTGTTATTTCAAGTTCAACTTGAGGGTTTGACTGCCGTAGCCCGCCCTACACTTAAACCTTAGAATAGCTCTAAAAAAAAAATCAGCTTAGGTAGGCACTCTAGACCTCTAAAACAGCATGCAGCACCAACAAAACGGTACATTATGTAACTCCCTGACACAGCATATGGGCCCAACCTTCGCCCCACCCCGGACCCACCACTAGAGACAGCATTTAACACCCATCCATCTCCCCCGTCAAGAACTCTGTAATTAAGGTGTTTTCGTTTTGGCTTAAAACTCGTGAGAACAACGCACGTGCCTACTCCTCACTCTTTGATCTCTCGCAGAACCCGATCATTGCGACAGTTCGCCATGCGACAACGGTGCACCTTGCGAGGATGTTATCGGCGGCTTTCTCTGTCAGTGCCCGCCTGGACTCCAAGGGACCACCTGCTCTGACGGTAAGTTTAGTTTAGACTGTTTTGTCTTAGTTTGGGAGCATTGAATGGCGACAAGCGACAAGGACCAGGAAAGGAGTCTACTCTCCCGAACTATGATCATCGACATCACTGATTAAGCCATGCAGGATAGTTTTTAGCTGCGGTATTGTAGCTCAACAAATCATCTTGTCTCTCCATTAGTACGTCAGTTAATTAGTTAGTATTTACTAAGTTTACATTGTCTATTGCTCCTGCATATTTTGACCGATTGCGACCAAACTTTGTGAAAAGTATCAGAAGCCCAGCCCCAACATGTCACATGACCAAACTGGGGTCAAGAGTCATCATGATGATCACTGGGGTCAAAACCCTGATTTGTGCTTACTCAAAACATTACGTGGCACAATCAGGTGCATCATGGTGAATCAACACGAATTCGTTGGCCCACATCTTCTGATTTCCGATCGAGTTCGTTTAATAAAAACAAGAAAACGTTCAGTATGTTGCTACAGTGATTACAAGTCAAGCCGTCATTGTCATAAAGACATACGACTACAAAATGCTTTTGACTGGATTGACCTTTCATTAATTCATTCATTCATTCATTCTTTAATATTTTTACCACATCTCATTTCATTAAGTGACAAGGCATAAATACATACATGTAGTTCTGGGTATTATGAAGTTCGAGCTTGTTTTACAAAATATATTTATACACTTTGGGCGCATTATTTTCTAATTAGAGATGGTGGAAGGGGATCCCCAAAAGCGGAGCTTGTCGAGTAGGGATCCCCTTTAACATGGATTAATACAAACATTTAATGAAAAACAATTGAACGTTTACATTTTAAATTGTACATAACACACGGAAAAACATAATATTGCTGATCAGAAAAAAAAAAATACAGAGTAGTAACCCAGTAAGAAGATTAATCTGAGCTATTATAATTTGATAGAAATTTCGATTTAAGTTTGGATTTAAATAGTGGAAGGCTACGAGTGCCCTGGAGTGATTTATGTAAGGACTTCCAGTACGTAGGGCCTTCATGCCTAATTGTCTTTTTATAAACTGTTGTTCTTGCAAATGAAAAGTGAAATTCTCTACGTTGTCCGGTAAAATGGTGATGTATAGTTTCGTTTCTGCAGAACTTTTGTGCAGTGGGATTTGGAAGTAAATTATTGTTCAAACGATGCATGAAGGCTCCAAGCTGAAGTGAATAAATGTCATTGACCTTGAGTGTTTTATGCTTACAGAAAAGAGGATTTGAATGTTCAAGTCTGTCGAAAGAATTGGTAACTCTCAATGCCCGTTTTTATAGGTTAAGAATTCTATTCGCATAACTAGCTGCACAATTCCTCCATGCTAGGATACCATAGTTCAAATAAGGCAAAATCAATGTATTTTACAGCATAAACAGTACTTCATGTGGGAAAAAGGCTTTGAGCTTACTAATGACACCTATATTTCTAGAGATAATAGAACAAATGTTGTTAACTTGAATTTTCCAAGAGAGAGTAGGATCAATATATAATCCCCAAAATTTTACACAATCAGAATAGGGCAATTTTATGTTATCGATATATATATCAGGTAAATGGGACCATGTTTTAGCGGAAAATAGCATGCAGGTTGTTTTCTTGATATTAAGGGATAATTTGTTTGCTTTAAACCATTCAGAAATTTGAAGTAATTCTTGGTTAACTAAATCAGCAAGTACATCAATGTTGTTATGACTAAGAAATAAATTACTGTCATCAGCAAACATAATGAAGGAAAATAGATCTGACGATTTGTTAAAATCATTAATATAAATAGAGAACAGTATTGGTCCAAGTATTGATCCTTGAGGAACTCCATGGGATATTTGTTTAAGAGAGGACTGATGACTCTCTAAAGACACAAATTGTTGACGATTAGAAAGGTAATTCTTAAACCACTCCAGAGGAATGCCTCTAATCCCATAATAGTCAAGCTTTGTTAAAAGAATGTTATGATTAATGGTGTCAAAGGCCTTAGAGAGTTCTAAGAAAATTCCAAGCGTATTTTTAGATGAATCAAGGTTGGTCGTGATTTTGTCTACTATCTTAATGATGGCATGTGTTGTTGAATAATTTTCTTGGAATCCGAATTGACTGTCAGATATAATATTATACTCATTTAAATATTTAGTGGTACGATTGTAAATAATTCGCTCAAGGATTTTTGAGAAGGTGGTTAATACTGATATCGGTCTATAGTTGTTTACTGATTTTGCATCACCTTTCTTAAAAATTGGAGTAACTCTGGCAACTTTCATTTTTTCAGGAAATATTCCTGTCGAAATTGACAAATTCATAACAAGAGTTAAAGGATGGGATATTGACAAAATAATTTCCTTTATAAGTGAACTAGTTATTAGGTCATAGCCTGCACTTTTTTCTTTGGCAATTTATGTACAATATCGATGACTTCTTGTTCAGTTACTGGGGCAAAGAATTTGGAGTTCGGATGGGGACTAGATAAATAATCAGAATAATTTTTAGTGCTGGTTGGAAACTTACCACTAAGTGTTTGACCAGTTGAAGTAAAATAGCTATTAAACTGATCGGCTATATGATGCGGACTATCAATAATTTCGCCATCAACGTCTATGCTATTAAGTTTGGATTGCGATTTGTTATTAATTACATTGTTGATTACTTGCCATGTATTCCGGATATTATTTCTATGTTGTTTAAATTGCTCAGCGTAGTACTTCCGTTTGGAATTACGGAGGACGTTAGTTAAAATGTTTTTGTAGCGCACATATTTTGTTCGATTAGAATCATTAGGATGCGACATATATCTATGGTATAGCTTGTTTTTGCGATGGATTGATTTGCATGAACTAACAGTAACCCACGGGGATTTAGGAGTTGATTTTCGTGATGCAGGCTTACTTTTTGTCATGGGAATATTTTTATCAAATCAAGTAAATTTAAAGTATCCATAAAATTGTTAAAAGCAATGTTTGCATTGACACAAAAGAACAAGTTGAGAGGGCCTGGCGTTTCGATCCAAGCACGATCTCTTATAAAGAGAGAGATCGAATGGCTACAGGCCCTCTAACTCGATAGACCTAGTCCCGTAGGCACTACTTTCGTTTAATTTATTTTGTTCAGTTTTACTGATGATATTTCATCTTGCTTTTTGGACTTGATCTTGTAAACTTGTTTGTATTATCCCTCGGGGGATATTTGGTTATATTCTCTGGGTCCAGCCTTTGAGAAGGTCCCTAAAAAGATCGATTTCCGTGATAGGACGAGTCATACCAGTCAGTCTACTTAACTTCCGTTTTATCTCAAACATAACGTATGATTTAGTGGAGGTTGAAGTTGTCACATGAATGCTCTATCACTAGGAAATGTTTGGACTTCCTCCTTGGTTTGCGTTGTGCGCCGTATACAGGCCCGTAGGAAGCTAAAAATGATTGGTTAGGCTCATCTCAGGGCAGGGAGCTCAGTTGATGCGAGCCGGTAGCGCGAAGCCCTTACGGCGTGGGGTTCGGGGCCCGCTTAAGGACCCCGAAAAATCTTCATTTAAACATCATTTTCAAGTTTGGAGTCAATTATCTTTTTATATTTTTTTAACGTGAGAAATCCCATGTCGGCGTTAGAGCATGAGAATAACCTGAAATGTATGAGTCTTATAGTTATACGCTCAATGCGTGAGAGTGGCAGGCCTGCAGATGCGGATCCAGGATTTGACCCAATCCCTCCCAAATTAAATGTAACCAAAAGCCAACCCCCCCCCCCAACACTATCAATATTTGTACAGAAATACATGTGCACGTATATAGGGAATTTTATTCTTTGTAATTTGTACAAGACACATTTTGGAGCACTGCACAACTGCAAGTTGAACCAGTATATGTCACTTGATGAACTTTACATAAATCGTCAAAATTAAATCGTCAAAATTTGGCCTATCGCAGTGAAACGTTTTGGACATTTTGCTCATCGCAAAACTATTTTGGATCTAGATGCTCTGTAGTGCAATCGGAGGCATTTCCTGGCCACTTTCCCCTGACTTTTTTAATGAAATGCATTTGTGTTTTAGTGGGTTGGTCTCAAAGTGGATAAATTACATCACAAGCATCACATCAGAACTGTAGCTTGACTCTCTTTCTAGATTTGTGCTCTTCAGCTTGATCCATGATTGTGTTCACAGGGAAAGGGCGTAATTATACATGTCGCCATATGCACTACAAGTTAAGCTAAATGGAATTTAACCATGAGTTTTAGTTTTCCTCAGACTTGTATTTGTGTTTTCTTAAAAAGAAGTGGTTTTCTAGCTGAGAAAATAGCAAGGAAAACTGGTTTTGTGCAAGCAAAATTCAGGGAATAATCCGTTGATATTAAATATCTTGTTGGAAAATTCCAAAATCAATTCAAGAAAGTTGCCGCCGTGAATCAGAGTTTATGAAGGGACGGGAAGTGGGATTTGCTATCAGTATCAACAGGGCCGTTCCTCATTCTTTATCTTTTATGGGATGTGAATCAAATTGGAGGACAAGAGGCTTTGTGAGCTGATGTATTTTTTAGAAAAACATTTATTTGTGCAACCAGCTTGTAGGGAAGATTTCCGTTTATTTAAGATTTAATTCACAGGTATGGATACTAGTGTATGTACATGATTGAACTGCCGAGCGTATTTGTTAAGTTTGTTCTCTTTCTAAAAAAAAAATACATCAGCTCGCTGAGTGAATCGTCCTCCAGCTTGATTCACATGACATCCAATAAGGTAAAGAATGACGAACGGCCTTGTTGATAGCAATTCCCACTTTCCGTCCCTTCATAAACTCTGATTCACAGCGGTAATTACTTTCTTTGAATGATTTTGGAATTTCCCAACAAGATATTAATTCCCAGAATTTTGCTTGCACAAAACCAGTTCTTCCTTGCTATTTTCTCAACTAAAATTCATGGTGGCGGCCAAACGCCATTCTGTTTCACTTAACATGTAGGCCTAGTGGTGACATGTATGATTACGCCCTTTCCCTTTAGACACAAACACACCCAAAAAAACACAAAAAGAAAACAAGAAAAATGTGGGGGAGGGCACCGGGGGCCATGCCTCCCCCCCCCCCTCCAATATTATTTATTTTTTAAGGGCGTCGCAATAAAGGCAGTCACTGCCTACACCACCATCTTTTCCTTTAAAAAAAATGGTTAAAGTGGTCAGAAATAGCCTCAGATCGCACCACAGAGCATCTAGAAACCAAACGAAAATCCGTCCTTGGGGCCATGCAAGGCCTTGTATACATTAAAAAAAAAAATTAAAAATAGGCCTGTTATTATTGGTACGGCTATAGCCGTACCTGCCGTACCGCTTCCTACGGCCGCATACATCACACACTTTCGTTTTGAAATCCGTGTATTCAGTAAAACCTGACCGCAAAGCCGCAAATGATACTTGGTAGGGTAAAAAAAAATTCTAGCGCACCAATTATTGCATAATTTTGTAACATAATTACACTAACCGAATGTATTCGGATTACTTCACAATACACGAGCACCACCCACGCGATGTGAATTTGGTGTTTAATAAACTTTTGCTTTCAAAAGAGTTTGGTTTCGTTTTATCTCTGGATGACGCTCGTTTCTTGACATGAATAAACCAATCCATTTTTCTTAATTGTTGAATTGGTTCAGAGTTTATTTTCAATTCCCAATTCCCTTATAATTTGAGCTCCGAATATTGAGCACTTCCTTGTTCTGTGTTGACACCGAGAGTGTATTCAAAGTTCTCGCTGCCAAAAGGCATTCTGCCAAAAGTCACTTCGGGACGAAAAAGGAAGAAGATCATTTTTCTAAAATCTGTTTTGTATAAACAATATTGAATATCTGTTCTTTATGAAGCTTATTTTGTTTGGCCGTGCCGTGATTTATTTTCAAAATGTTTATTCACTCTTTGTGCTTAGTCGCTGACATTTATTTTTGCTTATTGAGATATTTTCTCCAAAACTTCCTCTTTGAAATTATATCATAATATTAAACATGATAAATCAGACAGAGTTATGTGATCTCCCATCACATTTGGGCATGTTTGTGTTATGTTGCAAAAATCTGTACAGCTGCATATTGTTGCTTGAATTATTCTTTTAGCATTCAAGAGAAATAAAGTCTACGTCATCTTTTGGATCTTTTGGGGAAAGTTTGCAGATGCACCAGGTGCAGGCAATTATTAATGGTTCTGAGAACTGTATCTGCAAGCTTCCCCAACGTTACACTCTGCGAAAACCTCAAATCCTGTTCGTATTGAAAACAGTTTTGACTCAATTTCAATTTGAAGGAAGCGGACACCGTTTGCCAACAAACACGGAACTGTGAAAATCTTATTATAAATACTAGGATCAAGCATCCTGAGAATTTTTTGGGCCTACTATACTGTCATTTTAAAGGAAGGAGCATGGTCTGGAATAAAGATCCTATCCTATTTGACCTAACCATAGCGAGAAAAAAAAATGGTGTGCATTTCCTTAAGGGCCACTGTAATTCTTACGAATTGAAACGTAATGACAAACTTTCAAACTTTGTATCGACGGACAATTAGAGTTAGGGTTTGGGTGTAGGTTAGTGTTAGGGCAATTAAATAAACCTTCACATTTTTGCGGCTTTTTTATTGACCAACAATAAGAGTTAGGGTCATGGGCGTCGCAGGCAAAACATAATTTTTTTTTTTTTTTTATTTTTTTTTGCTTTTCCAGGGGGCGCCCCCCCCCCTTGCCCCCCCCCCCCCCACCTCGCGACGCCCATGGTTAGGGTTAGGGTTAGGGTAATGAAATAAACCTTCAAATTTTTATATTTTTTTCAACCAATAATAACTTTTATGCAATTGGGCCTTTGCAACAGTCCAGTTAAACTTGTCCCGTTAAAAAATTGTGTTGTACTTTAAAGCAACCCCCTCCCCCCTAAAAAGAAATCGCCCGAAAATAGTTCTCTCTATCTTTTCTGACTATGAAAACTTCTTGTCATCGCAGCAGAAAAGGGGCATTTAATACTCCTAATGGCTGACCTGAATCGTTTTTATGAATAATCGTCATTTTTATCACCCAGTGACTTCGCGGCCACATAAAAAGACGTTTCATGTTAGAAGCAAAGTCTTTTCGAAGTCCATTTTTCTTTTTCTCTTCTTTCCTTTTGTAAACGGCTCCTCTCTCTGCCTCCTCTTTACTAGCTACCTCCTGTGTTCTTCCACCCGACCCATCTGACGTTCTGATGGTGGTATCGGGGCAGCAAGCCGTATACCTTCCTGGTGACTCGGTCCAGTATGCCTGCCCGGATGGATATCAGCTCAGTGGATCAACCACAAGGATCTGTCTTTCGGATTTAACCTGGTCCGGCCAGCAACCTACATGCAGCTTAACAGGTTAGTGATGTCACATTCAGTCACAATCAATTCTCTCTTTTTCCCCCATCATTTTATGAAATTATTTAAAAAGAATTCAATCCTTTTTAGTTAAATCGTATAATGACCCTGTCCAATTGTTAGTATACCACCATCAAGATTAGGCCTATTAATTAAGAAAACATCCAGGACCTTAAGTGTAATTTCAATTTTAAACCCAATGACATCCATTTTGTTCCCCAAAAAATTCTCTTCTTAAAACGAGGTCCAGAGTTTTATCAAAATAATTTTAAAATTGAATTAATCATTGTTGGCACTACGAAGTTTCCAATGAGACATTGAAAGGAAAAAAAAGGTCCATTTCAATTCAGCTTTTGATTTAAATGATGTGTTGTGGATATCGCACTTATATTCTAAATTCAACTCGAGCGTGAAACAGGCGCATTATAATAACGCTCTTTTTTTATTAAAACGTATCATTGCCTGTAAGTGGTTAATAAAATGTATGCCTTCAATGACATTACATTCGTTCCGGAAAAAAATGGAGAAAATTTGAAAAATCACAGTGATTTTAACTTTAACAATCTATTTATGCCTAATGTATAACGGCCAAAACGCAGAGCAAATTGAAAATCACCGGCATCCGTTGATACTATCAGGTTTACCACCCTCAAACAAAATCACACTGTTTTCACGAAAATGTCAGTGATACACCAGTTATGTTATTTGCTCTACAGGGTGAGTCAAAAAGAAAGTGACCTGCATTGGTTGTTATTCTGTTTTCTTAAAAAGCAATCAACATTAATACATGATTGTCATAATATTATGTCTTTTTAAAGAGCATATTATTCCATTCATCTGAAGAAAAAGCAAAACTGAAATCGACCCTTCAGAACTTATGCACGTTTTACTAAGAACCCATTTTTATAGCTGTCCACGGAATGCCATAGGAAGCTATTGAGCTGAGTGAGATTTACAGATTATACACGCAGGCATCCGATTACAAATGAGATTTTAATCACTTCAGTCAAGACTGAAATATTATATTTTACTTTCAGATTTTGTGTTTTGAATATGAGGAACAAGTCCACTATTTTATCTGAAATTTTGATGGCGATTTTTATCTGTTTTCCTTTGCAAGTTTCGTTCATTCATGGAGGTCAAAAAACCTTTTATATGTGTTTCATTGTATTTGATGGGTATTCATCTGTTCGTATAACGGTAAATGTTAAGTGGTGGACAGCTGAATTTAGTTATCTTTGTATTAAGATAGTCATAACTTGTGAAAAGAGTTTGCAAATTACGTGAAATGTTCACAGTCACTAGTCAATAACATGTACTTTATCCTAGTAGGCCTACACAAGGGCGGATCCAGGGGGGGGGCCAAAGGGGGCCATGGCCCCCCCAAAACGAAACCAATTTTTTTTTTAAATGTGACATCGCAATAAAGGCAGGCAATGAGTACACCACCATCTTTTCCTCAAAAAAAAATTGGTTAAAGTGGTCAGAAATTTCCTCAGATCGCACCACAGAGCATCTAGGATCCAAAAAAATTTCGGGGCCCTAGCGGGCCCCGAACCCCACGCCGTAATTTTGTAGACCCACTTTTTTGGGGGACCAAACTTTTTTTGGCCCTCCTCAAAAAAAATGTGTTCTGGATCCGCTCTTGGGCCTACATGTATGTTATCGTTATTGTTATGAAATAGAAAGAGCCACATTTTTTGACAATATAGTTTTCGTTCCAATTCGGTCACTTTCTTTTTGACTCACCCTGTACTGGGTGAGTCTGTACAGGGTGAGTAAATAAAACATTGGGATGTGAATGTGAATTGTTTTTGTTTTACTGAAATAACGCACACTTTAACACGGTGGTTGTGTTTAAAATTCCGTAACTTGAAAAGTACATGAGTGATTTCAATGATTCTTGTACTAAATGAAAGCTTGTGAATTGGGCTTTTATATCCTAGATTTTGAAAGTGCTGCATGCAAACCTTCACTAAAACAATAGTCCCGACATTTGGGTTGGGTTTGTTTGTTTGTTTGTTTTACTCACCCTGTATTATAGGCAAAATGTTAGTGGCATGCGTCCTACACAGTGTGTGAGGCATTGGGACTTTTTTTCCCTGTTTTTTCAGTTGGTCTTCGTCCAAGAATGGATTTGCAGCTGGTCCTTGACAAAAGCCGTTCCGCCGCCGCGTCGTTAGAGGGCGCTATAAACAAAATGTATCGAATCGACTGATCTCCATGCATGTAAACAAGTGCGAGTGCACAATAAGCTCTGGCCGTCTTGCATGAAATCTATGAAAATGATCCCTGCCAGAGCTTAAAAATGCGACGCCCAAAAATGGGACGCCGATGGCACATATGGAACACCATACTTTAGATTTATACCTAGATTTATAGCGATTTGTGATAAATACCACGTGACTATAACATGAATGCACATGTTTTGCCACCATTTACAAACTGTTCATAAAAATCTTTCCGAAATGTTTCAAACAATTTGTGCTAAATATTTAAACAAGTGAAGCTAAGCGCTGGTTCCCGATCCTTCCATTCGAATATGGGGAGGGAACCAGTCTCAACCACTCCCATCGTTAAAAAAAAAAAATAGAACCATCTGAAAGCCCCCCCCCCCCCATTTTTTTTTCTAAACATAAAATGTATATGAAAAATATGTTTTGTTGCCCTTTAATTTTTTTAATACAAAAATATAATACGTTGAGTAAGAAAAAAGTGTGCATGTCAATTATGTACGGTGGCCCTGGAACGACATTTTAATATTGACCTTTTTAATATGAACCTTGTAACTTCTTCATATTGACGTTTATTGACTTCTAGAATATTCGCAATTGGCTGACGACCAGTCATGTATGCATGAACTCCAAGCAAACAACTTCGTATAGGGTGCCCGGCAACACGTGATTCGCGCTCAACGCAACGGTGCGGTCGTGATGCGGCGCTCTCTCGCGGTGGCGGGTTATCGCTGCAGCGGGTAATTGCGCATTCAACCATAAAAACGTCTAGCCCCTAGACAAGCTCGAGTATGTTGCGGGTGTATGCACTGAACGAACAATTAAATAATTGACCGAAGCCACCTGTGCCCCGCGCGCTATCGCTTTTACAATGATTGACGGAAATGGGACCGTTGGTGAAATCCCTGATATTTCCCCAAAGTAATACATATCAATGTGTGCCCTTACCATTGTTGTCATGCCTTATAAGACGTGGATATTATTTCGTAACGGTACCACCGCATATAAATGATGTTCCTTTCAATTACATCTTAAGATCATACTCTTATACTAATTAAATACGCGGATCTCGACGGAAATCTCCCGTAACTATGATTAAAAACAAAAAAAATCTGAATAGGGCTTGAAGGATGTAAAGTATTATGATAAAAGCCTTCTTAACGTGATCACAGAACACTGTTTTGCATTATTGTAATTGACAGAGAGTATACCGTCAAGAAATTAATTAGTCTCATGAATTGAACACATCATTTCTAGTGAAACAGCGCTCATTAGCCTGAACATGAATTATAAAAGATATGTGAAATAAATCAGAGAGCCTTGATTCATGATAAAAATCACTACAAGGTAGACGCCCAGGTTAAGTGACATTAAACAGCCGTCAGATTGAAACTCCATCATAACTGGTTGTTTAACTATAGGGCTTGACAAGGACTTCGTACTTTTTAGAATGCATGATTCACATTGCGAAGGAGGACGGTTCAACAATGATATTAACAAGATGCAAGGTCAAACGTTCACAATGCGAAGGTACATGGTTCATATTGCGAAGAAGCAAGGTGCAACGTTGACATCAAGCATGATCAATGGTGTACATTGACAAGATCGAACGTGAGCATTAACAAGTTGGAACATTCACATTAAGAAGGAACAACTTCCACAATGCGATATTAAGCCACGTGCAACGTGCATATTGCGAAGGTACAACGTCAATATTACAAGGTTCACATTAAAAAGGTCAATATTAAAATGTCGTTCCAGGGCCACCGTAATTATGAGACATTTTTCTTTACAAATCTATTGTTCGTGTAGTGGTAATATAGCGGATGGCGGCGCCATTCAAGTTCAACAGCGAAGCCAATAATTATGATACTCAGATTTGTTTACATGGAGATCAGTGTTTAAATGGGCAACCTCGTTCCCATGGTGTCAATCAGTACGCTTCCACCACTACCTGCTCTATCCTTGAAACGAAGTTGAAAATAAAGTAACCCTCGGGGATGAGGTTGAGTTTGGGGAAGTTCGGCACTGGGACCCCACGATATACAGAGCATATATACCTCATGTGCGGGGGCGCATTATTTTGTGAGGAATGCTCTTCAATTCTCGTGTCCCCCGACAGTGGCGTCACCAGACTTTTCAGTCTGGGGGGCACAGGGGGGGCACCAGCATTTGATGGGGGGGGGGGGCACTTAGGTGGATACGGATCGCCGTCCTGGGGGAGGGGTCTAAGGGGAGGGGGTACCCCCTCCCCTTTGGAAAATTTTCGCATACGGAGGATGGGCTAGATGCAAAATGGTGCCACATTTGATGCTAAATTCGATCTGAAGATATCTCCAGAAATTGCTATTTTTGAGGTAATGATTTTAACAACGCGCAGAATTTTGCAGAGGATAGGGGGCACCAGCATTTGATGGGGGGGGGGGCACTCGGGGGGCACTAGGTTTTCCAGGGGGGGGGCACGTGCCCCCCCCCCCCCCCCTGGCACCCCCCCCCCCCCCCCCCCCCCCCCCCCCCCCCCCCCCCCCCCCCCCCTGGCGACGCCACTGTCCCCCGATAGCCGCGGCGGGGTATCGGGACCTCCTGCCTAGGAGGTACAAAATCCAAATCCAAAAAATATTGGCCTGTCGTGTATTAGACTCAGTATAAAAGAACCCGTTTTGATCTTGGGTTAACAAAAGATTTGAAATGGGATGCAAAAATGACTTTTTTAATTTTATAATGAGCAGTTGTTGGGTGTGCACCTCCTACTCCCGACCCATCTGATGTCCTGATGGTGGTATCGGGAGGGCAAGCCGTATACCATCCCGGTGATTCGGTCCAGTATGCCTGCCCGGACGGATATCAACTCAGCGGATCAGCCACGAGGATTTGCCTATCAGACTTTACATGGGCTGGCGAAGCACCCGTATGTCAGGACGAGCTAGAACCTACTCCTGATGGTAAAAAGATACATATCCTTGTCGGGCAAACAAGTTTTTTTGCTTGAGCTTTATATCACTTCCATAGAGGAGAAGCGTCCATGTTTAGTTTACTCCTCGTGGTTTCTTGGTGTGGCTCTCTAGAGCTTTCAAAAGCGTCCGAAAAAAAATCGATCAACGATGGGTAGCATATTGAAATCGAGTTTTAAAATAATCAAATTATGTGTCACGTCCCCATTTTCAAAGGAATGATCCTGTATCAAACATCACTTTTTGTGTTTATTGAGCAGACTGCAGAGCAAGACAAGATGCTTTTGTAATTTAAAAACCGTAGTTTCATTAATCACTTAATGACCCAACAATCTGTTGATTAGTCAGTTTGGTGAACCATTCATCAGTTCAAGCATTGCCATTTCAAAATTGCTGTATCAGTTTCTGGTTGCACACCACCCACTCCTGGTCCATCTGATGTTCTCATGGTGGTATCGGATCAGCGGGCGGTTTATCTTCCCGGTGACTCGGTCCAGTATGCCTGCCCAGACGGATATCAACTCAGCGGATCAGCTACAAGGATCTGTCGGTCAGACTTCACGTGGGCTGGTGAAGCACCCCAATGTATGGAGGATGACCCTGCCACTGGTAAGAAGATATCATTGCCCAGCAATCAACGATTTTCGTGATCTTTATGTAACTTCCATAGAAAGTGACGATTCCATGTGTCAGTTATCAGATAAGCTCAAACTTTCGCTCTTCGCAGGTTTTAGGTGTGGATCCCTGGAAATTGATTCGACCAACGATATGGGTAGCACATTCAATAGTATTATTTTGTATCAAATTCCACAATTTTGTGATATTTAATTATAAAAAAAGTGTATCAGAGACATCGAACAGCAGACTATTATGACAAGTGCTTTTGTAGTTTAAACACCGTAGTTTCATTAATTTAGTAGTTAAATTGACCAGACACTCTGTTGATTAGTCAGTTTGCTAAATCATTCATTAGTTCAAGGGTTGCCATTTCCAAATTGTTATGTCAGTTTCCGGTTGCACACCACCCACCCCTGACCCATCTGACGTTCTGATGGTGGTATCGGATCAGCGTACCGTGTACCAACTCGGTGACTCGGTCCAGTATGCCTGCCCGGACGGATATCAACTCAGCGGGTCAGCCACAAGGAGGTGCCGATCAGACTTCACGTGGACCGGTCAAGCACCTCAATGTAAGAAGGAGGACCCTATCTCTGGTAAGTAGATGTCATTGCCAAGCAAACCTATAAGTATTGAATCCTATCAGGAAACCTATTTTTATAGGAAATATGGCTTTATCGCCTCTTTGAAGTCACACTTTAATGAACCGGCCCAGTGGTTCAGGTTATACGTGATACTTGGGAAACCTGCCATCCAGCAAAACAACTTGAAAAGACAAGCAATAAGTAATGAAGTTTCAGATTATCCAGGACGGTCCAGACGTATTGTGAGCATATATCTTCGCGCTTAGAACCTCATGAGAACAAAAAGTAGTTTGGGGTAGGAGGCCACACGGAGCAAAAGGAAGACGGATGACGTCAATTGAATGGATTTTTTCAGCAGAGCATGGATTATATGTCTTTATATATAGAGTCAGTTTTACGTAGCTACAGACCTCTAAAGAGATTTTTGATTAACCCTATAGCTCCGTCGGGTGTGCGATAAATCATGCTATAGCTAGAGTGTCATCGACACCGCAATATTGCCTTATAAACAGGAGTCAGACTGGCGCAGTGGTTCGTTCACGGATCCTACACAGAAGGATTGATAACTCGGCCAAACTACTAGTTAGACACGTGATAACGGCCCGTACAGGTGGGAATACCACGAATACTTGTCAACAAAGACCCCTGCGCTCGGCGGCTTTCAGATTTGCAGGGCTCTGCGCCCGATCTGGTGTCGACGTCTGTCAAGCCAGCTAGTTATATTTTTGAATATTCATGATCCTACGTTTGTGGCCTTTATTATTGAATTCTGATAAGTGATAAATACATAACCACTATGTTAACGCCGAGCACAATATCTTAGCTTTAAAATTATGAAATGTCGCATTTGTTTCATCAGTTCGGGACCACATCTCTCTCGAACTTTATAATGAAAGCCTAATTAAAACCGAGATATTGGTAAACGGTGTTCTCCTTGGAAAAGGTGTCACATTTGACGTTTAGTTCTCGTGTAAATACTTCATCTATGACGACAAAAACTGCACAATACCATCTGTTATATCCTTAAGTATTTATTTGTTAACAATTTTGGAACAAGTATATCTTACATACGGAGTGGTTTTGCCTACAGTTTTATGAATATTTCCGTTTTAGATGTCATGCAAACAAAACCGACAAATGGCACACCTGGAACATTCGCGATTAACATGCAAACGGGTATTAATGCCCGTTATCACGCGTCCATCCAATTATTAGGCAAGTCCGCTCAGTGCATTTTGTACTAGAGCTCTGAACGGTCGTTCATCCTTGTGTCTAGGATCCGTGGTTCGTTCCTCGTCTAAAGCTCTTGGTTGGTTCTTCTCCTAAAATACTCCACGTGGGAGTTTATACAGGAGACCAGAAACACCGGGGCAAACCCGGCGGGCTCGAACCCACGCTACTGTTGCCTCTGAAACACCAGAGCATGAGTCCGGTGTTCTTAACCGCTAGGCCATGATACTCCAATACATGACATTTGAAACGGAAATATTCATAAAACTGTAAGCAAAACCACTCCGTATGTAAGATATACTTGTTCCAAAAATGTTAACAAATAAATACTTTAGGATATAACAGATGGTATCGTGTAGTTTTTGTCGTCATAGATGAAGTATTTACAAAGCTCCCACTGTTCCACCGCGCCTCTGTGGTGTGACTCTTTTCTGAATCCTGCCCGGGTCCAACATGTACGTGGATTGGGTTTTTCAGTTCCTTTACCTGATGCTGTGGGTTTTTCTGGAATGTCTTTAAGGGGCTTCTTGCCTCCCTGAAATATAAAAGCTTAACATTTGTTCCATATCTTCTCTCTCTTGCTTTCGTATAGTCTTCCGGGCTAGGCCCTACATACAGTGCTTGCTGTGCGCTTTTGAAGAATCCTTGGTTTCATTATGCCAGAAAGAATTGAAATACATGTGAATAAAATCGCGAAGAAATGTCCTATCAGAAAACACATCGTATCCTTGTCAGGATAGAAACTCTTCCCCGTGTGACTCGGTGGGATTCCAACTGAAGGTGAAAATGCAGTGGAAGATCCAACCTGACTAACTCTCGAAGCTGAGGCAAATTTTATTCTTAAGTACAGATTTTATTTCAATAAATTAACGTGGCCGATTGTTGTGCATTTTCTCTCAATAAAACTCGGGTGCCACACCCAAAAAGGCACGGACAGACGAATTTCAAACGTTCCTGGCCATCTTTGGGCAAAATGCAAAAGCACGGACCAGACATAAATGTAGTTATAATTTGGGTGTGCTGAGCTATGCTCAAATATCTTTGTTATTGTATTCCATAGGAAAGAGTACAGGTGCCATACCTGTGGCGATCATTGCAGGTGGGTCTGGGGGAGCTGTTCTTTTCCTTGTGGCAGTCGCCATCATCTGCGTTGTGGCAATCACCGTCAAGAGGTATGCCATTATAAAATCTGGCTCCGGTAAAGTAGTTGAGTACTTTTTTTTCCGAGTACCGAGTACTGCCGAGTACTTAGGTTGCCAAGTACGAGTACGAGTAAAAAAAACGAGTACCGGTACTTGCACCTCCGAGTACAAGAAAAGATCTCCGAGTACGAGTACTTGCACTTCCAAGTACGAGTATGAGTACGAGTACGGGTACAAGTACTTGTATTTACCCGAGCACGAGTACGAGTACTTTTTTTTCCGAATACGGCCATAAATGGTTCATTGTGCGTAATTGGCCAAGGCCCAGTCAGACCGATATACAGACCCACTCACGGATACCTGTTAAATGTGTTTGTCCGGACGTGCACAGAGGAAAATCAGGAAACTTCGATTTCTCCACAAGCCAATCAATCATTTCAAAGTATCGATAAATTAAGGCCGTGGCAAGTCAAGCTATACATGTACCATTTTCCCCCGAGTACTACTATTCGAGTACGAGTACTTTGAAGGTTGAGTATTATTTCGATTACGAGTACTTTGACATTCGAGTACAAGTACCAGTACAAGGTATTCCAGTACGAGTACAAGGTACTCCCCCAAAAAGTACTCGGTACGAGTACCGAGTACGAGTTCTACAACAATGCTACCAGTCTTTAATAGAGGTAAACTTTTTGATAAGGATTCGGTATGTTTACTTTTGGGATTAAATGCAAATGCTCGTATAATTGTTCAAAGTAATTCTCAATCCCAGCGGCATTTCGAAAGATGCATCTCATCAAAAATTTCGCAGAAGGTCAGACAGGTTGTCTAATTATATTTTCTGTGTTTTCTGCGTTTTCTGTGACTATTTAGGAGGAGAAGGCGACGATTTGGGGGTAGAGTGCCAATATCTGACATAGCAGATCGCACATGCAAGGAGGTGTTCCCGAAGGAGTACTCAACTTACGTCCATTACGAAAAGCATATCGCCGAGCCCCTGTACAGCGAGACCCTCTTCTAAGAAAAGTGTGCATGACGAAAATATCAAGAGCGCCCTCAAGAGTTTAAGCAAGCTCGTGAAGAGAGACGTTTGGTACATTCTTTTTTATTGTGGATTTTTAAATAAGGATACACCAACTGAAAAGAGAAACAAATCTGTAAATTTCCACTATTCGGTAGACTTACAATACAGGATAAATCCTGAGCCATGTGTTGCATTGTTTCAGTATGTTAGAAATTTTTGTCGGTCTGTATTTTCAGGGTTTAATTAAGCATTATTTTTTATTTATAGAGTCACTGATGATGGTATTGTAAGACCGAAATTTGGTCTGTCCCTGAGCAACCACACTACCACTCACACAACAGGTGTTCCACATTACACTCCAAGGTCTTCACCTCACTCTTTTCCGAGCAAATTATACCCAGAGCATACCAGGACTGTGATTTCACCCTTGTACAGGGGAAAAGTGACCTCATAAGGGTACTCCCCAGGGCCCAGACTGACCGTTAAGTCAGTCCATGGTCAGTCTACCTTTACTCAGAAATAATGTCATAAGTTATGTTTTCCTTATGACATCATTTCCTATTTTCACCCAAAGTTGCCCCTCTTAAACAGTATAAAATGTCCACATTTCCCACTGCAGGCATCTGTCTTCTGTCACCTAATCCTGTGTTCTGGTACCCAGCCATACCCATGCTTCAGCCGCATGGTCTGAGGTTATATACTTCTGTATTTATACAAGACCCGATGGAATCGAGTTCTTACAAGTAAAATAGTCTTTCCTTTAAGCTGAACTCATACCAGTGTGTCTTCGTTTCTCCGTGTTTACTGTTCAACCCGCTCATCAAAGCCACAGCTACCGGAACGTAACAATATAGTCAAATATCCAAAAGACTATACGTTATAGTATTTTTGCATCGGAGAGATGTTCATTTCTAAATATGCATGGGTTTTTGCCCTTCACCGACGTAGTATTAATAAGCACTGTATGCTCAGTACTGTCTGAGAGCTTGCGAGAAAGAAAATCACACGCTTGCTTGGGTTAGACTCTAACCCACGACTTCCTGCTCTGTAGTACAGACGTCTTAACCACTCGACCTGTCGACCACCGAGCTTGCCGGGATCGGCTGGCCGGTTCGACTTTATATAAAGGTTATAGAGTCAACTTGTAGCGCACACCACTTTACTGTAATGAGCTGGTACTTCAACCGATCGAACAAGACAGTTCAAGTCTAGACTAAAGCTACTGCAATAAGTCAGCTTTGACTTACTCAAATATGTTAAATTTTCGGGGACTCCCCCCCGAAAAAAAAAGAAATTTACGAGGCTTTCTCCTGCTTTGTAAGGCAATAGGAGAATAAATATAGGAAGTTAAGCATTCTATGTATCATTTTGGCCCCAGTTTACTTGTATCAAAACATTAGTCAGCGGCTGAATGGGTGTACAAGCTTTACATTTACTGTGTGGACTTCCGAGCAAAAGATGTCCACATAAACCAGGTAACAGCGACGTTGTGTAGACTTGCCCACGTCCACAGTGTTTCCCCCTCTCTGTAAAACAGGTTAAGAGGCATTTTGGGGTTAGATATATCCATTGGAAAATGAAGAGAAACACTAAAGGGGATCACAGAAAAAAAAATTGTCCAAAGAGTTTTCACAGTGTGATTAAAATGAGTTCTTAACTACGCGAAAACAAAAGAATGTCCACACTAGGTATGTAACTTAAACAAATGTATGTGTGTACGTGTTTATGGTGTAAATCGAGGACGCACAGACACGTGGAACATCATCGATGAATTGAGATGAGGAACCAAATCGAGGACGACCTCGATAAGGAAACGTGTACAAAACCAATGAAAGCTGTTGCCAAAAAGAATTAGTATAAACAAAGGAAAAGGGAAGAGGAACAATAAATAATCCTCGAATTACACTATAAACAAACGTGTGTGTGTGTGTGTGGGGGGGGGGGGGGGCAGTAGATCCGCTACTTATTATTGTAAAAGCTCAGGTGGAATGTTGTTTCTTTGTCAGTTGTTTGGTTCTTTGTTTGCGGGTTGAATGACAAGAATTATCCACTTCATGACCGATCCCAAGGTTTGGTTGTATGCGGGTGCCATATGCTGCGAAAACTGACACCACCACCCCTCATTCCTCGTGCAATAAAACATCACAATCTTATGTTTCAACGTTTATGTTTAACTGTATAAGGACCAGACACCAAGTATTATTTTAATATGCTTATCATTTAATTAAGTTTCAGTTTACATTAATTATATAGCTTATAAGGACATTTTAATAGTTTTAATTGTTCTTGTAATTGTACACGTAATTGTTTTTACAATGCTTAAAAAAATGTTTTTACTGTATGTGAGCTTTTTAAATTACTCCTTGTGGGATATCAAAAAAGTACCTCACTTGACTTAAATTTTGAACATTAAAGTGTAAATATTTGCGCTTTAAAAGGGGCAACATTTGCGCTTGTATATAGGCCTAATGACAAACAAATAGTGGATTGTTTGCATTTAGTGGGTAGGACCAGAAATTCAGAGACTAATTAAACAATACATTGGTCGAATATCAATCTTGCAAAACAAATGTAGCCAGAGCGATTGTGTCAGTCTATTATACCGAGCTATCCCGGGGACCGGGGATTGGGGATAAAACATTACAAACTGATGATGGAATGAACTGCAAAGGGAAAACGGACTAAAGTTAAAGGGCCCATGAAATGTATTTTTTTAATGCAATCCTTGAAATGCACCTTTGTGTCCTTTAACCTTATTTTAGGTTCCAATTTGCCATTTTCAAGGGTATTTTGGTGCCTTTTTTTGTTTTTATGCTAGTGAAAATTTCCATTTTCTTGAGCAAAAGTGTGATGTCATATCAGGCAGAAATCTCCATGTTGCAATTAGTTTATGCACAAAAATTAACGACACTTCGCTGTCGTAAACTTTCTTTTCAGTGGCTTTTTCGCAAATTTCCTATTCCAATGAAACTTATCTCAGATAAAGACCCTATAGTGATGTAAATTTGTAAAAAAAAAACTTTGTTTTTGTTCTGATTTTTTGCTTCGTTCGCTTGAAAGCGGAAAAGCATTGTTTTTGTTTTATTTTTTTTGGCTTTTTCGCAATGCAGCGAAAAAGCCTTTGTTTCTGTTCTGATTTTTTTTTTCTCCCTACTTTCTTCTTTTTGTTCCATGCAAAATCCAATAGACTTTGTACACGATTTTTGTACACGCCACTTTTGGCATTGAACTTTGTCATACATCATTCAAATTAAGCATATGCATTGTCCTTATGGCAAAGTGTGACGTCATGATTACGTCATCAGGGGTCACGTGACGTTATCACAAACTGCATATTTTGAAGTCCTATATCTACAGAACTGTAAGTTCGATTGGGTTGAAACTTGGTATGTGGGTAAACCGGGATGTGTTATAGATAAAAAATGAGGTGACGTCATGATGACGTCATCATGTGATTTTATATAAATATTTGAATTTTTGGACCTTTTAGCCATATCTCACGAACGCAACATGCAAAATTCAAAATTCTTTTTGTATTTGGTTTGTTAGGTAATAGGTATTTGCACAAAATTTTGAAAAATGTGTGACGTCATCATGACGTCATCAAAAATGCGATTTTTCAAAACACATATAAGGAAAGATCCGATTGTCATGAAACTTGGTGGGTAGGTAGATAATGGAACTAGTATGCAAAGTCCGAAGTGACGTCAGGAATTTAAGTCTGGCCTGTCACAATCATCCGGGTATAAAAAGAGTATTAAATATTCTGTATTCGTACATCCATCTATGTGTATCTCATGTGCTTCATTTCAGGCTTAAACATTCTCTTATTTCTTTTTCCATCCACGCTATCCAAATTCGAGTTCAATAAAGTGCATTGACCCTATAATTCAACATATTTAGGATCGAAGTATGTGCAAGTATACAGTCAATATTACAAGGAGGTTCGGTATCGAAAATTGAAGTCATATTATGCACAATTTTCATATAGACTTGGCTTTCAACCTGGGATATTTATTTTATGGCATAAAAATGTTTCATACAGACTTAACTTCCAAGCTTGAGTATTCACGGCATAAAAATGTGTCGCAAAGTGCTATTTAAAATAACATCAAAATTTACGAAGTTGAAACACTTACCGGAGCAGTTGCGGCCTGTGTACCTATGCCTCGGGATGTTTGGGCAAACTACACGATATGCATGTACACGATATTGTGTATGCACATACATGCGGCGTGCTAACCATGGCAAAACCATACGGTGGCCCACAACTGTCACGGCAAAAGCAAAAGCGCCACGGCAAGTTTATTGGGAAGGGGCGTAATCATACATGCCGCTACTACATCAAAAAATAAAATGGGAAGGAGGAAAATGGCCGCCACCAGGAATTCTTATTAATCACAGAATTTAATTCAAATTAATTGAGAAGTGATTTTATGGCTGAGAAAATAGCAAGGCCAAGGAAAAACAAATTCTCGATTTCTCAGTTTTAGACGGGGGCAGGGACATTTTGCCCCCCCCCCAAACTCATTAAATTTACACCACTATGACTTCGCGCCTCTTTTTCTTTTCTTTTTTTCTCTTTTTTTTATTCCTTTTTTTGGTGCTTTTCCAGGGGAGGGGAAGCGCCCCCCTTGCCCCCCCCCCCCTCGCGACGCCCATGGGTGAACTAAGTCTCAAATTAACGGAACTCTTTTCTGCATGCTAGTCGGAAGGAAAAAAACTCTTCAAAAAAATGCATCAGCTCACAGAGCCTCCCGTCCTCGTAATTGTTTTGCATCCCACGAAATGTAAAGAAATGAGGAACGGCCCTGATGGTGCTGATAGCGAGTCCCACTCCTTGATAAACTCTGATTCACGGCAGCAACTCTCTTGGAATAATCTTGGAATTATCCTATAACAAATTATTATCGACGATTTATTCCCTGAACGCTGCTTGCACTGACCGGTTTTCCTTGGCCTTGCTATTTTCTCAGCCATAAAATCACTTCTCAAAGAATTAAATTCTGTGATTAATAAGAATTCCTGGTGGCGGCCATTCTCCTTCCCATTTTATTTTTTGATGTAGTAGCGGCATGTATGATTACGCCCCATCCCAATAGACCCGTGGCGCTTTTGCTTTCGCCGTGTCGCTTTTGCGCTTGCCGTGGCGCTTTTGCTTTTGCCGCGGCGCTTTTGCGCTTGCCGTGGAGCTTTTTCTTTTGTCGCGGCGCTTTTGCGCTTGCCGTGGCGCTTTTGCGCTTGCCGTGTCGCTTTTGCTTTTGCCGCGGCGCTTTTGCTTTTGCCGCGGCGCTTTTGCTTTTGCCGCGGCGCTTTTGCGCTTGCCGTGTCGCTTTTGCGCTTGCCGCGGCGCTTTTGCTTTTGCCGCGGCGCTTTTGCGCTTGCCGTGGCGCTTTTTCTTTTGCCGCGGCGCTTTTGCGCTTGCCGTGGCGCTTTTGCTTTTGCCGCGGCGCTTTTGCTTTTGCCGCGGCGCTTTTGCGCTTGCCGTGTCGCTTTTGCTTTTGCCGCGGCGCTTTTGCGCTTGCCGTGGCGCTTTTGCGCTTGCCGTGGCGCTTTTGCTTTTGCCGTGACAGTTGTGGGCCACCGTAAAACCACGTAAAAAACACAGCAAAATTCAATGGAGCTGGCTCGCAATAAGGTGTGGCTGGCAGCAGCAATGACAAGCAGTCAAGTGACCTACCTATGGTGGCCCTGAAGGGACATCGCATATCGCAAACGTGTGCGCATACGTATGCGATGTCGCGAAATTTATCGCGAATGTGTGCGCACACGTATGCGATGTCGCAAAATTTATCGCGAATATGTGCGCACACGTATGCGATGTCGCGAAATTTATCGCGAATATATGCGCACACGTATGCGATGTCGTGAAATTAATCGCGAATATGTGCGCACACGTATGCGATGTCGTGAAACAATTCGCGAATATGTGCGCACACGTATGCGAATTTGTTTGCAATGTCGTGAATTTTATTGCATACCTTGTCGCATACCTTTCAGTAAAATTCCTAATGAACTGGGGAGTTGTAGCAGCTAGTCTGGAATCTAGACGTACTGTTAGATATAAATAGGGTCTGACTAATAAACCTTCGCGCGCACGCTGTTCCTCGTGCAATCGTTACTACTAGTACTGTCGAGCGCAAACTTGCTACTTGCGCAACTTTGAAATTTGCGCACGCAAGTTTGAAATTTGCGCGCGTTTCAAACTTGCAAGTCATTTCTCTCAACCCTTCATTTTAATACTATCTTCATTCCTATATTTAACTTGTTTCTTGGTCATGCTTACATAGCAGTTAATTATTGACCTTCATTTCCATAAGTTATCTTTGTATATCTCACCATTATTGTTTGTTTATTTATCAGTATTATTTATAATCAAATACATTCTACCAAGATGTTTTAATATGAAGTTGACTCCTATGATTTATTTACTTGTGCATATCCTCCGAACAAAATCTGCACATTCACGTAGTGAAAAACCAGAGATAAAAAACTCATGGAGAAAATACTCTGGAAAACCCCACGAATAGTACTGATTTTGTTAGACCTATTAAGCTCTCCATTCCCAGCATCACATTTGTTTTAAAGTAACAATTAAAATAGTATGTGAACTCGTTGCCTGTCGGCGCGCAGATGAAGCCAACCCTTTTATCCCTCTCTATTTATACCACCTACTAACTCCTTTTCACCTCCGCGTAGCGGAGTGATATTCCAATTGAGAACTTAATTTCGTTCTATTTCACCCGGTTCAACCGAACGAAATATCATTTTTTTTTCGCACTGCATGCCATATGCAAATTAATTACGCAACTCAGTATGCTAAATTCAATGGAAAACACTAGAGGGCGCTCGCAATGCTTCGACAACTTTCGCATCGCTGTTTATGTTAAAAATATAAGACATCGACAAAGAAACGTTTTACAGACGGGACCTGGCAGCATAATTACAGGAATTTAAGTCTGGCCGGTCACAATCATTCGGGATTAAAATTGTGTTATTGGGAAAATAAAGAACAAGCTGCAAGAGACATCCAATCTCAGATTCTGGATTCTAACTTCATTGAAGAAGAGACTGAGTTGACCTCAAGAAAATCCAATCTGAAAGATGCATGTGTGTATAATGATTGATCAGTCAAAGTATGAAAGGAGACATTTCGAAAAGAAAGAAACATAGGTAGAAAGTTACAAAGGTGAAGAATATTCGGTGATATGTCCGCTTAGTGCATGTTGCACCAAGTAGGAAACAACTCCCTACGGACCACCAAAAGAGCCACCTAATACAATTCCTACAATCATTTTCACTTTCTATCAGTGTCATCTAGAAACTAAACTGCAACAAAATATTTACCAAAAAAAAAAGATTGAGAAAATGGAGACTGATGTCGATGAGAAAGGGGAAAATGGTCGGTGGTCGGAAGGGAAAGATGGTCGGTGGGGAAGATGTGTGAAGCTAAGAAGGCTCTCACTTCAGATGAACATCTGGGCAGCTGTCCGTCCAGAGACTAGATGATGTAAAACTCAGTATGCTAAATTCAATGGAAAACACAAGAGGGCGCTCGCAATGCTTCGACAACTTTCGCATCGCTGTTTATGTTAAAAATATAAGACATCGACAAAGAAGCATTTTACAGACGGGACCTGGTAGCATAATTACAGGAATTTAAGTCTGGCCGGTCACACTCATTTTGAGAACGCACCATTTGTTTCGGCTGATACAACTGGACAGAATGTTTGGGAAATTCTATAAAGTAATGCTGTATTGCATTTAGGACCCATTTGTCCGAGGTTACACTTCGCCGCGTCATTTGCGAATTTATTACGCCCACCATTGGTTCCATACACGAGCTCTCAGATCCGACCACCGGCAGCAAGACAGGCCTACAACGTCACGTTCGGCAATTCAAGTCTTCTTATTTCATTTATACTAGTCCGTGAGTTTTTGCTTCGTTGCCGTAGTGAACCAGTTTGGCAGTAGCATACAGCTAACAGGTGAGCTACGGTGACATCGCATTTAATTATTACCTTCACTGTTAACCCACGTGGTTCCTTTTATCTATTCTTCAGCACTTATACATAAATAGAAGCCTTATTTAATTTTCACCTGCAAAAATACCGCCCAGATTATATTATTATTTGTAGACAAAAGCCTATCAAATTTTATTTCCCTTATCGGCAAAGTTAGCCACAGAAACGTAATCTTTTAAGCAAAGGTAACCACAGAAATTATTTAATTTATTATTCGAATTTGGCACCCACTGAAGTTGCGAACGAAAAAACAGTTCAAGGCCGTGAACCAGACTCTCTTCCCTTTTAAGGGTCACCACGCCCTGCACGCCTCAATGAATTTTTCTGTGCCGGAGCGAGTCGCACAGTGTATTACAGTTATACAGTGTATTTCAGTCTGTTAAGGCATCCCAATGGATAGCACACTAGAAACAGATTTCTTAGAATTAACGGCTGGACCGTCGGACACACAGTACAGTCGACGACTTGAACACCCAGCAGGAAAAGCCAAAGGCCCTCCAACGACCAACCAATGTAAAAAATCTGGAATGTACACGAGTCAATCCAGAGGTCTGGAGCTCTTTGAAGCCGAAAACTCGGTCAAAAGACATTAAGCTGCAAAAAGTGCAGCAAGCACTCATAAAAGGAGTGGTGCCTAGTGTGCTTTATAAGAAAAGGACACGCATGGCTACTCGCATTGCGTAAGTGCAGCTCCGAACAATAATAAAAGGAATTCCGGCTACTACGCAACCACACCGAATAGGGGTAGGCAGTATATAACATCTACAAAAGTAACATAAATTCTGTCATAGTTCATGAAATACCCAGACAGGGCTTCATCATGGGCAGGTTTCAAGCTGGTCGTTCCCACCAGGGTTGGTACGCAGTTCTCTGTCTGTTTGTCAGCTATGTGTTGTGGATGTGGTTCATCAAGGGACTGGGAGTGATGTTACCAACACTACAAGAGCAATTTGCAACCCAAACTTGGCTGGTCGGCTGGGTGCTATCGATTATCACTGCAGTCATATGTATTACCGGTAAGCTTTTAAATTAGCGCATCTGAGTCACTTTCATGTAATGTTCGATAGTGTTAGAGCAACATTAGGCCGAGTAAAAAAAAAAGGTTCTCGTCCGGGGTTTTGAAAAATAGGAGGAAGAGGGGCTTTTTATTTTTTTCAAGATGGCCACCATTTAAAAATTTCCTGCAACCGTTGGTGTTTCCACTGTTCAAAGACACAGCCGAGGGTTTTGTAGCAAGCAAAACACCTCCATAACCATCAGTACGGTCTTTCCTAATGGGGGGATTATATCCAGGAGGCGCTTTTGCTTTTTCCGCGGCGCTTTTGCGCTTGCCGTGTCGCTTTTGCTTTTGCCGCGGCGCTTTTGCGCTTGCCGTGGCGCTTTTGCGCTTGCCGTGGCGCTTTTGCTTTTGCCGTGACAGTTGTGGGCCACCGTAAAACCACGTAAAAAACACAGCAAAATTCAATGGAGCTGGCTCGCAATAAGGTGTGGCTGGCAGCAGCAATGACAAGCAGTCAAGTGACCTACCTATGGTGGCCCTGAAGGGACATCGCATATCGCAAACGTGTGCGCATACGTATGCGATGTCGCGAATGACATCGCATTTAATTATTACCTTCACTGTTAACCCACGTGGTTCCTTTTATCTATTCTTCAGCACTTATACATAAATAGAAGCCTTATTTAATTTTCACCTGCAAAAATACCGCCCAGATTATATTATTATTTGTAGACAAAAGCCTATCAAATTTTATTTCCCTTATCGGCAAAGTTAGCCACAGAAACGTAATCTTTTAAGCAAAGTTAACCACAGAAATTATTTAATTTATTATTCGAATTTGGCACCCACTGAAGTTGCGAACGAAAAATGGGGCAATGTTCACAGATCATTTATATGCATATAACAGTTCAAGGCCGTGAACCAGACTCTCTTCCCTTTTAAGGGTCACCACGCCCTGCACGCCTCAATGAATTGTTCTGTGCCGGAGCGAGTCGCACAGTGTATTACAGTTATACAGTGTATTTCAGTCTGTTAAGGCATCCCAATGGATAGCACACTAGAAACAGATTTCTTAGAATTAATGGCTGGACCGTCGGACACACAGTACAGTCGACGACTTGAACACCCAGCAGAAAAAGCCAAAGGCCCTCCAACGACCAACCAATGTAAAAAATCTGGAATGTACACGAGTCAATCCAGAGGTCTGGAGCTCTTTGAAGCCGAAAACTCGGTCAAAAGACATTAAGCTGCAAAAAGTGCAGCAAGCACTCATAAAAGGAGTGGTGCCTAGTGTGCTTTATAAGAAAAGGACACGCATGGCTACTCGCATTGCGTAAGTGCAGCTCCGAACAATAATAAAAGGAATTCCAGCTACTACACAACCACACCGAATAGGGGTAGGCAGTATATAACATCTACAAAAGTAACATAAATTCTGTCATAGTTCATGAAATACCCAGACAGGGCTTCATCATGGGCAGGTTTCAAGCTGGTCGTTCCCACCAGGGTTGGTACGCAGTTCTCTGTCTGTTTGTCAGCTATGTTGTGGATGTGGTTCATCAAGGGACTGGGAGTGATGTTACCAACACTACAAGAGCAATTTGCAACCCAAACTTGGCTGGTCGGCTGGGTGCTATCGATTATCACTGCAGTCATATGTATTACCGGTAAGCTTTTAAATTAGCGCATCTGAGTCACTTTCATGTAATGCTCGATAGTGTTAGAGCAACATTAGGCCGAGTAAAAAAAAAAAGTTTCTCGTCCGGGGTTTTGAAAAATAGGAGGAAGAGGGGCTTTTTATTTTTTATTTTTTTCAAGATGGCCACCATTTTAAAATTTCCTGCAACCGTTGGTGTTTCCACTGTTCAAAGACACTTTTAAAATGAAAGACAAGTTGGACAAGAGAACTGAACATAATTATTTACAGTGTCCTTTAGAGTTGTATTGGTCTACCAAGAACAGATTTAGATGCATTTGCTTCAACCGCCAAAAGTCGCGAGCGAATTCTTTAAACACATGCTCCAGCGTGAGCTAGTCTCATACCGGTTGCATTCTGGCTTGGAAGTCAGCATTTACCGCATACAGTACGGCAGACAGATTCCGGTTGAATTTTCTTCTTCTTCTTCTTCTTCTTCTTCTTCCATTAAAGGGAATATACAACATTTGCAAACATCGAAAAATAAAACTACCAAGTTTTTGCGAAATACCTTAATAGGATGTTGGTAAATGACAGTCTAAAGCATCCTGTAAAATTATGGCACCTGGTATACTGTCATTTTCAAGAAAAGTGGTATTTTTGTATCAATTTCCAACGCTGATCGGCCGATCAGCGTTGGAAACAACTGGCTTTTTTTTCAAATACTGGCCCCAATTGACCATTGCACTTGTTTGCAATCGATTACAAACCTATGAACGGGTACGAGCCAGCTAGACTGGTTCCGTGACCGTACAATTCCCCAATGTATGTAAACTGCTCTGTTTCTTCTTATATGGAGTCAGGGAACCAGACTACAGGAAAATGATCGTTTTTCTTGGTTTTTATAGCATTTTCGAACCCAAAACCTCCAAACAGTCAGTGTAACTATATTTGCTTTATATTTCCAACCCCCCAATTCCATCCATTTCTGAAAATTACAGCAAAAGCAAATGATGTATATTCCCTTTAAGTACATCCCTCCATAGTGGAGTATTGTCGTACTTGGGTGCAAAAGTGCTCGGTCACGGGAACAAATATTAACGAAGAGTGCAGTAAACTAATTTAGAACTTGGTGCAAGTAAAAACGATGCCCCTGCGGCATAACTAGTAGAGGGTGAGAGGTTTCAAGCTAGTCCGGAAAATCTCCAGTGACTGAGCTGGAACCACGGTGGCTGGTAGGGCATTCCAGATGCAGATGACACTTGGAAAAAAGCTGTGCTGGTATGATAGAATTCTGCAGTGCTGTTGTGTGAACTGCTGTTGGTGGCCCCTATTCTGGTTTGATGAAGAGTACAAGTAGGGTGGGGTAGGAGGGATGGCAACGAGACCGTGCATTATCCTGTACAGCATGATGACTTTGTTGTGGGCTCGACGTTCGTAGAGAGTCTGCCATTGGAGATTTTGTAGCATCTGGGTGACACTATTCCGTTGGTTGTAGTCAGCCGTTACAAATCTAGCGGCACGCCGTTGCACCATATCAACCTGGGAAATCAGGTCCTGTGTATGTGGATCCCACACCGAGGATGAGTATTCAAGGGTGGGGCGGACATAGATCTTGTAGGCCTGTTCCTTGATCTTTGGCGGGCATCTTCTCAGGTTGCGGCGAAGAAAGCCGAGGGTGCTGTTGCTTTTCTTACAGATGTTTTGGACATGGGGCTTCCAGCTGAGATTTCGATGGATGGTGACACCTAGGTACTTTGCCTCATCTACGGTACGGAGTGCAGTCCCATGGATTGAATAAGGGGTTGCTCCGGGGATGTTGTTTCGCTTGTTTGAGATTCTAAGAACTTCACATTTATCGGCGTTGAATGACATTAGCCACTTTTTCTCCCACTCCTGAAGGTTTGCAAGATCCTTTTGAAGAATGGCAGTGTCGTCTTGAGATTGGATGGGTCTATACAGGAGAGCATCATCAGCGAAGAGGCGTAGGTTTGACGAAACGCACTCAGGCAGGTCGTTGATAAAGACCAAAAACAGTACGGTGCCTTGGGGTACCCCTGATGTTACACTGGCAACGCTGCTCTTTTTTCCCTCTAGAATAACTTGCTGGGTACGTCCTAATAGGAAATCTCGGATCCAAGACAGTAGCTGACCTCTGACCCCATAGTGATGGAGCTTCAGGAGGAGACGTTCATGAGGTACTCGGTCAAAGGCCTTCGAGAAATCTAAAAGGATTGCATCGATCTGCTGCTTGTCTCGTAGACCTCTGGCCAGGTCGTCTACTGTTAACAAGAGCTGGGATTCGCAGGATCGCTTCTTTCTAAATCCAAATTGGCATTCAGTTAACAGGTTGTGGGTATCAAGGTGTTGAATGATCTGGCTGTGGATGATATGCTCAGCTGTTTTGCAAACGATAGATGTGAGAGATATGGGGCGGTAGTTTTCAGGTCTGTGTTTGTCATCTTTTTTGAAGATTGGAGTTACATCCGCCGATTTCCACGCATGTGGGATTTTTCCTTGGTGAAGGGTAGCATTGAAAAGTTGGCAAAAAATAGGCGCAAGTTCTTCAGCTGCCTCTTTGAGAAGATAGGCAGGCAGATTGTCAGGACCACAGGCTGTGTGGGGCTTGATGTTGGCGAGGAGTTTCCTTACACCTTCACTAACGATGGAGAAAGATGGAACTGTTGGGTGCGGGCTGGTGCCAAGATCTGGTAGTTCTGATGCATTCTCATCAGTGAAGACAGAAACAAACTGGTCATTCAGCATATTGGACTTCGTTGTGCTGTCACTTTGCAGAATGACTTCTCTCATCAGTGGCGCAACACCGGAATTCTCGCATCGTTTACTCTTAATGTAAGACCAGAACCTTTTCGGGTTACTACCTTCTTCGCACAGCATGTCACTGATGTGAGTGTGGTAAGCTGTTCTGCAGTCTCTTTGCATCTGTTTCTTGAGGTTCTTGTATCGGGTCCAGTCACTCGATTTCTTCGACCTACAAGCTCTTTTGTAGGCTCTCTTCTTTCTTCTAGATAGGGCTTTGATATGGCGATTGATCCACGGATGACTGAATCTTGTGGAGGATAGCTTGGAGGGGACCATCGTATCCAAGAGTTTGTTAAGGAAGGTTGCTAACTGGCTCCAGAGATCATTGACATTAGTGTCAACAGAATTGGATGTGACGAAGTGACTGCCAAAGGTGTTAATTTCCGACTTGATGCTGCCCATATCAGCTTTCTTCCACAAGAAGATTCTTCGTCGGACTGGCTTTTGTCTTTTGGCACGAATGTCAGATACAGTAAGAACCATCTCGTGGTCGCTCACTCCAGGCACAGGCATACATTTACTGACAAGGGTTGGTCTATTTGTAAGGAACAGGTCTAAGATGTTCTTATCTCTAGTTGGAGTGTCTACAATTTGGGTTAACCCCAAGTCGTTGAAAGTAGAAATGAAGCAATTGTTGATTGCATGACTGAACTGGTGACCAACAATAGCCGCTGTAGCCCAATTTATATCAGGGAGGTTGAAGTCTCCACTGAGCCAGACTACAGCCGAAGGGTTACTAGTGATGATGCGCTGGATGGACTGGCACAAGGTCTGAGCGTAGGCAAGGTCACGATTTGGTGGTCGATACGCTGACATAACAATGAGGGGTTGATGTCCATAGAGGTGGATCTTAGAAACTAGTTCGCTATCGCTATTCACTTTGATTTCACCATCGATGATGTCATTTTTTGTAGCAAGCAAAACACCTCCATAACCATCAGTACGGTCTTTCCTAAAGGGGGGATTATATCCAGGAGGCATCATTTCTGAGCTCAACATAGATGGTTTCAGCCAGGTTTCATTAGCAATGATTACGTCAGGCTGACAACTGTCAACTGCTTCCCAAAACGCTTCCTTTTTAGCGTTCATGCTTTGTAGGTTGACCGAGAGGACCTTTAAGAGCCTGGGATTATTTTTCCTTCTTTTGGGGGACTTATTTATAGGAGAAGACTGCTGGAGGGGAGAGCCAGGGTTAGGCTCAGAGTCAATTGATGAACGACTCTGGTTTGATGAGTCACGTCTGGTGGTGGTTGTCAGACTTGGGTCATGATTACCAGTATTCATTGAACTAAACACATCAGATGAGTTGTCAATGACTGATATCACTTGGAAATTATTCTCGGACTCGCACAAGTAAGAATCGAGAATGGACGAAGAATGATTTGGGGTATCGCAAATCATGCAAATCCAGCTAACATCTGATCTGTTGATACTTTCATATACTTCCTGTGTCATTCCCATGCAGTCTGTATGATACCAGGTATCACACGTATCACAAGCTACAGCTGTTCTCGTTTTCGACCAGCGGACGGCTTTCTTACAGACCCCACATGGATACTTGGGAGAGTAACGACCTGGATTTAATTCTGTGTCATGGGCTTGAGTAATCAGAAGGATGGCTAGATACATCGACACCGAGTTCTTGCTTGGTTTAACTTTAACCAGGTTATTTTCTATAACTGAACATGAGAATAACCAGGAGGCTTGCCAAAGCTTTTGGCTGGTGTAGTGCTCAAAAACTCAAGACAGGTGCTTAGCAACTAAGCTGATGAAGTTTTAGCTATGTGAATGTTGTATATCCGTAGAAATAAAAATACAGGGACTGGATTTCAACTCAAAATTGCCGATTCTAATTTGAATTGCCCTCGAAATCAACATCCGGAACACGTTCTCGTTCAGCCGATGGCAGCTACGCGATGTACATGTCATATCACGCACCGACGAATAATATCAACCGCATCATGCGCGTGTCTGTCGTTTCAACGCTTGCGCGCACCCATTCACGGATTCGACCAAATACAAACCAGCTACTAACGGAAATTTTCAAAAATGCGTCACTCAACTCATCTTTGGAAATGACCTTCTTTCATCGTTTTCTTCAAAATGACAGAAGGGATTGTTTCACAAGGAGTTTAGTGCCATGAGCAAGCTTGTTAACAGTAATTTTGTCAGTTTACATTTTGGATACATCCACTACTCCACCTGGATCTACTCCACCTTTAAGACATCCATATATATAGATGTATTCTTTACCAACCATTTTTGTGTACTTGAATAGGTCTCCTTGCTAGGCCACTCGAGGTCATGTTTGGTACTCGCACGGTGGTGACGGTCAGCGGTTTCATCCTTGGTGTCTCCATGGTCATCGCTTCTTTTTCCACTAGTATTGTCATGTTGACATCAGTACTAGCACTGGCAGCTGGTAAATATTTTATTCATTTCAAGAGATCGTGCCATATAATGAATGCTCGAAATCTCAATTTACATAACAAGAATTGTTTTGAGTTAAAATTTAGTATCCCCCAAGATAAAAAAAAAATGGTGTTTTTTTTCGATTGCCCTTTACGAATGAATTGGTTTTTAGCATTTAAGGGGCAATGATGACTTTTTATATTCCCAGTGTTTCAGCGCTGGGTCGTGCTGGCATTAAAATATTGTTGATATCAACTTAAGTTCGAATTGAGTCCAATCTATTTAGTAATTACAAAGCTGAATTTAAAAAACTCTTTTCCCGTCTCATTAGGAAATCCATACCTTTGTGCTAACAAAATAATTGAACCATGAACTATGCAATCTATTTCACGGTGTAACACCCAAAACACACAGACCCTCCCTTCAATACTTTGTCAGCCAACGTGGAGTAGATCACTCATCGATTATCTTACATCTTATCCACAGGACCTGCTGTAAGTGTCGTCCAGATTCTGACAAGGGCGCTACTCGGGCGCTGTTTTACGACAAACTATGGCATGGCGGTAGGCATAGGGACAGCAGGAGGTGCAGTAGGCTTGATCACCGTTGGGCCTTTTACCCAACTGTTGCTGGATACGTACGGCTGGGGAGGGGCTTTGCTCATTCTTGGAGGGTTGACCATGCATCTTGGGGTGTGTGGCGCCCTCTTCCGTTCAGCGTCGACTGATGAAACAAATTACAGTTATCAGCCGGTGAGCACCGGCGCCAATGAGGAACCACAAGTCGGCTCATCAAGTGCCGAAAAGGCAGGCAACTTGAAGCAGTCATCACGACTTGGCGCCGTCAAAGACGCCCTCGGTGCGCAGATGAAACATTTCGGATTCTCAGTTTGTTTCATGTTCTCATTTTGGATCACAGCAGTCCCCTTCATATGCAACCGCTTTGTGGGTGATCAATGGATAATCTATTACGTCTCCCAAGCCGAAGCTAAAGGCTTCTCTCCTTACGACGCTGTGACATTCACCACAGCTGGAGGGGTCGGCAACTTCGTTTCCAAGATTTTGCTTGGTGTTATCGTCGATAAAGGTTTGTTAAAATTGAGAACGGCAATCGCACTGATGATCACACTGAGTTCCTCGGCTTTGTTGATAACTCCCTGGGTAAACTCTTATTGGTTGATGTCGGTCAGCTCAGTTTTCTATTATAGCGGTCGTGGAGCAGGTGCTTCACTGAATGATATGTACACCAGGGAGCTGCTTGGACCTGATCTCTTGGCATGTGCTTTCGCTTGGATGGAGCTGGTGACGGCCATTTTAAGTTTCAGCCTTGGATTCTTTCCAGGTAAGGCATATCACGCCCCATCTTATGGCTTTGGTGAGATCAGTATATTGCATGGAAGGATAGTGTCAATAGTATCAATGCAATTCCGATGTCTTAGGGTCGTCGACCAATACATGTCAAGTAAACATTTACTACACCCTCACATAACCACCGATACAGTGGTTTCATTCACAATTTGATGGTCACCTGTTAAAGGGTTCTCTCAAACATACGTTTAGGGTAGCTGCGTATATTGTGACCATGTCAAAACGTTTCTATGTCCAACATTATTGCCTTCCCTCATAATCTGAAAAAGCAAACATTTCCTGATGGAAGTTAAATTTACAGTGAATTGGAAGAGCTTTTTCCTAGGAGGAAAAAAAACCAATTTATTATTATTATTATATATGGTTAGTATTTTCATAGAATAAATTATTGACAATATGCAGTTTGAAAACTGGTAGGTTATTGCACTATACATGTTGGCAGCAATTTTAAATAGGTAAAATTAACATGAAGAAATAACAAGCTGAAAAACGGCATCAATATGTCCACACGTATTTGATTAACAATACAGGAATTATTATGTTGACACTGACGAAGCAAAGAAAACGTTTACTGGTTATAACTACTTTAATTATTGTTTTGCAGGTTGGATGTACGACCAGACTGGCAGTTTTGATTGGGCCTTTTTCATCCTGGGATGCATTTCAGCTCTATCGTGGATGGCGCTGTTGATGGAATGGGTCCAGGCGAGATGCAAGTCCCAGCAGACGGCTTGAAGTATTCCTAATTAAACTACAAGAATGCTGGCGCGTGAAATGAAAAACAACATGCTATAGAATGAATCATGCCCCTTTTCATTGCAATCTGATGAATGTGGACTATATTCTTAATTATAAAACAATAACATGATCGTGTATAAAGTATATGCTGTTGTGTTAAATTTCAAAATTTTAGGATTAATTTTCAAACTACTTTACTGGAAGAACAATATAACATTATGATCATTTATGTATAGTTACATTTTTTAATGATTAAACAATGCTTAGTTAGGGGGAAATGAAAAGCATAAGTAATACAGTACAATGTAAAAATAAAGTATGTTAACTTAAAAAATAAAAGTATGTAACTATGTAACATGGAATCTTTCACAGATCCACTCTATAATTGATTTGTACAGCAGTTTTGATGTTGAACTTACAGTTTTCAAGTAAATTTTCTCCTTTTTTTGACAAAATCTGGTTAACTTACAACGTTTTGCTGTAAAATCAGCACCTAAGACTAACGCGTTTTGTAAATATAAGTGGTTCGATGTGTTATCGATAGTTTGCTACAATTCGAAACAGATTGTTTCGATGTAGACCGCTGTAATCTGTGAATACACATTCAGCTTGTTATTTGAAATAATGGAAAAGTTGGACGGTTACATCTCCATTGTAAAGAAAGAAAGATGCACTGTACTGTCTTTGAGAAAGAACTTCTTTGTCATGACTGATTTCGCAATATTGTTCACAAATAAATCCACGCTTTTTGAACCGTTTTCCACAGTTTTTGAAATAAATCCACACTTGTTGTCATCAGTGCTAAAGGAAGGTCCAGTAAAATGTTTGTCGTGACGCATGCTGAGATTCACCACGGATCCTACAGACAAGGATGCACAACTCTGCCAAACTCTTGGTAATCGATGCGTGATAACGGCCCGTACAGCTCCGAATACCATGAAAACTTGTGTCAGCAACTGCCCAGACGGCTTAATCGCTTCACAAATTCTGTCAAGCCAGCTAATTATAGTTTTGAATATTCATGATCTCGATTTTTGCCCTTTATTATTGAATTATAATAAGTGATAACTGCATAACCATGTTAACGCCTTCCCACATATCTTTACCTTTAAAATAAACTAAGATATCTCGCATTTGTTTTCTTTTGGTTCGGGATCACATCTTCCGAAAACATTTTAATGAAAATCTAATGAAAAACGAGATTTGGATAAACGGTGTTGTCAGTGTGAACCATATAAAATAAATGAGAAATAAAAATATGAATAAAAACATATGAATAACCATAGAACAAAATCAAAAACAGAATTCCAACAACCACTTGTTTTCGTGCACACACATCATCTTAAAAAAAAAAAAAGATTGTATCGAAGAAATTAAATAACTATTCCATCAACTGGGGTAAATTCGGCATTGTATCACTAAAGACAAATGTAATATGAAAAAAAGTAAAAACTCATCAAAAAAATGTGTCACATTTGACTGTTTTCCCGGGTAAAAACTTCATTTAGGACGACAAAAACTGCACAATACCATATGTTATATCATGGTGTATTTGTCTTTTTAACAATTTTGAAACTTTTCTTTTTGTATCTTTTCCAAGGAGTTGGTGCTGCTTAAAGTTTATAAAAAAAAACTCCGTTTCAGATGTCATGCGAAAACAAGCAATATATCGCACGTGGAACATTCGCAATGTCCAAGTGTCGAAATACAAGTCTTCCACAATGATGAAATGTATGTTTCTACCTTGAAACTCAAGTATGTTCGCGTTCTTGCAGCCTTTAAGAAATTATGTGCTGTACCCAACTCACAATTGTTACTTTTCTAACGATCTAACTATCGCAACGAGCTCGACGACCGTCGCGAGATCTGACGGGTCTTAACGAGATTTCATGTAGGACACCAAGGGGTTGGCGATTAACATGCCAACGGTCTGGGCTGTACCGGCGCGCGGCTGGCGGCCTGCTGGTCTAGTCGCCACACAATCTGACCGAAAGATCAGGAAAGCGACGCAACAATAGTACTATAAAAACGAGCCCCCCCCCCCCCCCACCAGGCTGGTAACCAGTCTGCTTTAGTCATCGTAAAACAACCTAACTACTTTGGAGATCATTCTTATGGTTGAAAACAAAGATGTGTTTTCTCTTTGTAAACATGTTTTTCATATTTTTCACTAATAATTTGATGTATCAAATCTGAAACATGCGTACTTAAAACCAAAATCGCATCATTTGAATCTGGTTTCTAAGAGTCCACAACTTCAGGAAAACTGTACTTCTAGTTCTTGCAAAATTCGTGTCTTCATTTCTTCATTTCGTCAACTTTTAAATTTGTTCTTTTCCAATGAAACTACCTCTCACATCTTTTTTATACCCGATGTTGTATAATTCTCCGTAGCCTGCTTGGGGCGCCCTTCCCCATAGACCAATTTCATCGGACGCTGTACAAAAAGTACCCAGCTCAGTGGATATTACACTTTTCGTGAAAACCGTGAAAAAACATGTACAACTTTTGGATCACGAAACACGATTTTGTCGATAGCACTCGTTTATTAATAAATATCATTCAATTGACTGATCGCTGGAAATCACCCATATACGTTTCTTGATTTCTTCTTCTTGAAAGCCAGACGGAATAATTTCACATGGTGTTTAGTACTACCAGTCTTTGATCGAGGTAAACTTTGTGATAATGATTCGGTATGTTACTTTTGGGATAAATGCAAATGCTCGTATATTCTTTCAAAGTAATCCTCAATTCCAGCGGCATTTCGAAAGATGTATCTTATCAAAATTTTCGCAGAAAGTCAGACAGGTTGCCTAATTTTATGTTCCGTGTTCACTGCGTTTTCTCTGACTATTGAGGAGGAGAAGGCGGCGATTTGGGGGTAGAGTGCCAATTTCTGACATAGCAGATCGCACATGCAAGGAGTTGTTCCAGGAGGAGTACTCAAATTACGTCCATTACGAAAAGCATATCGCCGAGCCGCTGTACAGCGAGACCCTCTTCTGCGAGAAGAGAGCATGACGAAAAGATCAAGAGCGCCCTCAAGAATGTAAGCATCCTCGTGAAGACAAACGTTTGGTAAATTGTTTTCATTGTGAGCATTTTTAAATAAGGATATACCAACTGAAAAGAGAAACAAATCTGTAAATTTCCAGTATTCGTAGACTTATAATACAGGATACGTACTGAGCCATGTCTGCACTGTTTTAGTATGTTAGACGGTTTTGTCGGTCTGTATTTTCAGGGCTTAATTAAGCATTGTTTTTATTTATAGAGTCACTGATGATGGTATTGTAAGACTGCAATTTGGACTGTCCCTGAGCACCCACACTACCACTCTCACAACAGGTGTTCCACATTACACCCCAAATGTCTTCACGTCACTCTCTCCAAGCAAAGCCTTGCTTGAGGGGTCCGAGGACTCCCCCCGAAAAATTTTGAAATCTATGAGGCTTTCTCCTGCTTCGTAAGACATTTGGAGAATAAATGTAGGAATTTTATCATTCCATTTCTTATTTTGGCCCCAGTTGACTTGTATCATAACATTAGTCAGCGGCTGAATGGGTGTGCATGTTTGTGGTGTAAATCGAGGACACGCGCCTGCAACATTATCGATGAATTGAGGATAGGAACCAAATCGAGGACGACCTCGATAAGGAAATGTGTACAAAACCAATGGAAGCCTTTGCCAAAAATAGTATAAACAAAGGAAAAGGGAAGAGGAACAATGGGAAATCCTCGATTTACAGCATAAACAAACGTGAGTTGGGGGGGCAGCAACCCCCCCCCCCCCCCATCAGTTACTGATTATTGTAAAAGCTCAGGTAGAATGTTGTTTCTTCGTAAATTATTTGGGGTTTTTTGTTTTCGGGTTGAATGACAAAATCATCCACTTCATGACCGATCCCAAGCTTTTGGTCATATGATCACCGTAAACACGTTGGGCAAAATGGGTTCACTGAAAAATTACCTGGGTTGATTTTACCCAAGAAAGGGTGAAAACTGGAACTAACCATAGGCCTACATGGGTTGTTCTATAACCAAATGTTTGGGTTATAATTCAACCAAAAGTTCAAGTCATACAATACCAAATTAAATTTGGTCTTGAATGACCACAAGTTTTGGTTGAATTTAGAAGAAATTCATATTGTTGCCCTTTGTGCCCGGTACCCCTTAAGGCCGTTTATTTAACCCTTTCACTACCATGGGCTCCTTTTGGCACCAGTCGACGCCGGCTTCCTTCCTTTTGGCACCAAGCCTTTCTGCAATATGCGAAAATGTAAATAGCGCCCCCTCTCGACGAAATGTCTCTCTGGAATTATGCGCTGTGTATAGTTATAACTCCATGGTAGAAGCACATCAAACAGACTACTCAATTATGTAAATATAAACATTATTCCTCCCTAGGGGAATTGGCCAGTTTGCCTGCACGCCCAATTTCCATCATGACCGATCCCAAGCCTTTGGTCATACCACCGTTAACACGTTGGGCAAAATGGGTTCACTGAAAAATTGCCTGGGTTGATTTTACCCAAGAAAGGGTGAAAACTGGAACTACCCAAACTTGGGTTGTTCTATAGCCAAATGTTTGGGTTATAATTTATGTTAAATTCAACCAAAAATTGTAGTCATACAAGACCAAATTAAATTTGGTCTTGAATGACTAGAGAATTAGCAGAAATTCTAACCCCCAAAATTGGTTAAAGAACAACCCAAGTTTGGGTTGTTCCAGTTTTCACCCTTTCTTTGGGTAAAATTAACCCAGGCAATTTTTCAGTGTTAATATGTACACCAACGTTTGTCAACATAACAACAGGTTAAACTCTTGGGCAAATTCTTCCCAATTGTTAGAAATGTTTTACCCAAATTGGGCAATTGCAAACCAATGTTTGGTAAATTTATATTGCCCAACAGTGTTTTACCCATTATTATATGCGTGTGCCATGCTGCGACAAACTGACACCCATCCCTCATGCAATAAAGCATCACAATTTTTTCCAACGTTAATATTTAGAATCCAAGAGCTTAATAACAAATCGCCCAAAGCCAATGATGAACCATTAATTAGAATATGTGTTTTAAGTCCGGTTTCCCGCCCGGCTAGTATTTTGTGCGTCCCAGAACCACAAGGTGTGAGTCTGTGACACGTTTTATATGTTTGTACACGACAAGCGGCCGCTGTGCGGTACTGTCTTCGCTAAATGACGCCGAACATACATTTATTTTGTACCCGTAAGTCATTGCAAATATACTTCGCAAAGTTTTGCTTTTATTTTTGGGACTCGATTTTTATTAGCCGTCGCTCGAGTCGAGTCTCCTGATGAGGAACTCGAGTCGAGTCGTTTACACGCAGTGAGTCGAGTCAAGTGGATTCTTTTACCCGTATAGGACTCAGGCTCAAGTCAAGTCGAGTCATCAAAAAGTGTGACTCGAGTCAGACTCGATTCATGGACTCGAGTCGTTACAACTCTGTTAGTTAGTAGAGCAGATCAGACGAGTGTCTCGCAGGGAGCACAGCTTTTTGACATCTTTTCATCATGTTATTGCCTCTGTCTTCAGTATATGTTCCTTGTGTCGTGTCAGCTGACCCATTGTACTGTCTTTGTTTATTTGTCGTGTGCTGCCTCTACCGGCTGTTTTCCACAAGCTTCTAATAAACAGCCCCATGCTCTATTTACTTCTTTTATTTTGCTGTTAATGTGATCTTACTGCTCTATGGTTTAACCCTTTTCTCTTAAGCATGTTCTCTTAAGCATGGATGTTAATAAATGTGAAGTTGAATTGAATTGAATCCTGACGCCACTTTTTTTCATCATATATTATCTCAATGAAGGCCAGTTATTGCAAAAATGTTAAAAAGACATAAATCTATGACTGCGAAATATTTCCAATTTTGCTGGAAATGCGCCCTACTCTCCATACATACACTTCGTTTATTAGGTTGGTTTTGTACACAACCAAACTCTGGATACGTACACTCTTTCTGAAACCGAATAAAACTACAAGGACTGACACAAGGTGTACAGGAAAATAAAAGACTTAGTGACTTTATCATAAAAGTTCACATGACAACATTGAATGAAATGTTCGTAGCACCGAGTTTTTTCATGAATGTCTGCTCGATTTACGCTAGCAAGCCACGGGAGATGTCGTATCGCCTTTAATTCTTGGCAAGTTGTACTTTCAAGTTGTACTGTCTTTTGGTGTCAGCCTTGGGATCCGGAAGTAGGACAGATGATTCTCCCGATCAGCACGATTAACTACGGCACAATAATTCACCATTTTGAACTTTACTTGTGAGTACTAAGTCTGCTTCGTACCATGCAGTGCATTCACTAGCACAGTACAGACAGTAGCACGAGTTTTATTTGTCCTGCAGCAGTCATGCAGGTCGTCAACTTCGGTCTTTTGACTCGTAGTGAAATATCATACTATTGTCTGGCAATTCCATATTCCCTCTTCATTGTCGAATTATTGCCTGGCAGCTAATAATTTGAATTTTGTCAAGAAGTAATTCAATTACAACACATGGATGGAAATGTTTTTCGTTAGATGTCTCATTCCAAAGTGATTTACTTATTAATGACAGAAAAAGTATGCAATTGGGGGGAAAAAGATTAGTAAATCTAAAACAGGAAATTTGGCTGATTGTTCTTTTCCTATACAAGATAAACCCTAAACCGATACACTATATGAACCAGAAATGTCTGGAAAAACGCTCATGTTTCGGTCAAAATGTCTGAAACTGAATGGCAACAATCGATTTTGGAGGTTTGTATGGTTCACGGCCTTCAACTGTTATACGCATGTAAATGATCTGTGAACAAAGCCCGATTTTTCGTTCGCAACCACACCGAATAGGGGGAGGCACTATAGCACCTACAAATACTACAAAGATTCGTTCATAGTACATGTATACCAGACAGGGCTTCATCATGGGCAGGTTTCAGGCTGGTCGTTCCCACCAGGGTTGGTGCGCAGTTCTCTGTCTGTTTGTCAGCTATGTGTTGTGGTTGTGGCTCATCAAGGGACTGGGAGTGATGTTACCAACACTACAAGAGCAATTTGCAACCCAAACTTGGCTGGTCGGCTGGATGCTATCGATTATTACTGCAGTTATATGTTTCACCGGTAAGGTTTGAAATTATCGCATCTGAGTCACTTTTATGTAATGCTTGATAGTGTGAGAGCAACACAAAATTTAATAAAATGTATGGTGCCATGCCCCAGTTGTGAATTTTAATGACAAATGTAGTTTTATTTCATGTGCAATGACACAAAGACTATCTGTTCCAAACCTTTTTATGTGTGTGAAATAGACATCTTAAAAAAAAAACCCTGATGATGTGTGCCTGAATTTTCTGACCATGATTTTAACGCACATTGTGGGCACATCAACTGCCCCCCAAAAGGGGACGATCACATGACTGTTGTTATTTAAATAAAAGTGTGACGAAAATTAGTGTTGGTGTAGCATGGCGGCAGCGGCGTAGCTTCGGGGCGTGGGGGCACACGCCCCCCCCCCCCACATAAAAAGTTCGCGCCCCCCAGTCGCCCCCCCCCCCCCCCCATCGCCCCCACTGAAACTTGGGCATCCGGAGAAAATCACAGCCATGTGAGTTACCATGATTAGCTAGAAGAAGTCTTTTATCCCTCAATTTAGTGCGTATTTTTCATTCATCTTTTTTCCCCGCCAATGGCTGTTTATTGTGACGTTCCTTGGCGAGAATGACGTGGCGTGAATGGCGTGATGCGAATGACGTGACGCGAATAGCGGTAGTTATTAGTAGGGACCATTAGAAAACCATGCAGGTACGGGATGCGTGTGCGTATTATGACGTCATGTGACGTTTGCGTATCGCGTACGTGCATCGTTGCCGAGAGGATTAGATTTTTGTGACGAACGGACATACGGGAGGGCGTCCTCCTCTGTTGATGACGAACAGCTGTGGTGCGTTTCATAAAACTTCCCGAATAATCTTATCCTGCCAAAATCAATCTTATCTCCAAAGCAAACCCTGAAATTTACAATTAAACTTATGTCCCTTGCAAAACGAAATTTTTGTCCGAATCAAACTTAACTTTACACTTGATCCGAATCAATTGTAGCAGTAAAACAATCAATCTTAAATGTAATTTTTGGTGGGGAAAATGTTTTAAAAATGAACATTCTGCCAGAGTGAGTAAAATCGCTGCGACTTATCATGGGTTTTTCTGCTGCTTTTGATGCAGAATCCTTGTGCTTTGCAAAAGGAAAGAGTCTTTAGGGACAGGAAGAACTATTTTGATGCATAGGATGACAATGAAGGTGAAAATGATGCTACTGAAGCACTTCACGGGGGCGCTGCCAGGGGCAAAAATAACTCATCACATTTCAGTGAACGTTTGACCTCATGTATGGATGAGACCTCTGCAATTTTATTCTTTAAACATGAAAATAATCTACACATCTAAAAATACAATGACATGTATATTTCACGAAGACAACACTTTAATACTCATTGAACTTAACTGATGCAAAAAAGGTATTTTTTTTATATAAGCATTTCATAGACTTACAGGTACTTGATTTTTGGTAAAATGTTGCCGAATTTGAGTTTTGCAGACAATGTGGGCCTTATTCACGAGTTGGCAATTTTTGTCGAGTTCCCTGAATGTATTTCATCAATTGTTAACAGTTGAATGGGATGGCGCCAGACTAATTATGCAGGCACAAAATATAACTTTAAATATAGGGGAATGTTTAATTACAAATTCTAAATTATTCATTGAAGCAGACTGGAATTTATTATACATTAAGTTGCTTTCATTTCTCTTCGCAAGTTCCAAAAATTAAGATTTTACCTAACTTTCAATGCAATATGGCCGACTCGTGAATAAGGCCCATAATGCCCAATGTAAACATAACTTCCACACCCATCTTTTCAAATGAAAAGTCCCTTTTGAAAATGAACACATTTTTAATGAAGAAATTAACATTAAATGTACAGGGACAATTATTGTTTGAAACATGCTTGCCACTTGAAATATTACTCCAATTCCATACAATGTCTTTGATTTTGTTCGTGAATTTAAGTTATTCATTTAAATAAATAAAGACCAAGTTAATTTGCATAGATGGAAGACACTCCAAGATGTCTTTCTGAACAGCCCAATTTGGTTTCATTAGTGCAACTTGGACTTCTCAATTTGCAACAGCTCCTCCTCCACTTCTAGTTCTTATTTTGTAGCCTCGACAAAATAACTTTCTTGTACATTAAAGTACCGCACAAGGTGTCCAATAAGTCAATTGGCCTACATGCAACTTCTTTGTCACCAACCAACTGCAAAAGAGACCCGTTTCCGTCTCTTGTCCTCAGACTCCATACTTTGTCTGCAGTGCCAAGGCATCTATGACTAGTTCAAATGTTTCCTATGCTGGTATGGATCCTCCTATCCTGGTAAGAGACAAGTTCAGAATAGGAAATAAGATGGATTTCTGGAGAAAGGCATGGGTCTCTATTGAGTAACAGTTGACCAGACGTACAATTTATTTCTAGAGGTCAACACAATTACAACAAAAAGAAAGGTGTCTTTTTCACTAAGTGATTTCAAACCTTCTTGTAAGAGCCAAGAACCTAAAAGAAATGAAAACATATGGCGCTGACATTTAATCACCACATTTCATCAAAACCTAATTAAGAAAATCCTGTCTATTGTCAGGCAGAAGAAAACCAGTTTGAGGTCTTGGATTACCTGCAGCCTGAGTCTGGACCTTCAAATCATTCCATTCCTTTCTAACAGCCATCCAGTCTCTTGTCGGTGGTCCTCCGGCTACTCTGATCAACTTGGCTGCTTACAGCGATTTTGCTCCTAGTTTCAACCTAATTAATAACCATAACACTTCAGCTATTTTTGGCATGTGTTGCAGTAAAAGAGCAATACAAATATCAAATATAATCTGCTCAAGATCTCGTACTGTAAATACCAGAAACATTTTTTGCCATGCAATATTGCAATTTAACATTTTGAGTCGTGAGGGAACATTCATAGAGTTGAATATTTGTGGCCTATTGTTGTTTCTGGCACTCTTCACTGTCTTTTTGAACTGATTCATTCAACCTGGCATCATGTTCATTACATTGTTTAACATAATTATGCCACATGTAGTCCCATATGCTGGGAGAGACAGCCTCCCAACCCAACACATTACTGGTCCTACTTTTTCTAAATACATTTTCAAGGAACACAAAGCATTCTGTATGTGCAGTAATATTCAGACATGGAATCAGGATATAAGATTTTTACAGTCTGGCACAGAATTGTTTGGTAGTTCACAACAGAATTAGAGGTATTCTAAAAGCTAAGACTTTTGACTCTAAGTCAGTTTAAAACTGACTTAGAGTCAAAAGTCTTAGCTTTACCTGTAGCCATTTTCTTTGCTTGCACCTGACGTATGTCAGTCCATTATCTGGCCTGTGGACCACCAGCCACTCTTTCAGCACCAGCATTTCTTCTTCCTTGCCTCAACCTTTCAAGTAATGAAAAAAAAAAAAACAATTTGGGTGAATGCCATAAGGACCACAGCATTCAATATATGATTTATCTTAAAACAATACTAGCCACAGAGTTTTGTATAGAAACACAACATCATAAAGGAGCCAATTAAGATTCTTGCTAAAATGCACATTGTTAAACCATGGAGGTATTCCTATCTCCATGGTTAAACAAACATTAAAACAAGCCTCCTTGTCCACTTAATTATTAACTAATTGATTAATTAATTAAACTAGATATTTATTCACTGATTTAGTTTTTATTCAATTCTTTTGGCCATCCATACACCATCTGGATTGAAGACACACTAAACAAACACAACTATTCAATTGTACATAGAGAAGTAATTAGAAATATTCGTTACCCAAATAAACTTATTTTACCTTCATGGAGAATGAGGTTGTAGGTTGTGTCCCAGATTCGAATCCCAACTGGGCCATTATGTGGATCAGGGTATTCAGTCCCTGCTTGATTCCACGGGTTTTCCCTAGAATGTCATTCCAGGGTTTTCCTCCCACCACTAAAATTGGAATTTCCTTCCATATCCTCTACCATGCCAACAGACCCAACTGGAAATAAGTTGAGTTAGCCTACTGCCACATACATGACATAGATTATCCCAGCCACTTGTCAAATAATACATACTACCTACATGTAGTTGCAAATCGCGGAAGTGACCGTCAGGTTGCAACATTTTTTTTACAAATAATTTGACTTTAGCATGTCCAGACAGTTTGTATAAACAGGGGCCCTGTAGCGATTTCCATCTAATCGATGCATTGCAGCAAGTCTAATCCATGTATCCCAGCATGCATCACTCCTAACATGGCCGCCTACGGATGCAACCCTGCAAATAAATTCCCATAGACACTAGTGCTAAATGCCCATACTTCAAAATTCTTTTAAAAATATTCAGAACTCTCACAGGTTTTTAAGCTGCACAGAAAAATGATGGTCGACATGTCGTCTTTCAATTTCGCCCAAAGAAGACGACCCCTATTTTCCCCAAAGTGGAACGGCAGCCATCTTGAAAAATGATCCCTCCACAACATGGCAAAATAGCGCCACTTTCAAGCCCAATTGTATCCAAAATGCTCAGATTTGGAAGCCCCGAGTCCGGGTCAGAGGTTCATTGCCATATCTCTTCAATTCCCCAATGTTATGGCTCCCAGAACTCTCTAATATAGAATATTTTGAGTGTATAACTTTTATTCATGAGCTCGGCGGACGGATTTAGGCCTATTTACCGGTGTGCACCCCTACATGTTCGTATGTGAACTCGTGTTACACAACTTACAGTCGAAATAAAACTGGACTAGTTCCCGACATATCGGAGTCTATAACTTTCTTCATGGTGTCAGTAAGTACAGGATTCGTTTCTTACTAATACATCATGGCTACTTTCGGCATTATTGGAGAGTTTTGTGAAAAGAAAGAGACATGGGAAATGTACACTGATCGTCTCGGCGAATATTTCGCGGCGAACAATATCTCCGACGCAGCACGCAAAAGGGCCATACTCAACTCTGTCGTTGGTTCACAAACATATAAGCTGATTAGCAATCGTCTTGCCCCTAAGAAACCAAACGAAGCTACATATCAAGAACTAGTGGACAGACTAGAGAAGCATTTCAAACCCACAAAGTCTAGCATCATTGCTCGCTTTCAATTCAACAGCCGCTGTCGGCGATCTGGTGAATAAATCGCCGAATATTTAGCAGCACTACGTGCACTGGCCAGTGACTGCAAGTTTGGCCAAAACCTTGATGAAATGCTGAGAGACAGACTTGTGTGTGGCGTGCAGAATGAACGCATCCAGAAATCCCTGCTTGCCCAACCAGAGGACAAACTTGACCTCAAGCGCACAGTGGAACTTGCACAATCAATGCAGCTCGCAGGTGATCAGGCAAAGATGTTGTCAGCCTCTACCAGCACAATGGCTGAATCAAATACCACTGTCAATGCTTTCAAAAAGAAACAAGCTCAACGCCCAAACAGACCAACATGGTCAAATCAACGGCAGACATCTGCACGCAGTAGTTCTACACAGCAGCAAAAGCCCAGAAAACCTTGTGGAAATTGTGGAACTTTTCCCAAGAGGCGCGAATGCCCGGCCTATGGCAAGACTTGCCACAAATGTTACAAAAAGAATCACTATGCTGATTACTGCAGAAGCAGCCGCCACGTCTACACAGTAAACCCCGATTCATACTCGGAGGAAGATGAACCTGCCGTGGATGAGCAAGAATTATTTTACGTTCGAGCCGTGGACAACACCAACTTGAACTTGAAACATGACATCCACGCTACGATTGTGGTGAATAACACACACATTCCTGTCCAACTTGACACTGGTGCACGTTGTAACGTCCTGCCCATGAATGTTTACAACGTCATCCCACCACCTAAGTCCATTGATAATTCAAAGTCAACCAAGCTCATCGCTTATGGAGGAACCGAGCTTCACACAGTTGGACTAGCTACACTGCCATGTCGCATTGACTCATCGCTGACTGACCACAATATTGACTTTCACATTGTTGACACACAAGTGAAAGCTATCCTCGGCTTAACCGATTGCCTCCGTCTAGGCCTGCTGTCTGTCAATAACTTAGTTTACCATGTCTCCAATGACACCACATCGCCTCAAGTCTTCAAAGACTAAGAAGACCTGTTTGACAGCTCGCTCGGGTCACAACCAGTCATCTACACCATGACCATAGACCCCAATGCTACGCCGGTTGTCCGACCCCCACATCGCATCCCTGCTGCAATGCAAGACAATGTCAAGTCCGAACTGCAGCGGATGACTACCCTAGGCGTGATCACTCCAGTCTCCGAACCGACAGACTGGGTTTCCTCCATGGTCGCGACTCATAAGAAAAACAGCGAAGAAATCCGCTTATGCATCGACCCTCGCGACCTTAACGGAGCACTGAAACGCCCACACCACCCTACCCGAACAGTCGCTGCCAAGATGGATGGTGCGACAGTTTTCTCAGTGCTTGATGCTAAATGCTCGTTCTGGCAGATCCCTTAGATTACGAATCATCACTTCTGACTACATTCAGCACGCCATATGGCAGATACCGCTACCTTCGCATGCCCTACGGCCTCTGTTCTGCCTCCGATGTGTACCAGAGAACCATGGAGCAGATATACGCCGATCTGCCATGCTCCATCATCGTAGATGACATACTAATTGGTGGACGCACTAAAGAGGAACATGATCGAAACCTCAAAACTGTCCTTGATCGGACATGCCTCCACCCACTGACGTTACTGCCCTACAACGCTTTCTTGGCATGGTGACATACCACGCCAAGTTTGTACCCAACTTGAGCGACTTAACAGCCCCACTACGCGAGCTCACACATAGTGACATCCATTGGTGCTGGCTAGAGCAACACAATGCCGCATTTCCAGCAATCAAGGACAAGATTGCTAATGCGCCGACACTCACGTACTTTGATGTCCGCAAGCCAGTCACGTTGATCTGCGATGCCTCCAAGTTTGGCCTTGGCACAGCCTGCCTACAAGAGGGTGCCCCTGTTGCGTATGCTTCACGTACCATGAGTGACACTGAACAACGCTACGCACAGATTGAAAAAGAACTGCTTGCAGTTGTGTTTGCCTGCACCAAGTTCCACGACCACATATACGGTAAAGACATCGTGGTCGAAACTGACCACCAACCATTGGTCACCATCGTCAAAAAGCCTCTGCTGAGTGCCCCTGCGCGGCTTCAACGCATGCTTCTCCGGTTACATAGGTATAACATCACCCTCGTGTACAAGAAAGGAAAAGAATTGTTCCTTGCCGACACTTTGCCACGTGCACCCTTGACAACGACCGGTACTGAAAATGATGACCTGCAAGTCATGACCCTCCTGCCAATCTCTGACATGCGACTTGAACAGCTCAAGAAAGCAACTGCCTGTGACTCTGCCATGCAACAGCTCACTGATGTCATCAGTCGCGGATGGCCTTCGCATATCAACAATGCCCCACCAAAGGCCCACCCCTACTTCGCGTTCAGAGATGAACTGATTCTCGACCGCGGTATCATCTTAAAGGGTCATAAGGCCATCATTCCCAAGTCACTACGCGCAGAATACATCCAAATACTGCATGAAGGTCACCCAGGCATCGAGGCTACCAAACGCAGAGCCAGAGATGTAGTTTACTGGCCATCAATGTGCCTATATATCGAGCAGTCCGTCTCTGGATGCACAGTTTGCAACGCTACCAAAGCCCATCAACAGAAAGAACCACTGAAAAGCTACCCCCTACCCAGCCTTCCATGGGAACACATTGGAGTTGACCTATTCCATTGGAACGGTATGGATTACCTAGCCCTTGGTGACTCATACACCGGCTGGTTTGACTTCGCTTCACTCGACAACACCTGTGCCTCTACAGTCATTAAGGTACTCAAGAGACAATTTTCCATCCATGGAATCCCCCGCATCGTTATCAGTAACAACGCGCGACAATTTGATTGCTTCGCCTTCAAACAATTCGTACAGTCATGGGGCTTCCAGCATACAACCAGCAGTCCCCATTTTCCCCAGTCCAATGGCCTTGCAGAAAGCTCTGTCAAGCGCGCCAAACAACTCCTCGAGAAGACAAAACGCGACGGTTCAGACCTCTACCGAAACCTGCTGAACATTCGCAATGTCCCAACCAACCCCCAGCTTGGCTAACCTTCCCAACGTCTCATGTCACGGCGTCTTCGCACAACCATCCCTACCCCGACGCCACTCCTTAAACCCGCCATTTACACACGCGTCACAGCACAGTTACGCAAGAGGCAACAGCAACAGAAGTCTTCATACGACAAATCTGCCAAGCCCCTCCGACCACTGAAACCAGGGCAAGTTGTCCGTCTACAATCACCCAAAGGGCACGATCAGCTTGGAATTGTTCAAAAGCATTCCAGAAACCCCAGATCGCACATCGTCAATGCCCAAGGCACACTCTACCGCCGCAATCGGAGACACTTATTGCCAGTCCCTGAACCACCTCCACAGCAACAACACTCACCTGACTTCTACTTACCGCCACAGGATCCACTGCCTCGGCCTGCCATCCCCCACGCACCTCCACCACAGCCAGTTCTCACTCGTTCCGGTCGCATCTCGAAGCCAAATCCTAAATACACTTAACAGTTTTGTGTGACTGTTATTGCTTTGCCCGCACTGGATTTGTGTTGTTGATCCAAATTTCATGCTGATAACTTTGGACTGTCCCCGACTACTGGACTGTTAGTAACTCCATTTGCCTACTCAACATGTGTTATGTGTTGTACACTCCAAAGATGAGGGCAGAATAATCCCTTATACACACATCGAGTACTGAGACAGTCTATCTCAGTACTCAAGGCATTTGAGTTTTTTGTTTTGTTTTTTTACTATATTATTGGTTGAACCCTCTGTTTGTTTGTTTTTCAGAGGAAAGGATAGTAATTGTTTATCATGGTACATTTACATAACCAGTGCGTTTTTTAAATATTCATTAAAGGTAGAGTCCATCATTTGCAGCCATCCGAAAAGTAACTGGCGTAATTATTGTTGAAAAACTAACTTGGTTGAAAGATAGTAAGGAGACTAAACTCCCTGTGAAATTATTCTTTCTAGGAAGCTGTCATTTTGAAGTAATCAACGAAAGAAGGCATTTCCAACGGTGATTCTTAAGAAGCACCGTAGGAAAATTTAAATTAGTAGTTCGTTTTGTTATTCAGCGAAGCGCGCACAAGTATTCGAACGACGCACACGCGCGCGCGGTTGTTATAATTCGTCGGATCAGTGCGCGACGTCGCGTATAGTTGCAATTCAAAACAATTCAAAACATGATTCAGCAACTTTTGATTTGAAATTGAGATCTTAGAATGCTGTTTTTCTCGGAATGTACAGCTGAAGCTTAGCTGAAACTTCATCAGGTTAGTTGCTCAGTATCCTTCATTAGATTTTGAACTCTTTTGTTACTTCAAACGAACAAAATGCACAAATTACAAATGATGGACTCTACCTTTAAGTGTTTTCAAATCAGTGAAATAATCAGACTTTAAATTACCAGACTCCAGTTTACAAATTCACTGATCAAACAAATGTTTATTTCATAAAGCTGTTTTATTCAAATTGTTAAAACAAAACTTAGAAGAGAGGATGTAGCGATTCCCATCTAATCGAAGCATTGCAGCAAGTCTAATCCATGTATCCCAGCATGCATCACTCATAACATGGCCGCCTACATGTTCGTATGTGAACTCGTGTTACACAACTTACAGTCAAAATAAAGTTTGACTAGTTCCCGACATATCGGAGTCTATAACTTTCTTCAGGCCCTACACTACACATTCGCAATTTTTTTTTAAAAAGGGGGGCCTATATTTTACTTTAGTGACAGAAGCCCTTTGCCTTTGTAACATGAGCTTACACAGACACTTCAGATATATGTGGGTTTTTTTTCACACACAGAGTTGACCATAATTTATAGTTCACGACGAAGCAGGCCATGCTGGTTAGTTATATCATCATCATGGAGCTATCAAACACGGCGATCATGAAGTGTAGGGCCCCTGTTTTGTTTTGATGAAATAAGGGTCAAAAATATTTTTTATTGCTCAAAAATCACCTTTACAATCAAAAGCAGACTTTTCTCAATTCTAATGACACCCATTTTGCAATTTTGAAAAGATTCTTGGGGTAGAAATCACGATTTTCCTGCGCGGTTTGTGCCTTGCGATTCAGCGCGCCGTGCGTGCTCACGGTACATTGTGCGGTGATCCCCAACTTTATTTTCGGGTCGCGTGTTGTCGCCGCGCTGTCATCAGGTCATCGTCATTTTACCCCAAAATTTCCCTCAAAAAATCAAAACCCTGCCCTTTTTCTATGACATACCTGTTTATTGAGAATGTTGCCAACTAGTTTGGTAGGTCTAATAATTTTAAAGTGGATTTTGTTCCCTTATAGGAACCGGGCCCTACACTTCACGATCGCCTATATTTTATCACGATAAGTGTGCAACGTTAAAGCATACCTCCATGGTTAAACAAAATAAACTTTCGCTGATTTTTTTTGCTGAAAAGTAAAGGCTCAATTATATAATAAAATCCCCATCACATCTTTGTAATTCTTCTTTTAATAAAACTGGTAACATTATCTGCACACTATAACTGAAAGTTGTAAAATTTGGGAGTTCATAAGATAAGTATTTTTGCCGTGATTTATCGAGGAAAATCCATACGTGAACTTACCATTTTGACGTGCGATGCAGAAACGCCGTGCGAGTGCGATGAAATTTACCGCACGAACTGATGACGTCATCCACAGTTTTTCCGAGCTGCACAAGCATCCCGTATCTGCATCGTTTTCTCATGGTCCCTATTAATATCCTGCGAGCGCGAGTGGAACACGGAATAATGTAGTGCGTCTGTGTCCCACATACCACGAGGCCGAAGGCCGAGTGGTATGTGGGACACAGACGCACTACATTTTCCGTGTTCCACGTGCGCGAGCGTGATAACGAATTTGTCTTCAAGCAAACTTGGGCGCAGTACAGTTGGAACTAGCACGCTTTACACGGACATTCAGCAGTTTAGCGTATGCAGCTGGAATGTCGCCCGCATCTTGGAACAGCGGAATACGCAGAGTGCGGTATGGACCGTGGCCGTGCGGTATGGTTATATATAGCACGGCTTATTGCCATGGATCGACCAATCAGGATCGAAAATTCAAGTTTGCTTGAAGATAATGTTTAAAGGTAGAGTCCATCATTTGTAATTTGTGCATTTTGTTCGTTTGAAGCAACAAAAGAGTTCAAAATCTAATGAAGGATACTGAGCAACTAACCCGATGAAGTTTCAGCTAAGCTTCAGCTGTACATTCCGAGAAAAACAGCATTCTAAGATCTCAATTTCAAATCAAAAGTTGCTGAATCATGTTTTGAATTGTTTTGAATTGCAACTATACGCGACGTCGCGCACTGATCCGACGAATTATAACAACCGCGCGCGCGTGTGCGTCGTTCGAATACTTGTGCGCGCTTCGCTGAATAACAAAACGAACTACTAATTTAAATTTTCCTACGGTGCTTCTTAAGAATCACCGTTGGAAATGCCTTCTTTCGTTGATTACTTCAAAATGACAGCTTCCCAGAAAGAATAATTTCACAGGGAGTTTAGTCTCCTTACTATCTTTCAACCAAGTTAGTTTTTCAACAATAATTACGCCAGTTACTTTTCGGATGGCTGCAAATGATGGACTCTACCTTTAATGTAGCCATGATAGATATATACGTTTTGAACCAGCCTCGACTCCAGGGGCGCGTGCTCGTTCCTTACACTAACCCCTGGCTGTGATGATGACGTAAATGACGCTGATTGGCTATTCACAGGTACTGCGCGCGCATTTCGAAGATTGCACGCCGGGCGCGTCGATAATACGCTCGCGTGCTTTGCACGTAACGTCACGTACGAAAAAATATTTGTGATTCAAAAGTCGAGATGCCTGTACGATATGGATTATGGCAGCCGCGTTTTTCGCTAAAAAAAACCCCTGTATCTGTGGTTGTAAAGGCACGAAAGGGGTACGTACATTTAATACAAATCTTTGCTAAATAACGCAACGTCCAAACGTTATGTTTGAAAGGATTGATTCTTCAAAATCACAACTTTTAACATTTTCAGATGGCGTAGAAACGTTAAACGGATAAACTGCATCCCTAATTATCATGTGCCATATTTTGGCACATTTAAATTACACAATTCCAGTGGCAACCTCGTGCCCCGTGGGTACGATCTTGCAGCGCCATGGTGTTTCCCATCATGCCTTGCGCGATCGTAACCCCTGGAATTGTGTAATTTAAATGTGCCAAAATACGGCACATTATAATTACGGCTGCAGTTTATCCGTTTTACGTGCCGACTCCATCTTTAAAATGTTAAAAGTTGTGATTTTGAAGAATCAATACTTTCAAACACAACGTTTGGACGTTGTATTAATTAGCAAAGATTTGTATTAAATGTACGTACCCCTTTCGTGCCTTTACAACCACAGATACTGGGGTTTTTTTTAGCGAAAAACGCGGCTGACATAATCCATATCATACAGGCATCGCGACTTTTGAATCATAATTTTTTTTTTCGTACGTGACGTTACGTGCAATGCACGCGAGCGCATTATGGGCGCGCCCGGCTAGCAATCTTCGAAATGCGCGCGCAGTACGCTGTGAATAGCCATTCAGCGTCATTTACGTCATCACCACAGCCAGGGGTTAGTGTAAGGAACGAGCACGCGCCCCTGGAGTCGAGGCTGTTCCAGGGGTTACGATCGAGCAAGGCATGATGGGAAACAACATGGCGCAGCAAGATCGTACCCACGGGGCACGAAGTTGGTTTTTCAGCGCCCCATTGGTATATGGTGTCCAGCCCAGCCCAGCCCCCCCCCCCCCTCCTCCCCCACCACCGACCACTATTTGATTGTACGGAAGTCGGGTGTCCGATGAAAAAAGCCTGTCTTCCTTTCAGCATGCATGACATTTTTGGAGCCCCTCCACGTAATCTGACGCCCCCCCCCCCCCCCCCCTCCTAGGATGAGAATCCTGGCTACGCCGCTGCATGGCCGTTGTTTTGAATCCTTAAACACAAACTGTAACAGCATAGGCGGGTATAGGTTTTTTTTAATATGTCTGTGGTTAACATTGAAAAATACATCTCTCAATGGCATTTTGTCCAAAAATGCAAGAAATCGGCCGCAGAATATGAAAAGTATAACGATGCATCGCAAAATGAGTACCCCTCCATTTTTCAAAATGGCTGCCACGCCTCTTAAGGGGTGAGTTTGCAATGGCACTACATCTGGAAATATTGTCTCGTGAATATACATAATTATCTGTGTAAAGTTTCATACTTTTATTGGAAAAAGTGCACAACTGTTTCACATATCCGCTGGAATACCGAGTTCGTTCAGATAAAGGCGAGCATGGGCCCGCTTTGATTTAGTACATTAAAGGTAGAGTAGAGCTACATTTGTTTTGGGTTTTTTTTTTTGCATTTGTTTCGTTTGAAACAACAAAAGTTGCTCAAAATCTAAAGACAGGTGCTTTACTTGAGCTCCGTGACTGTTGTATATCCGCAGAAATACAAGTGCTAGGGTCTGGATTTCAATTCAATATTGCCAAGTCATATTTTGAATTGCGCCCGAAATCAGCATCCGGAACACGTTCTCGTTCAGCACCTACGCGGTGTCGATGTCACGCACTGAACCGACGAATAATTGCAACCGCATGATGCGTGTGTGTGTCGTTTCAACGCTTGCGCGCACACACCCACGGATTCGACCAATTACAAACCAGCTACTAAGTTTCCCGAAATGCGTCACTAGAATCACCTTTGGAAATGACCTTCGTTTACTGTTTTCTTCAAACTGACAGATAGAATAATTTCATAGGGAGTTTAGTGCCATTGCTATCTATGAACCAAGCAAGCTTTTTAACAATTTGGTCAGTTACATTTTGGATAGCTGCAAATCTACTCCACCTTTAAGACAAGTATAAAGATGTACTCTTACCAACCATTTTCGTGTATTAGGTCTCCTTGCTAGGCCACTCGAGGTCATGTTTGGTACTCGCACGGTGGTGACGGTCAGCGGTTTCATGCTTGGTGTCTCCATGGTCATCGCTTCTTTTTCCACTAGTATTGTCATGTTGACATCAGTACTAGCACTGGCAGCTGGTAATTTTGTAATTCATATCAAGAGATCGTGCAATACAATGAATGTTCGAAAACTCAATTTACATTACAAGGAATGTTTTGAGTTAAAATTTAGTATCCCCCAAGATTTAAAAAAAATGGGTTGTTTATTTTCGATTGCCCTTTACGAATGAATTGGTTTTTAGCATTGAAGAGGCAATGATGACTTTTTATATTCCCCGTGTTTCAGCGCTGGTTTGTGCTGGCATTAAAATGTTGTGGATATCATTGAGTTCGAATTGAGTCATTTCTATTTAGTAATTAAAAAGCTGAATTTAAAAAACTTATAACTCTTTTCTCATTAGGAAACCCATACCTTTGTACTAACAAAATAATTGATTGAACTATACAATTTATTTTTAGGGTGTCACACCCAAAACACACAGACGCTCCCTTTAATACTTTGTCAACCAACGTGGAATAGATCACTCATCGATTATCTACATCTTATCCACAGGACCTGCTTTAAGTGTCGTCCAGATTCTGACAAGGGCGCTAGTCGGACGCTGTTTTACGACAAACTATGGCATGGCGGTAGGAATAGGGACAGCAGGGGGTGCAGTCGGCATGGTCACCGTTGGGCCGTTTACCCAGATGTTGCTGGATACGTACGGCTGGAGAGGGGCTTTGCTTATTCTTGGAGGGTTGGCCGTGCATCTTGAGGTGTGTGGCGCCCTCTTACGTTCATTGTCGACTGATAAAACAAATGACAGCTATCAGCCGGTGAGCACCGGCGACAACGAGGAACCACAAGTCGGTTCATCAAGTGCTGAGGAGACAGGCAACTTGAAGCAGTCATCACGAATTAGCGCCTTCAAAAACGCCCTCGGTGCGCAGATGAAACATTTCGGATTGTCAGTTTGTTTCAAGTTCTCATTTTGGATCACAGCAGTCATCTTCATTTGCCGCCGCTTTGTGGTTGATCAATGGATGATCTATTACATTTCCCAGGCCGAAGCCAAAGGCTTCTCTCTGTATGACGCTGTGACATTCACCACAGCTGGAGGTGTCGGTAACGTCGTTTTCAAGATTTTGCTTGGTGTTATCGTCGATAAAGGTTTGTTGAAATTGAGACCGGCGATCGCACTGATGATCACACTGAGTTCCTCGACTTTATTGATAACTCCCTGGGTAAACTCTTATTGGTTGATGATGGTCAATACAGTTATCTATGTTAGCAGTCATGGAGCTCTAGTCTCACTGAATGATCTGTACACCAGGGAGCTGCTTGGAACTGATCTCTTGGCCTGTGCTTTCGCTTGGATGGAGCTGGCGACGGCCATTATAACTTTCAGCCTTGGATTCTTTCCAGGTATTAAAGCATATCACGTCCCATCTTGTGGCTTCGGCGAGATCGGTATATTGCATGGAAGGATAGTGTCAATTGTCCCAATATGCAATTTTAATGTCTTAGTAATGCCATGTAAACATTAATACCCTCACATTACCACACAGGTGTGTATTTGCCTGCAATCGGGGACCCCCTATTGTCCCTGTTTTATTCAAGTTCCCCCTTATTTTTTTTTGGAAGACCTGCTATATGCTTTGTACACTAATCCAAATTAGGAACCACTCGGGAATTGGGGACCCTATTGTCCTCCATTGTTCAACGTCCCCTATTGAATGCAGAAACAAACTCACCAATACAAGTGTTGCATTCACATTTTGATGGTCACCTCTATTAAGGGTTCTCACAGACCAGTGGCGTAACTACGGGGTGGGGGGGGGGGGGGAGTAGGAGATGTCCGTGCCCCCCCCCCTCCGGTTACCCCCATTTGAAATGTTGAATTGAAGTAGAAATTATACACCGTGCTGTCGAAAAGAGCGCTTGGATTGGTGTTCATCTAAAGGTAATTATTGTATCAACCTGTATTATTACGGACAAGTACACCAATGTATTTACACTTTTGTCATGCCAAAACTGTTGGGAAAACTACGTCCGCAATGATTACGCATATTATGTCGAGCGTCAGTAACAACGGCAGGATGTCTGTAGGCTATAGCAATTAGCATATGGTTCTTCTTTAACACCGGTCTCCTACTGTACATGTAGACAGCAATAAAAAATGAGTAAAATCAGCTTATAGGAAATAACGAGCTGACTTAAAATACAGGAATTAACAAATATGTTGGCACTGATGAAGCAAACAAATGTTTACTGGTTGGAATTATTTGAATATTGTTTTGCAGGTTGGATGTACGACCACACTGGCAGTTTTGATTTGGCCTTTTTCATCATGGGGTGCATTTCAGCTCTATCGTTGATGGCGCAGTTGATGGAATGGGTCCTGGCGAGATGCAAGTCCAAGCAGACGGCTTGAAGTATCTAGACCATCAGCCTGGAGGTTTGGCCAGTATCAAATCAGGGCATAAATGATTATAGTGCGCATGCGCAAGGTATACCGCCCCTAGATTGGAAACAAGCATTTTGATGGACATTTTGAAAAAAAGGTTGATAACACCCCAAAAGCTGCCACCGCTGCAATGCTATCACATATTTTCCAACTCTGGAGGTGTATACCTTGCCAAAAGTCGTTATGACGAATATTCCCCTCATTAGATACCGGTGGCCAAAACTTTGGATCGAGGCTGATGGCCTAATGCCTAATTAAACTGCAAGAATACTGACGTGTGACATGAAGAAAAAAATATAAAATAAATCATGCACCCTTTCATTACAATCTGATGATTGTGGACAATAGTCTTAATTATAAAAACAATGACATGACCGCATATAAAGTGCATGCTATAACGTTACATTTGAAATTTAAAGATTAATTTTCAAACCACTTTTTGGAAGAATATTAACAGTACTGAATAATAGAATTAAAACCCGTGCTAAGTTAGTGAAAATTGAAAAGCACAAGTAACACAGTATTATCATATCACCAATGTAAAAATAAAATTATATGTAATTTTACAGAAAGTTTCACAGATCCACGCTTTTGAGTTTAACAACAGTTATGATGTTGAACTCCAAGTTCTTAAGTAAAATTTCTTCTTCTTTTGGACAGAATCTGATTAATTTACAACATTTTTTTGTAAAATTATCATTGCAGAGAAAAGTGATGTGTTATCAATAGTTTTTCTTTATTTTGAAACAGATCGTTTTGATGTAGACCGATGGTTTGTGTACACTTTGCAATCACCCTTGGCTACGTAAATTTAATTTTCAGAGGTGCCTAGCTTTATATTCCACATCTTGCCCCCACGATTTTTACTCTAAAGGGAGCTAGAAGCAGTTACATAATTATTGGACCCCTGTACTGCTCAATCTTAATATGGACTTGGCACTCGGCTGGCTCAAGAAACTCTTTTACCAACTCACATGCATTATCTAACCTCCTTGCAACAACTGTTATGGCACACGTCACCGATCAATACAGCATATGTTGTAAATCAGTTGATAAGCTTGACTGGTACCATTTTATTGTGGAACATGTTAAAACTGTTTTCCTCATATATTACCATTTAATCATGTTTTATCTCATGACTTTGATCTAGCAATTTCATGCGTATAGACAAAGTATGACAGGTGGTGGTGTTGCACTCTACGTGCATAATTCCTTTAAATTCTTTCTCTGTAATGACTTATTACTGAATTGTCCTGAATGTGATTCATTGTTTATTGAAATGACTTGTACTGTGGGTAAAAATATTATTGTTGGAATAAATTATAAACCGCCTTGTTTTAATACAAATGAATTTGTTGATCTTTTTTATACTATCCTGGCAAACATAAACAAGGAAAATAACGTTTCCTATATCATGGGCGAGTTAAACATTGATTGATTGAATTATACAATGCCATAATCCCAATCAGAATGTTGCCAATTCCCTCTTTTTAGCAATTACTATTTACCACTGATGGATAGACCAACTGGTATAACGTCTAGAACTGATACTTTAATACATAATATATCAAACAGTATTGGACGTACAGAAAGCGGCTTCCTGTTCAATGACATTTCTGACCACTAACCAACATTTATCAGATACCCTCCTTTAATATTAAAGGCACTGATAAACAAAATGCACGTCGTTCATATAGATACAGTGGATAGATTGGAAAGGTTTAGAATTGACTTAACGCAAAATGGAATATAAGTTGCACGATCATATTTTTGATGATTTTCACTTGCAATTTTAAAATATAGGCCTTTGAAGAAAACTTTCCCTTCAAGATTTATTGTCTGCAGTTAATCGTTTTAATTGTGTAAATAAATAATTCATTTATTACAACACGTTGGTGGATTTTTTTTTCGTTCAATGCCTCCCTTTTTGTTTCATTCAAAAGTGAATAACTTTTACATCTCTTGCAAAATAGTAATTGAGAAACAAATCGATTTCTCGAGGTGAAACTAGAAAACGGCTGATTGTTCTTGTTATAAGAAAATGGGGTATATCGATACACTATAGTATGAACCAGAAATGTCTGAAATTGAAAAATGAAAGCAACAATGTATTTTTTTTTGGCGGGGGGCGGGGGGGGGGGTTCGTGTGGTTCACGGTCTTATTCTGGTATACGAATGTAATGATCCCCCTGAACAAGGAATTGACATTAATATTTTATTGCCCAATTATGCCTACGTAACCACATCGTATAGTCCTAAGACATGTTTACAAGTGCGATTTCCTATGGGAGCCAGGTGGGACGCTTCCCATCTGGCCCTCATAGGAAAGCGCACTTGTAAACAAAGCTTGACGTCATTAGGTCTTAGGTCTATTAGGCGGCAGTACATATTGTACATACAGAGATTCGTTCATAGTACATGTATACCAAACAGCGCTTCATTATGGACACGGTTCAAGCTGGTCGTTCCCACCAGGGTTGGTACGCAGTTCTCTGTCTGTTTGTCAACTATGTGTTGTGGGTGTGGCTCATCAAGGGACTGGGAGTGATGTTACTAACACTACAAGAGCAATTTGCAACCCAAACTTGGCTGGCCGGCTGGATGCTATCGATTATCACTGCAGTCATATGTGTTACTGGTAAGGCAAATATAGTTTTATTTCATGTGCAATGGCACAAAGACTATCCGTTGCAGACATTTTTTGTGTGAAATAGACATCGTAGACAGCCCTATGTGTACCTGAATTTTCTTGACCATGATTATACGAGCACATCAACTGCCCCCCAAAAAGGGGACGATCACATGACTGTTGTTATTTGAATAAAAGTGTGACGGAAATAACTGTTAGTGTGGCATGGCGGTTGTTTTGAATCCAGAAACACTCACAATCTAAAGACAGCTAGGTGCTGATACCAACTAACCTGATGAAGTTTTAGCTCTGTGAATGTTGTATATCCGGAGAAATAAATATGCTAGGGTCTGGATTTCAATTCAAAATTGCCGGATCAGCATCCAGAACACAGTCTCGTTCAGCCGATGGTACCTACGCCATGTCACGCACTGAACCCACGAATAATAGCAACCGCATCAAGCGCATTTGTCGTTTCAGCGCTTGCGCACCCATTCACTGATTCGACTAATTACAAACAGCTCCTTACGGACATTTCCAAAAATGTGTCACAAGACTCATCTATGAAAATGACCTTCTTTTATTGTTTTCTTAAAAATGACAGAAAGAATTATTTCACAAGGAGTTTAGCGCCATTAGCAAGCTTGTTAACAATAATGTGGTCATGCAGTTACTTTTTAGATGATCTACTCCATCTTTAAGACATTGATGTATATAGATGTACTCTTTACCAACCATTTTTGTGTACTTGATAAGGTCTCTTAGCTAGGCCACTCGAGGTTATGTTTGGTACTCGCACGGTGGTGACGGTCAGCGGTTTCATCCTTGGTGTCTCCATGATCATCGCTTCTTTTTCCACTAGTATTGTCATGTTGACATCAATACTAGCACTGGCAGCTGGTAAATAGTTTATTCATTTCAAGAGATCGTGCCATTCATTCCTAATTTACATTATAACATTTGTTTTCAGTTTAAATTTAGTATCCCCATGATTAAAAAATAAATTAGGGGTTTGTTTCGATGCCCTTTACGAATGAATTGTTTTTAGCATTTAAGAGGCACTGATGACTTTTTATATTGCGCGTTTCAGCGCTTGGTCGTACTTGCAGTATATGTTGTGGATATCGAATTAAGTTCGACTTAATTGAGTCAAATCTATTTAGTGATTAAAAAGCTCAATTTAAAACTCTTTTCCGATCTCATTAGGACATTCATACCTTCGTTGTGCTAACAAAATAAATGAACTAATAATTGTCACACCCAAAACACACTGACCCTACCTTCAATACTTTGTCAGCCAACGTGGAATAGATCACTTATCGATTATCTACATCTTATCCACAGGACCTGCTTTAAGTGTCGTCCAGATTCTGACAAGGGCGCTAGTCGGACGCTGTTTTACGACAAACTATGGCATGGCGGTAGGCATAGGGACAGCAGGAGGTGCATTAGGCGCGATCACCGTTGGGCCTTTTACCCAACTGTTGCTGGATACGTACGGCTGGAGAGGGGCTTTGCTAATTCTTGGTGGGTTGACCACGCATCTTGGGGTGTGTGGCGCCCTCTTGCGTTCAGCGTCGACTGATGAAACAAATGACAGCTATCAGCCGGTGAGCACCGGCGCCAATGAGGAACCACAAGTCGGCTCATCAAGTGCCGAGAAGACAGGCAAGTTGAAGCAGTCATCACGACTCGGCGCCTTCAAAGACGCCCTCGGTGCGCAGATACAACATTTCGGATTTTCAGTTTGTTTCAAGTACTCATTTTGGATCACAGCAGTCCCCTTCATATGCAGCCGCTTTGTGGGTGATCAGTGGATGATCTATTACGTCTCCCAAGCCGAAGCCAAAGGCTTCTCTCCGCACGACGCTGTGACATTTACCACAGCTGGAGGGGTCGGTAACGTCGTTTCCAAGATTTTGCTTGGTGTTATCGTCGATAAAAGTTTGTTAAAATTGAGACCGGTGATCGCACTGATGATCACACTGATTTCCTCCGTTTTCCTGATAACTCCCTGGATAAACTCTTATTGGTTGATGATGGTCACTGCAGTTATCTATTGTAGCGGTCACGGAGCAATTGCTTCACTGAATGATTTGTACACCAGGGAGCTGCTTGGAACCGATCTCTTGGCGTGTGCTTTCGCCTGGATGGAGCTGGTGACGGCCATTTTTAGTTTCAGCCTTGGATTCTTTCCAGGTAAGGCATATCACGTCGCATCTTATGGCTTTGGCGAGATCAGTATATTGCATGGACGGAGAGTGTCAATAGTCTTAATGCAATTCTGATGTCTTAGGTTCGTCGACCAATACATGCCGTGTAAACAATTACTACACCCTTACATAACTAGCGATACAAATGATGCCAGTCACATTTTGACGGTCACCTCTTTTAAGGGTTCTCACAGACATACGTTAAGGGTTGCTGCGTTTTATTGTGACCATGTTAAAAAGTTTCCATGTCCAAGTTTATTGCTTTCCCTTCCCCCGCCCCTCAGAAAAAAAAAGCCTGTTTCATAATCTGAAAAGCAATCATTTGCTGATTGAAAAATATTTCCTGATAATTGTTTATTGGTATTTTTCATAAAATTACTAAAATTACTAAAAATGTACAGTATGACAACCGGTAGGTAATTATGCACTGTATTTTTTTTGTATTTATACCTTTATTCATCCAGGGTAAACCCAAACAGCAAAAAGCTGATTTTCATTAGGGCCCTGCATTAAAATAAACTAATAATAATTACAAAATCGAAGGCTTAAAATTATATGCACTTAACACAAATAAAAAGCAAAAACTAAGAGAAGATAAAAGAAAAACCAGCAATAAAAACACAAAAACAAAAACAAAAACAAAAACAAATCAACACTCTCTCGGTAAAATAACGTTACTAAAAGACGAAGTTGTGAATGGGCAGCCTAGAATTAATATGGCTGCTCTTTTAAGCAATTATTGAGCGTATTATTGTGACATTCATATCGGCCTCCCCATACCGTACAGCAATAATTTAGTGTAGGCATGACTAGGCACCGAACAAGAGTGCAAAGACTAGTTCTTGGAATACAGTGACGAATTCTGTACAACATGCCTAGTTTGGAAGAGATGGACTTTTGAACATGTTCAATATGAGCAGACCAAGTAAGTGAGTCATCAATAATAACGCCCAAACATTTAAAAGTGCTGACCTTCTCAACTAAGGAGTCAACAATATAAATATTCAAGTCATTTGACGTAATCTTATGCTTTGATCCAATGAGCATGGCCTTGGTTTTAGAGGCATTGATTGTTAACTTATTACTCGTTGCCCAATCGTTTAATCTAGCCATTGCTTCGTTGAGGCTGCTCTCGATTTCTTTCTAATGTTGAGGAGCTACATGTTATTGTAGAGTCATCTGCGTACTTGTACTATTGACAATCCTCGGGAATTATAGAAGGAAGGTCCATAGTAAAGACAATGAACAACAGTGGCCCAAGGATTGACCCTTGTGGTACACCAGTATTTAATGGGAGTGGACTAGATTTGTTCCGTTCAATGCGCACAGATTGTTTGCGGTTGGTTAGGTATGAACCAAACCAGTTTAAAACATACACTGACAAGTGCATATTCTGTAGCTTCTCTAAGAGGATAAAATGATTGACAGAATCGAATGCCTTACTAAGATCAATAAAAACGGTACCTGTCATTTTACCTTTATCCATTTTACCTTTAATCTATAAAGACAATTATTAATTAATCCATGCAAAGTCGTCTCCGTCGAGTGCAGTGGTCTAAAACCAGATTGGCAAGCTGGAATCAAATTGTTATCATCGAGGTATGAATATAATGCACTGTGAACTGCCCTTTCGAGGATTTTGGAAAGAAGTGGCAAGATAGAAATTGGCCGATAGTTATTGACACTACACTTATCTCCACCCTTGTGGATGGGAATAACTGAGGCATGTTTCCACGCATCGGGATAAAGGCCACTTCTTAGTGACAAGTTCAAAATAAAAGTAAGCGCCCCAATAATATGGGGGCATGCTAGCTTAAGAAGCTTAACACTTATGCCATCGGGACCAGTTGCTTTTCCTGTAGGCATTGAACTAATCTGTTTCTTAACAAAATCTTCAGTAACATCAGGAAAAATAAATTCCTCAAAGTTGTAGTGCGCCGCGGCATGAACAGTGTTACTTTCATCCCCATCAGAAGCAACATTTGACTGATTTTTTTCTGCCATGCCATCACCAATTGTTGAGAAGAGGTCATTGAATACACTAGCCATATCGATGGGATCGTTTAATTGCTCGCCGCTTTGGGAAGT